TTGGCGTCGGTCCTCCAGCCCCGCATTTGCAATGAAGAATTGTAAATAGCTGTCCCTTTCTTTACTTCAGTGTTGTCAGATTTTCTGGTCCTTCGGGATCATTGATTTCAGCACTTTTAACTGTTGAAAATGCAGTACTGCTCAATCCGGAACTAGGAGGGCGTGAGGTGTGTTGCTTTTTTCATTATCCCTCATGGATACTCAATTTACCCCAAAATATAGAGAAACACAGAATCCCTAAAGAAAGTCCATCACTGCATAATAGAAAATGTTGCAGGCTCTGTTTTTTACACCTGTCCATGGACAGTAGTGGTAATTGCAAGCTGCAAGTTTGCAATTTTCATGTAAATTTGTTGTGATTAATGCTTCCGAGGGATCACCCTTCTTCCAACTTTTTAGTTTCCTTGCTTTGTGAATATACACCGATCATTTCAGGCTAAAATAATATGGTTCATATACGAAATGTAAAAACTTTTTAAAAAAACTAGCTGATTTGAGATAAAAAAACAAAACTTTTTGGTTTAAAATGTATGCATAAAAGTACAATTAAAATGATTCGGACAAAAAAAACATCAACAAGATGGTCATATATCAACCACCTGAGTGGCTCTAAATAACAGATCTCGAGGACTGATGATATTTAATAACTATTAAAACAACTAAGGATGAAAGACAGGCATTATGTCGAAATCCAGGTCAGCTTATATCAAAGTTTAAATCGATCTGCATCTGGTACTGAGCATATAGTAGAAATATCTGAAATTTCATACACGAAGCTCCAGCAAAATTCAAATCTGCATTTGGAACTTTGCATGCAATAAAAGGGAAAAGAGTCAACTCGGCCCTATACCAACTCGGCACGGGTCAACTCGGCCCACTTTGAAAAAAATATATATAATGTATTAAAGGGATCGAAAGACAAGGTTAAAATAAAGACTTGATTTCAGAAAAAGAATACTATAAATAATAAGTCTGCAAATTTTCTGCCGCCAAATAATAATATTAAACGAATGATGACAAAATTTAAATCGCTAAATCACCGATTTCTACAAATCGGTAAGCGCGGCCATGTTTGTGTATTGGCCGTATAAAAACAGGTGCGCGTGATGTCATTTCCCCACATCTTTTAGATTCATGATAAATCTAGTTGAATCGTAAGGAAATATTAATATAATAAAGTATTGATCTGACAATTTAATTTTCACAGGAGGTGTAGAGGAGATTTTTATGGTTCAAAATACGTAACAATATCAAAAAAAAAAAAAATAAATAATAATAAATAATGAAACGTACGGCTAGCCAAAAGTTCTAGCCGTACGTGAGTCACGAACGACTAGCCAGGACGCACTGTATTGTCTAACCGTACGGCAATTTTCAAAATTATATGGAAGTCGAACGTTATAAAATTGTTGATTTTCATGTTAAACATTTGTTGTTTAATTTGTATGAATTATTAAATCATTTTTGTTAATTTTAAGCACATGGATCGAATAAAAAATGATCGGAGTGGAATAAATAAATAAAAAGAACATTGAATGGAAAAAACGGTGAAATGCAAAAATGATTATATAATTTTCAAAACAGTAGATAAATATCGACGAACATAAAAGCACAGTCAATCAATTAATTAGCCTTAATTAAAACCTATCCAGGGACTGACAATAGAATTTTAGAATGCCTTTCAAGGAACATGCAAACTTTCCTTGATACAGTACCGTCGGTAATTGTCGCAATTATCAAGAGCCTAACAACAATCATTTTCAGTGTTTGTTGTTGTTGTTGTTTTTTTTTTTCATATAAAGGTGTCGAAAATTAAACTTAATGAAACAAAAAAGGATTATTATCAAAAATTTGTAAACTATTTCAATTGGTGTAAATGCAAGCAAAGGCTATTTTTTCTTGACATCTTGCGATGACAAAGATCGATATATATAGCGGTCAAGGCGATTAATCTCTAAAAAGTTAACATCCAAAGACAATTAATGCTGTTTCTTGGTTAAAATCCTCGCTTAAAGTCATAAAATAACATATGCATTTTCGACTTCCATAAAATTTTGAAAAGTGCCGTACGGCTAGCCAATACAGCGTGTCCTCGCTAGTCGTACGTGACTCACGTACGGCTAAAACTTTTTGCTAGCCGTACGGGCCCGTACGCTAGCCACTTCCATTATAAAAACCCTACTAAAACGTGTTCTTAATAGTACATATAATTAATTTTTTGCAGTTTGATTCTGACTTTCAAATTTAAAGGTGTGAACATATGTTATAATTGATGTACACATTTCAAAAATATCAGCAACTGTTTTTGAAAAGTAAATTGTTAACATGTCTGTCAACGTATGATGCTGCGCATCGTAATCGTAGCCTAATATTAACTGCAGGCAAATCAATTTTATTGGCTGCTCAAAAATCTAATTTGCATAATTTATTCACACAATTGCTGGTTCTTACTACTTAATGTCTAATACTGCGCATTGTCCATTTTAATTGTTCCTAATTTGCACCAAATGCTCCTGTCACACACTGTGTACTGACGATTTTTATTGCTCCTTGTATGCCTCTGTGCCGACAGACCTTTTGATCATGCACAATGTTGCCCTAATTGGTTAATCACCCTTGTCAAATATTCTAATGACGAAATAGACATCTATTTTTTACGCTTCATCAGTGAACTGAATGACCTTAGGGGGAATTCGGTTCCACACCTGTCAAATTGTACTGTAGTAAATTAACAGCACGTCATAAAATAGCAACACATTTTTTTCAGTTCCCAATAATCATTTTAAATATTAAGTAGATTTATGATTTTTTGTTTTATTGGATTAAATTTACGGTAGAAGAAATGCGTATCTGTCGGGGAAAGGAATTTGGTAAGTAGATAACGTGGAAAAAAGCTTTGGGGAACTGGATAAACCCGAGAATATGCGTAATTATAGGGGAATGGGCAACCTGTTGCTGTTGGTACCAGTTTTGACTGGGTGCCTAAATAACTTTACAGACAGTTTTGTTTTCATACGATATAAGTCTGGCTGCCGATTTTCCTGCGCCTTCCTGATTTTTAGCGTCATTGGCGGAAAATCGCGTCCTCAGCATATTGGATTTAGTTGATATCTTACCTGAAAAAAAGATATATGACCGGCGATGTACCCTATTTGGACAGCTTGTCTAGCGAAAATTAAGTACAAAATAAAAGGATATATCGTCAATTTGAAGAAGTTTCTCATAGTACCCAAAGTAAATTTATGGTTTATCTTTGAAAATTAAGCAGTCATTGCTTAAATCATGTGGTGGGATCATCAGCAAGCTTGAGTATCGGGCAAATGATAATTAATGTCGCGGCGTCTTCAATTAATTAATTAAAGCAATTCAGTTCCATATGATGTTTTCATAAATAATATATAATGTACGCAATTAAATTAATAAGTTCTTCATCAAGATATATTTCAGTTATACCAGCGTGTACAACTATACCGGAAGTGGGTATAACACGTCACAATCTCGGTCTCGTCTGTCTCGCGAGAATGACAGAACGCCAAAATGGCGGCGCCCATGAACTTATTTCTCAAGTAAAAAATAGTGTCTTTAAACACGAATTTCTCTCTTAAAGGGTTGATGTCAATAGGGAAACTGTCATGGTTCCTCTTTTTAAATGATGAATATTTATATTAGACAGACATCAATCCATCCATTCTTATTCCTTTAACTTTGCTTGCTTTGAATGTTGTTAAGGTAAATGAATAATGAGAAATATCTTATTATTATATAATTATACTTCTACCGAAATAAGTACATTTTGTTTGTAAAGTAATATTCCAAAAAATATAAAACAATAACGCGTTTACTTCATATCATAAGCTTCTAATTAATTGCAGGTGGTCACAAAATCAAATGAATGAATGAGTCAATCATAATTATCACCTAATTAATCGTATCCTTAACATACACACTGATTGATAATAATAGCCCTTAACAATATAAATTTCAACACATTGTTTGACACGTCAGAAATACAGTGAGATACGCAATCGGTTATCTTTACTCGCAATTCTGCTGATAAGAAAAGCGCGTCTGCTGCTAAGAAATGTCGAGTGAAACATATGCCCCCCCCCCCCCTTTCTAGTTCTTGACTCACATTATTGGTTATTTTGTTACAGAAACTTGCCATAAATGGGTACATGGAAGTGTTCAGTTATGGAAAAAAGAAAAATATTTAGACTTTGTGATAAATGGTTTTCAAGATAATGAGAAACCATTCTGACATTTAAGGCCCCTGTGACCTTTGACCCCAAAATCATCAGGGACATCAGGGATCACTTACTAGTTATGATAAATCAGTATGTGAAATATAAAGACTTTGTGATAATAAGCGTTCAAGATAATGAGCTGAAATCATAGGACCATGTGACCTTGACCCCCAATATTAACAGGGGCTATCTTCTAGTTATGGCCAATCAATATGTGAAATATGAAGACTTTGTGATAAATAGTAACCAAGATAATAAGTTAAAAACATACTACCATTAAAGGCCCCTTTGACCCCAAAATCAATAGGGGTCATCTTCTAGTTACAACCAATTACTATGTGAAATATGAAAACTTTATGATGAATAGTTTTCAAGATAATCAGCGGAAACCATTCTGACATTTAAGGCCCCTGTGACCTTGACCTAGTGACCCCAAAATCTATAGGGGTCATCTACTTATTTTGACTAATCACTATTTGTGATAAACAGTTTTTAAGATAATAAGCGGAAACCATGTGGTCTACCGACGGACATTCCGACATTAGCAAAACAATATACCCCCTCTTCTTCAAAGGGAAATTTTAGGAAAACTGATATCAAAGTTCAACTCTCCACCTGAATCTGTGGCAGTAGTTCAATTTCCAAGGCTGTTGCTCTCAATACAAAAAGTTTAGTTACTAAGTCAAAATCTAGATCAAATTTCAATTTTGCATCTGAAACTGTGCACATAGTACAAAAAATCAAGCAAAGACTACACAATTTCTTAAGTTTTATTTTCATTCGTAACATAGCATATGGTAAATGTACAATTATCATATTTGTTATTGCCAAATAACTTTTACTAACAGGAAAGTCTACATTATTTTATTATATTAGGTGAAGGCACTGTGCTGTCAGCAGCTTCACAATTGTGAATATCTTAAATGCAAGTTTAATGGATGAGGAAAACGTAGATTCTGATTTTTACATATCAAGTGAGGTTTCACAGAAGAGAAAGAAGGAAAAATGTGTTAAGAAAAATGGTACTTGTGAAGACAGGTGCATTAAAAAAATGAGATCGAGAATGCATTGGAGTAGGAATTGATTTGAAAAGTTAACACTGAATATGATAAGTTTAACAAAAGCTGGGGTCATGTAGAATTTTGTGGGATAATAAAGAATTTTGTATGTCACAAAAAAGGGGGCCATAATTCTGTTAAAATCTATGTTAAAGTTATGGGCAGTGAATAGAAACCTATTATGCTCACAAATAAGTGTGTGAAGTTTCAACTCCAGAATTAAGAATATTTGGGTTTTTCCCAACTAATAATCTAGGTACAAACTTTTACAGTTACACCTTCGAAAATAAGGGAAACATGTTGACTAATCTATTGTGACGGGTAGTGCACTGTTAAGCTATAACAGTAAAATTTAGTTTGTACCTTTAGATTAGCTGGGGAAAAACTCACATTACCAAGTTCCTGATTACCTTAAGTAGTTCTGGAGGTTTCAACTTGAACATAAAAACTTGAAACATAGTGTGACAGCAACGTGCAATAGCTCTCTACTCTGCCAATATTCGAGTCAAAATTAGTACAAGTAGGTAAATTAAAATCTGGACTGGCATCTATAGGCTAACTGAATACCAATATTCTCCCTATAACACTGATTATATTAACCATAGCATTTAAATATTCAAGCAGTGTCCTAAAAGCTATTCCAGGGTCCTATAAATTCGCCCATCGTTTTTTGTTGATAACACATTACATACAATGTTATAAATGTACATACAAATATCACATATCACATAAGAACACATTGTCAATGAACACATTTTGAATCTTGAGCAACATTTGCCAAAAAAATACCTTAAAGCCTGAAAAATGCTACTATTTTTAAATTTCAAAAGCTTTTTATTTTTATTTATTTTTCAAAAGCTTTTTTATTTTTAATGTCACTTAACAGTTTCAAAAACAGTTACTCATTAGCCATTCAGCCATTATTTTTTTTTGTCCCCATGCTGATTTTTGGCAATTAGTACAGTTAATAGCTAAGTCAAAATGCCACTCTGTTTACAAATTTTGCTAACTTTATCACAAATTATTTCACATTCAGCGCCATTTTCTCATCGTGAAAGACATCTCCCATTTAGATAAGTACAACGTGACTGAGCTTTTTCTATAACAATTAATTACCATTTACTAAACAACATTCATTTCCATGGCTTACTATGACTTTACTGTGTAAAAACGACATAAAGGTACACTTCAGTGAAACAACTTTTAACAATTTTATATCATATCCCTTGCTAAATTCAATTCCATCATTTGCTATTTCAGGAATTGGATAAACCTTTCAATATTTTTTAATGTGATTCCCTAAATTTCCAGGGAAAACTTCTTATCAATCTAAAGTTGTTTACACATGAATGTGTCAACCTGTACAAGGTTACAGAGGATTTTCTGAAAAATTCTTAATTTGTGAATTAGAATTTTTCTATCTACTACAAAATATTAATTCCTATGCAGATTTTAAAATATACTCAATATATTATACACTTAATAAAGGAAATTTTGAGAAATATTGATGAAATTAGATGCAAATTTTCATTTTCCATATTATCACTCTAAAAATTTATTTTTCACTGCAGTGAAACATTTTCCCCATATTTTCACTGGTGTCTTGCAGGATTACTTCCTTCTAAATTTAACCAATACACAATATTAAAACGTAATCGCCACTCATGAAATATTAACTTTCAACCACTGCATGAAAATAAATCTGTATCTATATAAAAAACTTGAATATCCTCAATATATCGGGAAAAGTAACTACCGACTAGACAAGAAATCTCCTGCTGGCGTCCAATTGACAACCGATCAATAATTGTAGCGTTTAAATGCAGTTACTATAAAAATTGACAGTGAAAATATTTTATAACATCACGTGTAAACAATCTAAAATATAAATGCACTGATAAAATCTTACACAAGTTGGCTTACATATAATATTCTTATTTCCACTTTAAAGTAGGAACAAAATCATCACAACAAAATGGCAGTAAATGCACCTAAATGGTAGGATACTACGTCATCACGCACCTGCAAAATGCTCCCAATCAGAATGTTATTCTGTCAACTCAAATATAAAATATGTTTTTATTCTAAGAATTTGTTTAAATATCAAAAAATAATGTAACTAAGCAAAAATTGGCTTTAGTACTAGATATAATTTAAAAAAAAACGTTTTAAAGTTTTATTGTCTTGTTTAAGCCTGAAAATGGGATGAAATTTGTATTGGAGTCGAGTCGCAGTGGAAGCATTTAGAAAAAAAACAACACTTTATTCCTTTTTCAGGACTAAACTTAGCAGTTTAACTTTTAACATTTTTCACAATTATTAATTACATCAAGTACTACAATCAATCTTTGGTGCACTACATTACTTTTTGATATTCTAACAATTTCTTAAAATAAAAACATCACAAAACCAACATGGTGCATTTGCGACCAGCATGGATCCAGACCAGCCTGTGCTTCCGCGCAGTCTGATCAGGATCCATGCTGTTTGCTTACAAACCCTATTACAAGTACAGAAACTGATAGCGAACAGCATGGATCCTGATCAGACTGCGCAGACTGGTCTGGACCCATTATGGTCGCAAACCCACTATGTTAGTTTTGTCATGACACGGCTCACATTTATTTAAGCTTGATTGCGGAACAAGTTCTTGCAACTTTTATTAATCACTTACGAGTCCGCTACCTGGAACCAACCAGTACTGGTGTCATTTGAAGAAACATGGTTGTGACCTGTTTAGGACTCGAACCCATGATCCCTGGGTTGATAGGCCGACACCTTAACCACTAGGCCTTCCAGCTCTTTGCATTTACATATCAAATTATCTTATTACAAAACTAACTTTATCACTCTCAATCCTTATTTAAATTAACAACAATAAAAAAACAGTAATCAATTGAAAACAATGTAAATAATGAGCTAACATTAATATAAAGAAATCATACAAATATAATATGGCAGTTTTTTTTGACAGTAAAATTTACATCTGAACACTTTGTGGGTTGAGATAATATCAAAACCTTTACAATTACAACAATTTACAAACTGACCGACAAAAAAAAAATCCATTACCAATGGTAAAGAAATACAACATATATTGCATACAATTATCTTGAACACATCTGGTTTTTTATCTCTTTTCTTTAAATTAAAAAAAAATAATAATAATAAAATACATATACAATTTCTGAAATCTAAATAATGATACCAGTTAACATACTTAAGTGTAAATATTTAACAAACGTTTTCTGTCATATCCTTTGAAAACAAACTAAATATCTAGCTTACAAAGCCTATATACAGATACATGTATATATTTTCTTGTCTGTTGAATTTGTGTCTGATATATTTTCAAGCTTCATATCAGACTCTGGTATGAGTCCTGTTTAATCATTAAACGTCCGGAGCACCAAGTTTTTAATCTTCCTCATCACTGGCTGCATCAAACATCTAAAATGTACAAAGAAATATCAGTCATATATAACCCTGTGTATTATATGTTACAGTGTTTTTTTTCCTTATATAACTGATACCGGAAAACGGCACCATTCCCAATAGAAAATAGACAGCAAATTCATAACTGATAAATTCCTAAAATACATTGTAACACTGAAAATTTCCTCAAAAATCGGCCTTTTTAAAGGTAAACAAAAACAGTAATGTGCATTACGACTAGTGTGATGTACGATAACCACATGAGTGATATTCATACCCAGTTCATTTCTTATTTTTATTGTTTCACACCTAAACATTATTTATGTACAATTGTTATGACTATCAATTTTTTTTCTCATCAAGTAGCAAAAATAATTATTAACGTTAATAATACATGGTTTTAAAGTGTACATTTTGCATCATTTTCATGTCTCCCTGGATAAAAGAAATTCCCAATGAATATTTTGCATCTTATGTAAATTTCCCAATTTGAGTCAAATCGGTGGATTTTTTCCCAATCTGGCCGGTACCGGCACCATTCCCAAAGCAGGGGGAAAAAACACTGTGTTATAACATTTTACAAACCCTTACAATGGTAAACTAGAAATGTATCCATAGGACACTAATGCCTTCACATTTTACTGTTTTCTCAGCCAACTAACAGCCTGCCTTACAGCAAGAGGCACAAAATTGTGTAATTTATATGGTTAACTCAAATCGTTACCCCAGCATATTTTATCACACAGCAAATGGCATTGTACATTATACATGTATGGCATCAGTATTGACAAGATCTTTAAGAGATGCTACAAAAAAGTGTATAATTTACATGGGTCATGAAACAAGGCCTCTGTGGCAGAGTGGTAAAGGTTGTTGAATTCAAATGCCCCTTAGCTGTGGGGTTTGAATCTGATCATAGACTTCTTTATTCTTTCATGAGTAGAAGTTATCCATCTAACTGACTGAAGGTTAATGATTCTACTCAAGTGCCCCAACATGCCGGGGTCTTTCTTGTACAATTAATCTGGACAATTGACCCTTCTTGCATTAATCATTCAAGTCGTAAAAGCTATTCAGGGTTGCCAGCATCATAGATAAATAAACTTTTCCCTGACTTTTCACTGACCAAATAAGGTTTTTCACTGACTAAAACTACCAAACTTAAACGGTCTCCACCTCCCCTACAGCCGTCATTTTCACCCCAGGGCTTTTTTTCCTTCTATAGCAGGGGCCATTATAGGACTGTTTCCCCACAAAGAAATTCTTTAAAATCATGCAGTTTTCCCACAAAATATAATTTACATCAAGTTTTTTCTTCCCCTTTTGCAAATATACCATTAATGTATCCCCAAAATTAAGGACAGGGCTGCTTCCCCAACCTGTGAAAAAAGCCCTGCACCCATAAGTTTTTTTTTTTTTTTTTTTTTTTTTAATGCTTTTAACAATATGGTCAATAAAACATGCTTTATACATCTAAGTTTGGTATTTTGTGTTCAGTAAAATGTTTTTGATAAGATCTAGTCTGAAGCAAAACTATTATCTTGACCTACAGAATACTGCCATAGCCAATATAATTAATAACAAGAGGGTCATGATGGCCCTGAAATTACTCATATATAAAAACTCTCCATGAACAAGAATAATTTTGACCCCAGGGCTTTTATTTAAACAATGTTGGTAAACACCCATTGGAAAATGTTTCATGCCAAATATCTAAGCTCTAGCTCTTTTGTTTTTTAAAAGAAGACTTTTTAGTTTTTACTGTATATGCATATAAGGAAAATTAATGACCCCCATGACTGGACCAGTTTTGACCCCAGGGCTTTTATTTTAACAAACTTGGTAGACACATACTAAAAGATGTTTCATGCCAAATATCACAGCTCTACCTCTTTGGGTTTTTCAAAGAAGATATTGTTTTGATTTTTTCACTATGTACATAAAAGGAAAATCAGTAACCCCCTGGAGTGGGGCTTATTTTGACCCAAGGACTTTTATTTGAACAAACTTGGTAGACACACACTAGAAAATGTTTCATGCTTAATATCTAAACTCTAGCTCTTTTGGGTTTGTTACAAGAATTTTTAAGTTTATATAAACATATAAGGAAAATCAATGACCCCCTTGACTGGGCAAATTTTGACCCAAAGGCTTTTATTTGTACAAAATTGGTAGACACTCACTGAAGATGTTACATGCTTAATATCTAAGCTCTAGCTCTTAAAAGAGGATAACATGGTTTTTTTTCCAGTTTTTACTTTATACATATAAGGAAAATTCTTCAAAATTATTTTCCCTGACTTTTCCCCGACTTTTTAGGATTTTTATTCTTCACTGACCAATTTTCAAAATTCCCTGACAATTCCCTGACCTTGAAAAAATATCAGATTTCCCTGACTTTTCAAGTCTGCTGGCAACCCTGCTATTACGCAAGTACCATATATTATTTTAAGACATAATTCTCATTATGAATTTAATATTTAACTTACACCCAGCAGATTTTTAGGTTCAATGTTGGATTTAATGGTAACGGCTTCCTCTGTCTCGGGATTTAGATGTAACGTGGGTGTGACAGGTCGGTCTTCGTCACTCCAGCTTAAGCTACTACTATTCACACTGTCATCATTCTGGTGATGTATGGGACTTGCAGAATGAACAGAGGCACTGAAAATGTATAACTGTATATTGTATCATAGTTTGAGAATGTTTCTGTTGAAAATGAGTCTGAGTTAAATCGCATACATATACATGTACAGTGCGTTAACTGGAGTGCAGGTTATTAGTTACCCACACATATTGTGACGACAAAGGAAAAGCGATAGAAATATCATATTCAGATGCTCATTCATTGGTTACTTTTTTTCTGGGGTTTCATATTGTGACAACAGGGAATGTGTTTTTAAGTTTCACTATGATACAAAAGGGAAAGAAAATTAAAACACTCGGCAATCTGATTAATACTCGACAACGCCCCATCGTACAAATCAGATAGCCACGTGTTTCGATGCTCTTTCCATTACATATCCTTGTTGTATAAATGGTTTAAACATAATGAAACTCGATTGTGAAACAGGTTCATGCAACTTATATCAATCACTGTCGAGTCCCCTGCCTGAAACCAACCAGTACTGATGTCATATAATGAAACATGGTTGTTACCCGATTAGGGCACTGAAACCAAAGATCAGAAGTGGTTAAATTATTCTCATGAACTTCATCAAACTTGACCTTGAGGCTATATACATAGTAGAAATTGCTAACTTTTCATGCAAGATGGGATCTAAATATTCTTCAGATTATATACTTCAATAATTTGGCTGCAATAGCATATCCTCAGATCTGACATTTCCAAATCTGTTAAATTTTACCTAGTTAAATCTTGTTATCTAACTTACTCTCTAGAAACTCGTCCAACAGGAGAGGAACTCATGGGTGATGGAATGTGGCTGTAGTGTCGGTTACGTAAAGCCGGTGTTGTGAACGCGTTCCTGACCGGAGGCCGTCTGTAAATATAACAAATGTAAAAGTTTTACAACTAGAAATGTGTCATCATGCCACGGATGCCCATGACCAAATTCAAACTTGCAATGTATTTTCTCATGACATATCCATATGTCAAGTTTGAGTTTAATGTGTAATACCGTTGGGGAGATAATGAACAGAAACTGAAAATTTCATATTGTTTTCAGTCAAAGGGGCATAACTCTCCCAAAAAGCATCGTACCATGACCAAATTCAAACTTGCAATGTATTTTCTCATGACATATCCATATGTCAAGTTTGAGTGGAATGTGTTGTACCGTTGGGGAGATAATGAAAGGAAACTGAAAATTTCATACTATTTTCAAAGTTAAAGGGGCATAACTCTGCCAATAATCGTCGAACCATGACCAAATTCAAACTTGACCTGTATTTTCTCATGACATATCCATATGTAAAGTTTGAGTTGAATGTGTTGTACTGTTGAGGAGATAATGAACAGAAACTGAAAATTTCATATTATTTTCAAAGTGAAAGGGGCATAACTCTGCTAATAATCATCGAACCATGACCAAATTCAAACTAGACCTGTATTTTCTCAAGACATATCCATATGTCAAATTTGAGTTGAATGTGTGCAACCGTTACTAAGATAATGAACGGAAACTGATGATGACGTAATGTCAGAATGACAGAAAGACGGAACAGGGTAACACTAAATGCCCCGGCCATTATATGGCGGCGGCATAAAAATTAGGAACAAAGTTTAAAATTGAGTCAGGTTGGTAACTAGCCACAGGGGAATTCTCAAAAATATGAGTGAATCCCCCCAGCCCTTCTAGAATAGACACTGGCTAGTTTTAGAGTGTCATTGGTGGAAAAGTCTGTATGAATATAATTATGTGGAAAGGACAATATTGACGATTTATTGATTTTATCAAATTAAATCGCCGATACATTCACATTATACAATTTTTTTCAGTTCGATTGTGTTGGAAGCTATAACCTTTTTGAAACACTATTCCTGGCCCCAACAAGTACTAAGGAATCAATGTTAAGTTTCTTGCTCAAGAAAACAACTTGCCCCTGACAGGGTTTGAATCCATGCAGTCTGCAATCCTTAGGTTACTAGACCTATGCATTAACCACTCGACCACGCCGCCACCTGTGATACATTTGATGCTATTTCAATACCTGACATATATGGTCATCAATGTGTAATGCATGCTTGTTTTAAACATTAAACAAGAGGGCCATGATGGCCCTGGATCGCTCACCTGACACAACCGCATCCAAGCAATGTCTTAAACAAGCATCATGACCAAGTTTGATGCAACTGAGTCAAACATGTGACCTCTAGTGTGTTATAAAGATTTTTCCATATTTGGGCAATGTGACCTAATTTTTGACTGGACACGACCCATATTCAAACTTGACCTAGAAATCATCAAAAACAACCTTCCTGACCAATTTCCAGGAAATTTGGATCAAAACTGCAGCCACTAGAGTGTTAAAAAGATTTTTTCTATTTTTAGCTCCTGTGACCTAGTTTTTGACCAGACATGACCAATCTTAGCACTTGACCAGAAAAACATCAAAACAACATTCTTGACAAATTTCCTGAATATTTGAATAAAAAACTGCAGCCACTAGAGTGTAAACAAGCTTTTTCTATTTTTAACTCCTGTGACCTAGTTTTTGACCTGAGATGGCCCATCTTCGAACTTGACCTAGAAATCATCAAAACAACCTTCCTGACAAATTTCCAGAATATTTGAATCAATACTGCAGCCACTAGAGTGTTAACAAGATTTTTCTATTTTTAGCTCCTGTGACCTAGTTTTTGACCAGACATGACCCATCTTCGAACTTGACCTAGAAATCATTAAAACAACCTTCCTGACAAATTTCCAGAATATTTTAATCAAAACTGCAGCCACTAGAGTGTTAACAAGCTTTTTTCTATTTTTAGCACCTGTGACCTAGTTTTTGACCGGACATGACCCATCTTCCAACTTGACCTAAGATATCATCAAAAACAACCTTCCTGACAAATTTCCAGAATATTTGGATGAGAACTGCAGCCACTAGAGTGTTAACAAGCTTTTTCTATTTTTAGCTCCTGTGACCTAGTTTTTGACCGAACATTACCCATCTTCCAACTTGACCTAGATATCATCAAAACAACCTTCCTGACAAATTTCCAGAATATTTGGATGAAAACTGCAGCCACTAGAGTGTTAACAAACTTTTTTCTATTTTTTAGCTCCTGTGACCTAGTTTTTGACTGGAGATGACCCATCTTCGATCTTGACCTAGATATTATCTTAGCAACCTTCCTGACAAATTTCCAGAATATTTGGATGAAAACTGCAGCCACTAGAGTGTTAACAAGCTTTTTCTATTTTTAGCTCCTGTGACCTAGTATTTGACTGGAGATGACCCATCTTCGAACTTGACCTAGATATTATCTAAGCAACCTTCCTGACAAAATTTCCAGAATATTTGGATGAAAAAACTGCAGCCACTAGAGTGTTAACAAGCTTTTTCTATTTTTAGCTCCTGTGACCTAGTTTTTGACCGGAGATGACCCATCTTCGAACTTGACCTAGATATCATCTAAACAACCTTCCTGACAAATTTCCAGAATATTTGGATGAAAACTGCAGCCTATAGAGTGTTAACAAGCTTTTTTCTATTTTTAGCTCCTGTGACCTAGTTTTTGACCAGACATGACCCATCTTCGAACTTGACCTAGATAAAATCAAAACAACCTTCCTGACAAATTTCCAAAATATTTGGATGAAAATTGCAGCCACTAGAGTGTTAACAAGCTTTTTCTATTTTTTAGCTCCTGTGACCTAGTTTTTGACCGGAGATGACCCATCTTTGAACTTGACCTAGAAACCATCAAAACAACTTTCCTGACAAATTTCCAGAATATTTGGATGAAAAACTGCGGCCACTAGAGTGTTAAACAAGCTTTTTCTATTTTTAGCTCCTGTGACCTAGTTTTTGACCGGAGATGACCCATCTTCGAACTTGACCTAGATATCATCAAACAACCTTCCTGACAAATTTCCAAAAATATTTGGATGAAAACTGCAGCCACTAGAGTGTTAACAAGCTTTTTCTATTTTTTAGCTCCTGTGACCTAGTTTTGACCGGAGATGACCCATCTTCGAACTTGACCTAGATATCATTAAAACAACCTTCCTGACAAATTTCCAGAATATTTGTATGAAAACTGCAGCCTCTAGAGTGTTAACAAGCTTTTTTTCTATTTTTAGCTCCTGTGACCTAGTTTTTGACCCGAGATAACCCATCTTCGAACTCGATCTGTATTTCATTGAGACAAACATTCTGACAAAGTTTGATGATGATCCAATCAAAACTGTGACTGCTAGACTGTTAACAACCCAATTATTAGAGTGTTAACAAGCTTTTTCTATTTTTAGCTCGTGACCTAGTTTTTGACCAGAGATGACCCATCTTCGAACTTGACCTAGATATCATCAAAACAACCTTCCTGACAAATTTCCAGAATATTTGGATGAAAACTGCAGCCTCTAGAGTGTTAACAAGCTTTTTCTATTTTTAGCTCCTGTGACCTAGTTTTTGACCCGAGATAACCCATCTTCGAACTCGATCTGTATTTCATTGAGACAAACATTCTGACAAAGTTTGATGATGATCCAATCAAAACTGTGACTGCTAGACTGTTAACAACCCAATTGTTAGAGTGTTAACAAGCTTTTTCTATTTTAGCTCGTGACCTAGTTTTTGACCAGAGATGACCCATCTTCGAACTTGACCTAGATATCATTAAAAACAACCGTCCTGACAAATTTCCAGAATATTTGTATGAAAACTGCAGCCTCTAGAGTGTTAACAAGCTTTTTCTATTTTTAGCTCCTGTGACCTAGTTTTTGACCCGAGATAACCCATCTTCGAACTCGATCTGTATTTCATTGAGACAAACATTCTGACAAAGTTTGATGATGATCCAATCAAAAACTGTGACTGCTAGACTGTTAACAACCCAATTATTAGAGTGTTAACAAAGCTTTTTCTATTTTTAGCTCGTGACCTAGTTTTTGACCAGAGATGACCCATCTTCGAACTTGACCTAGATATCATCAAAACAACCTTCCTGACAAATTTCCAGAATATTTGGATGAAAAACTGCAGCCTCTAGAGTGTTAACAAGCTTTTTCTTTTTTTTAAGCCCCTTTTTGACCTATTTTTTTGACCCAGATAACCCATTTCAAACTCAAATCTTTTTTCTTTGGACAAACTTTTCTGCCCGTTTTGATGTTTTACCCAAATTTAAAAACTGGGGGCTGTTTAGACGGGTTAAAAACCCCAATTTGTAGAGGGGTTAACAAGTTTTTCTTTTTTTAGCTCGTGCCCGGGTTTTTTGCCAGAGATGACCCACCCTTTCAAATTGACCTAAAATTACCCATCAAAAAAACCTTCCTGAAAATTTTCCCCAAAAATATTTGGAGGGAAAATTTGCACCTCTAGGTGTTAAAAACCCTTTTTCTTTTTAGCCCCTTGTGACCTAGCTTTTTGCCCCGGGGAAAACCCCATTTTCAAATCGATCTGTTTTTTCTTGAGACAAACATTCGAAAAATTTTTGATGATGATCCAAAAAAATTTGGGCCCTTGTTTGACTTTTAAAAACCCCTTGTTGACGAGGGACGGCACCCCCCACGACGCAACGCACGCCCGCCAACGCACGACGAGGGACCCCCGGGAAACATACCCCATAAACTATCCTTTCACCGGGCCATTCGTGGTTGGGAGCAAAAAAAAATTGAAATTTTTAAATTAAAAAAATGAAAAATATTTAAAAGAAAAATTTATTTTTCTTGAAATTATTTTTTTCATTTTCTAAATTAAAACTTTTAAAAATTAAAAATTTGGGAAAAAAGGGTTACCCAAAGGGGAGGGAAGAAAATTCTACTTTTCAACAAAAATAAATTTAATTTTAGTTTCCCCAGACAGGGAAAAAAGGGGGGGTTTTAAAAAGTTTAAAAACATGGGGGTTTTGAATAAAACTGAATTTTAAAAATTTTGGAAAATTATATGCATTATTACCAATTTTCAAATGGGCCAGCAAAGCCTTGCCCTTTACACTATCGTTAAATTATAATTTCTACTAAAATTGTAACTGTAAAAATCAAAGTTTTAACAATTTACTTTGATGAAATTATTGGTTCAAATGGAGAATATTCATTTATTTTTAAAGATATAAACAATTGTCTTAATTATATCGTATCGAAAAATACCTATAATTCAACAGATCAAACATTTTAATAGAGAACATATGAGCCGCACCATGACAAAACCAACATAGTGTGTTTGCGACCAGCATGGATCCAGATCAACCTGCGCATCCGCGCAGTCTGATCAGGATCCATGCTGGTCACAAATGCACTAAGTTTTTGTCATGGCGCGGCTCATATCTAGATTTAAGATGAACACTTACACTGGTATGTCGTCATGGAAACTGTTGTCCGAGGATGAAGTATCAAATGGAGCGCCAATAGAATTGTTATGTATACTCACATCATTTAGAAATAATTCATCTGAAAAAAATAATTATGATAAGAAATTAAACTTTTCTTCGTTTTAGAAACAAAGTTTTATAAAGAATAACAAGTTTTAGACACAAAGTTTTATAAAGAATGAAATCAGTATTATTACAAGACAAAAACTGATACTTTTACATAGCACTTTTAAAAATGCTAATTGTTAATTTTGTCACTAGGCTTCTCTGTCCTATTAATGTATTTTTTTTCTTTTTCTCGGGTTGTTGAGGTACATCTATTGCCCTCAACTAATCCCAGCAGCTGTCTGAGTTACCACACTACTGCCTGACTAGTACTAACTGCCCAACCAAATACTAATTGCCTAACTAATATTAAATGCCTAACTAATACCAAATACCTAGTTAATTCTAAATGCCTAACTAGATAATGCCAAATAAATACTAAATGCTTAATTATACATGAAATGCCTAGCTAAATACTAAATGCCAAACGTTATACCAAAAAATGCCTAACTAATACCAAATGCCTAACTAGATACTAAACGGCTAACAAAATACATATTACACTGACTCACCATCTGAGAGGCTATGATCGAGCTGTCCGGAAGTATTGAAGCTGGATGAGACGCTACTAGAATGTGTGGACTTTCTGTATCGGATACGTATTTTATTGTACGGAATAGTGAACAAAGTCAGTAGTAGCAACATCCATTCCCATACTTGAAATAATGAAGACTTTACAGTAGATATCTGTAAAATAAAGAAGGTTTACGTCAAATGCTTGTGTTTGTCAATGTGTGTATGTGTGTTTTAATTTGCCACAACTCTTGTTACAGCAATTAGGCCACTTTGCAGCCTGAGACTTAACAACACAAGAGATGACCCGCAATGCCTTGATATCCAGTCAATAAATATCAACAAAGCAGCTGAAACATAAAGAGAGGCTTGGCCAGAATATGTCAATACTACTATCTAAGGAACATTATTATATAGAACAGATTTATTATAGGAAGAAACACAAACTTATAGGCTATCTTTTTTACATTGCACTAACATAGTAGAGGTCACATGGTGACTTTCCAGCTTTATGGTGAAGGAAGACCTCAGGTGACCTTCTGTCAACAAACAGGCACACGAGTAAAACTACCAATGTTCCATAAGCTAGCTGAATAGCTTCCTCACTTGAAAGAATATCAAGTCCCTAGTGGAATTTAAACCCACAGAGGTGAGTGAGGGGTAAAGGGGCTTGAAGTCAAACAACTGAACAACTCGGCCACAGACGCCAAATAAATTTTCTTATTTCTTTGTTATCAATAATACAAAAGTCTAAAAATTTATAAATTATCACAAACATGACATCATATGATGCCTTTACTAGTAGAAGGCGACCAGTCAATGAATTTAAGATTTTGAATTTATTCAACTACATAATTAACTAAATTTTCTTAAAATTTTCACTGGCCCGAACTAAATTTCACTGGCCATGGACCACCGGGCTAGTGCTAAATTTGATGACTGGGAGACTGTAGGTACACCTTATGTCAGGCAATAACAAGTACCTAGGTGGAATAAATGCTATCTGGATAGCTTCATGGCATCAAGTGACTTTCATAGAAAATACAAACCAATGCAGTGTAGTAAAAAGAAGAAGTGACATACCATCAGGTACTAAATCACTCCCCCAATAATTAGAATAAATCTTGACAAAGTTATAAAACCAGAACACTTACAGCACTTTTAAGCATGTACTCTCGCCTCCTCTTCTTTAGCACCTGAAATAATTCAATGTTTCCATATCAAACATATTTTCACACTCTATGATGGTATATAACATTGAAACTGGTCAACTGTTGGCTTAACCTTTTCATGCTAAAATTTGGTTTACTTTGTAAAACAAAAATTTGTTGGTTTTTTAGTAAAAAGATCCACAACAAACTTCCTTGTTTCAGCATATTATTAATGATCTTTCAAACTTTTATCAGCTGGAATATAAGCATCAATCGGAGAAAACATTATCAAGTATTGTTTGGCTAATTTTACCATATGAGCAGTGTCATGACAAAACCAACATAATGGGTTTGCGACCAGCATGGATCCAGACCAGCCTGCGCATCCGCGCAGTCTGATCAGGATCCATGCTGTTCGCTATCAGTTACTCGTCTTGTTATATGGTTCGTAAGCGAACAGCATGGATCCTGATCAGACTGCGCGGATGCGCAGGCTGGTCTGGATCCATGCTGGTCGCAAACCCATTATGTTGGTTTTGTCGTGACGCGGTTCATATGATTTGGAAATCATTTAAGATTTTGTAAGATAAAACATCAAGAATCTCACCTTTCTGACGTAAGGGAAGGCGAGACATTGATCAGCTGTAGGACGATGACTCGGTGCAGGATCCAACATCTGACGTATCACATACTTCAGGTCAAACGATTTATCTGTAACATTCAATATACATATATATATTTCATACATGTTTGGGTGGTATATTCATGAATTAATAGCAGAAAGAATTGGAATAATACTTTGTAAGGAAAGTTGATATTTTCTTTACCCTTATGAAAAACATCCCTCCCGAATAAGATTTTTTGTTTTAAATCATGAAAGTAAGCACATTGCTAAAAAACTTTTGTTGTCTTTAGATTCAATCATACCTCTCAAGAATTCATCTGGGAGCTGCCCTCTTCTCAGTACATGCCAGCCCTCTCCTCCTCTAGGTAGGTCAAGGTCACTGGCTAACTCTAGCACTGTCATTCCTAAACTGCAAACATACATTCAAATAGAATTGTCAAATATTCATGAACGCAAGGTATACTAACAACAGAACTATTATGACAAGGTTTCAGCATTGACAGGATTATGACGACCACAAATAGCTGCCTATACATTAGTTCAGGCAAAGATTTGCACAAAAATATAGCAAAGGTATCTTAAGGTATTAGCACCCTAATGCATTACCTCCGCTTTGAAGAGTATTCAAATAGGCTAGAATTACTGCTAACTACATTGAATATGAGGGCCATGGGTTCAATCCCCAGAAGGGTCAACTTTTTTTTTCTTTCTTTTTTTCTTTTAACATTATTTATGTATCTCTCATGTCCCATATGGAAAGAAAAAAGTGTTTAATTTTGAATTTTTAATTTATATAGGTATTTATTGGCTAAATTATGCTAAATCTAGTATTATAAATATGGTACCTGATATTTTCAAAGTGTAATATAATCAAAACTAGACGGTAAAAGTATTTCATATTTTGCAAGATCAACCAATATACTTTTTTAAAAATTTAGGGAAACTTTGAAAAAAGGCACTCATTTGGGTAAATTTTAAGGATTTTTTGAATTAGGCTCCCTAAGTAGAAAAATGGTCAGACATGTGGTAAAAATGGGTGGGGTAGGGTATTATTTTTATACAGATTTCATAAATTTTAAGTAGAAACCATAATTTTGCTTATGTGGATTGTTAGCTGAATGGTACTATTTGTTTCTTACCAAAAATTCACGGGAAAACGTTTTTCATTAGAATGTTATTGCAGATTATTTAAAGGTTCCTCATTTCTAAAAAAGGGCCCTCATAACATCCTAGCGTGAGTTCAGGAAAGTGGCCATAACTTGATTTCCGTACGGTAAACTTTGTTTAAATTTTGCATACAGGTGTACTTTAAGGTATACATCTGACCTATGATGGCAATTTTTTAGTTCCCGACAGTTCCCATTAGGGTCCTAATACCTTAATGGCCTTCTATAATTAAAGAATACATCGTTCACTTTGGGATTATAAACCAGAATAAGTAAAAACATGCCATTGTAAATAAACTCTGGTTTGAAACACAAATTTGTAATCATAAATTATAGTTTTTTGGAAGTGATGACAGAAAGTTATATTTTTCAAGAATTCCGAATCAATATAATACATACCTAAAAATATCAGCCGCCTTACTATATTTCCCGTCCATCAATTCTGGTGCCAGGTATTTTGGATCACCTTCCTGAGCCTCAGAAAAATCATTGCCCTAAAAAACATTTACCATCCAAATTCATTGTAAACAACCAGGTGCAAATTTCTATAAACAATTCATCTAATCTTGAACTTAATTCTTGAATAATGTATTATTTATTGTCATACACGGACGTCTATCATAAGATAAAATGTTCCCAGGTTCCGTGGCTGAGTGGTTAAGGTAGCTGACTTCAGACCACTTGCCTCTCACTGTTGTAGGTTCTAGCTGCCTAAGCGTCAAGAGATTCAGCATGTGAAAAATCTATCCAGCTAGCTTACCAACACCAGTGCCCATTTGTGTCTGAAATAATGTACAGAGGGGCACCTGAGGTCTTCCTCCGCCAGCCAAGATGGAAAGTCGCCATATGACCTATACAGTGTTGGTGCGACATAAAATTCAACAAAACAAACAGGTAACATGTTTCATATACAATAACAGTATGTATCATTCAATAGGTACAGTAAGATGGCCTTCATTAAATTTTACAGCAAAAAATAACAGGCAGATTTGCCTTTAAATATCCATAAACAAAGTTCATAAAAACATGACAGTATAATGGACATTACAAACCTTTGATAGATCTATGACCAGTCCAAAATCTCCTAGTTTACATATACCATCGTATGATATAAATATATTATCAGGCTTAATATCCATGTGTATCAGATTATGTGCATGAAGATGTTTCACTGCCTGAAAATACCAGATATAATCTATACACAAAATGTTCCGTCAAATAGACAAGTTCCGATATTATCATCATTATTATCAGTGGTGGTTCTTAATAAACGTAATATTTTTATCATTACTATTGTATATGGAGATAGTTATAAAAGGAATATTATTATCATTATAATCATTATTATTCTTTTCAACATAATTACAATTATTTTCTTTTCTTTTTTTTTTTGGTTTTAAGTATAAACAGTCATTTACCTTCCAAAAGTTAATGTCATTTATATACTACTGCCTTTGCTTAAAATGTCTACGTATATGTATTCCATGCCTAAATAATTTTCCATCATTATTCGATGCCATGTTATGGTAAAGAGGGATTTGCGACATCAGTCTAAAACCTGTCACTGTTTGTACCAGTTTCGACTGTTTGACTAAATAACCTAACAGACAGGTTTTGTTTTTGTGCCGATACATGTCTGGCGCATATTTTAGACGCGCCCATGGCCCTATGCTGCCGATTTTCTTGTGCCATTTTCATTTTTTTTTAATGGCGCCAAATCATCTCCTTGACAGATCTCTGCCTATATACATGTACTAAATTAAAACATTCAAACAGATTTCTGAAAAAGAATCCATCTTCTATGCCAAACTGCAGTATAGATATAACACATGCTAGTAAACAAAGAAATAAGTTCAGAATATATACCTGTAAAAGATCTACAAGAAAGTTCCAGATGACCGGCTCACTAATATCATGATGTGCCTCGGCATAGTTACTCAAACTGAAATAAAACTGCTTTTTAACCAGTGTTAACGTGAGTGATGAACTAAGGCTTTTGTTTTAGATGCTTGCCTCCTAACATATAGATTATAGGTTTGAACTCAATTTATACTTTTAAGCTGCAAGTCCCTACTTGTGCTCTACTTATTATGAAAAGATTGAGCCCTACTTCTGTAGTACTATTTCAAAGGAGGTTATTCATCCGTATGATTATTTGAACCAGTCATTTAATTTCACTTTGAACTAATCATATTGATTTTATTTGACACCCCTGCTATTTTACATTACAGTTTAGCAAATTTAAGGTAGTGTTAAAGATGGAGACCTGCATATTGCTTTTGGAAGTTATTATTGTGTAAATAAAGATAACAGATTACTCTACAGCAGAATCAATGTTGAGTTACATCAAAGCACACAGCAGTCTGAAGCTCTTTGGTCTAAAAACTCTGTATTTGCAGTACAATGAGGCGTATTTTACTAGTATAATATTTTGTTTCCATCATTATCACTTTCTTAAATTTACTAAAATTTTATATAAAACAGCAGGGGTGTGAGTTTGGGATGGGCAAAAATGAGGAAATAACATAACTATTCATATAGCTAGAGGTATCGGGGCTGCTAGGGCCCCCAACATGTCCGAGGGTCCACGGATTTTGCCCTTTAAAATCCTGTAAAAAAACCTTTCAATGTTGTTTCGCAGTGTCATAAAAACATCTTTTAATAACGACTTTGTTTTTAAACAGCACGATGAACTTTAAATATTCATTTTTTCATTTCTGATAGCATGGCATCTTAAAAAAGTACTGTACGGATTTTAGATCTGTATTTGGAAAAAGAAGAAAAAAGTATGAAAAGTAGGGCCTGCTTGACATGCCTGTACAGCCTATATATCTATACCTAGTTTTACAAAGTTCCACCAGCAGATAAAGGTGCTGTCTTTCTTCCCACGCCTTGTGTATTTTTACACAGTTTGGATGATGTGGCAACTTCTCTTGTTTAGCTACCTCTTCAAGTTTCCGTCTCCTATAAAACACAAAGACAATTAAACAATAAATATTAAAAGGTTTGAAACTTTCAGATTTACTCTTACCCTTAATACTTTCCCTATGAATAACTTTTGCATGAGTACTTAATAAACTTAGTTATTTGTCAATAAAAATAATATGAGCCGTGTCATGACAAAACCAACATAATGGGTTTGCGAACAGCATGGATCCTGATCAGAGTCAGATCCTGATTCAGAATGCGCGGATGCGCAGGCTGGTCTGGATCCATGCTGGTCGCAAACGCACTATGTTGGTTTTGTCGTGACGCGGCTCATATAGTTTGTACCTATCTGACTGGCCCCTGAATCTTTCACGAGATTTTTTAATTGCATACAGCTTTCCATCTTCCTTACTTTTGACTTTAAACACCTGAAATATATCAATTATGCATGTAATATTATGCTCAAGAAAATCTTACAATAAAATAATAATATTTAACTCATTCAATAAATTTAGTATATAAAGAACTTCACTGAGGCTAAAAAGCCTAACAACATTGAATTCTTAACCTAGATCAACTGGGTCACTAAAACCAATATGAAGTGCAAAGGATAATTAAGAAATATGCTTAGAAATAATTTGAAAATCACAAGTTTGTGCTATTCTTAGTCAAATTTCAGGTAAAAGTGTTGCAACACTTTTCAATTCTGGGTCATTTTTCACAATAAAAATAATTATTCTGGAAAACGTAGAGAGCGAATATTCTGAAATTTTGCACACAAGTTATTGGTCTAAACCTAAACCAAAGAACATTTATTTTGAAAATTAGTTCTAATCCAGTCATGTCAAAAACCCTACTCTAGGGTTTTCATTTTTATCTGAGGCAACAGATTCTCTCAAGAAAACAACCAATTTATTGATACTGTAATATACAGGCTGAAAATACAACTGATTTCAACAGCATTTTAACCAATGTTTTGGATTACCAATCTGTTAATAATGAAAACCTAAACTCATCCAATATTTATGCAAGCCTTTGAAGACCTATCACTATAATTAGCTGAGACCCCTCACTCTTGCAGTGTACTTACAGTGTACAAACGGAAAACAAAATACCTACCTCACCAAAAGAGCCAGCACCTAGTTGTGAAATCACCTGAAAACACTGGTTAAAATACAAATCTCTACTATGTTGGTTGTACCCAGGACTCAATACAGCTAAAACATAAGTTAAGGACTTATTAGATACACATAGATACAAGGTTATTTTTCTTCTTCTTCTATATTTTACTGCCAAATAAAGGCTCTTTCCCCAGGCCCAAAATAGGTATATTTTCCTTTAAAAAATGCTTTATTTCCCCCTGAAAAGCTCTGTGTATTCTTCATCAAAACCATGACTTGACAGCAGCTGATTTATATCAGCTAATTGATCAATTTATTTGACTGTAAAACAGAAATCTGTCCCTATTGTTAGCCTAGAGCTGCTATGTACCATGCATGAAATTTAAGATTGAATTGAAATTGAAATTTTTTTATAGTGTGTGGGTAAATTCCATTCTTAGTTGTTAGAATTTGATTTCAGGTTAAGTTTTCCCCCTTTTTGAAGTTTTCTGATTTATCATACAATATTTTTCAATGTTTTAAATAAATATTATCTATTCATAATTTCATAATCATGGGCATCCTAGAATACCGACATTTTTTTAACATGTGTAGCATAACATGTAATCTACCGTGAGTAAAAATGAATTAAATTGTGTCAATAAACAGCGATAGGTGCATAAAATATTGACCAATGAAATTGTGTTTAGCAAAATTTATATTCTTCGACAGCAAAGGTAAAGACACAAATTAGCAGCGCCAACAGTGTAAACCTGTTTCATGTGTCTTCTTCTTCTTCCAATACTGTACATAACCAGTGATTAATCTAGATGTGCGTCTTGCGTAAAATACGCATAAAAATCGAAAAAGACGCACAGTTTCAAAATATGTGCGTTCAATTTGACGCATGCAAATCAGGTGGTTTATAATCCAAAATATCACGATTAGTGATTTCTATGTTCTGTTTGATTACTTTAATTTCATCAGTTGAATAATTTTTCAATTTCTTCAGTTGAATAATTTAATTTCCGATGATTACTTGTGCAAGACTTATCCCCCATTTGCTTGAAAAGTTAAATCCCTGTGATCGGTAACTGCCCATTATCAGCATTAGCCAATCAGAGCGTCCATTTTGCATGAGAGCGAATCGCCTACAATAGTGAAATATGGCGCCATTGGCGCTAAAAAATGAGAATGGCACAGGAAAATCATCAGCAAAGGGCCAAGGGTGCATCTAAAATCTGTACCAGACTTATATTGTATGTTATTTAGTAATCCAGACAAAACTGGTACCAACAGCAACAGGTTACCCATTCCCCCTGTAATTACGCATATTCTTGAGTTTATCCATTTCCCTATATCATTTTTCCAAGTTATCTATTTACCTTATCCCTTTCCCACACAGATAAGCATTTCTACTACCGTAAATTTAATCCAATAAAGCAAACAAAAAATCATTAATCTACTTAATATTTTAAATAAATATTGGTAACTGAAAAAAAAAGTGTTGCTATTTTAAGAAATGCTGTAAGTTACAGTATATGACAGGTGTGTAAATTGAATTCCCCTAAGGTCACTCAAGTTCATGCGGAGTGTAAAAAAAAAGATGTCTATTACGTCATCAGAATATTTGACAGGGTGATTAACCAATCAGGGAAACATTGTGCATGACTTTTTTTCATGATCAAAAGGTCTGTCTACATGTGTATGCTTTCTACACAGAGGCATACAAGGAGCAATAAAAGTCGTCAGTATGTATACAGTGTGATAGGGACATTTTGTGCAAATTACGAACAATTAAAATGGATAATGCACAGTATTAGACTTAAGTAGTAAGAAAATATAAATTATGCAAATTAGATTTTTGAGCAGCCAATAAAAATTGTTTTGCCTGCAATTAATATTAGTACAAAAAAAAAAAACTTTTTTATACACTTTAATTATTTATTCACTTGTTATAAAAACATGCAAATCATGTCAAGGATCTGCTAGCTATTAAAAAAAATTCTGCTAAGACGCATTTATTTTGCTACATGACTCATTGATTTTGCTAAAGGACTCATTGTTTTCAAACATGTGCGTCATCCGACGCATTGTAAAGAATTTCTAGATTAATCACTGCATAACCCACTCTGGAGCAATATAAAAGGCAAAACTACTCCTAAACTAAATTATTCCAAAAGCAGAGAGCACTATATTTTTTCTAAAATTAACGTTTCACCAAACGTGGTACTGGTATTATAGAATGAGCATTTTGATTGGTTTTAATGGCCTGATGAAATTGTGAGGCAACCATGGAAAAAGCCATCTTTGACACACCTCTTATTGACTGAAAATCCAACAGCTGATGAATGCTAATGGTGCGGCTGTGGGTGTCACTGTCAGGCGATGAATTAGGCGAAACAGAACTTTATTTTATTAAATACAAGGATACAGTCATTTGTTTTTGAACTTCTGAAGGACACAATCTGAGCTCTTGTCACTGGTCTATGTGGGAAAATACGGCTTACAGGTGGAGCACTTTTCACAGGTGGTCTTGGTGGAAGCTGATCTCTTGGTGTACCTCTTGACTAAAAGTAGTCCAATATATTAGACGTTACAGGCTTGTTATAGTTTTTGTCGGTCAAGCCTGACGTCTAATAGTTATTGCTCAAAAACGCATAGCATCATAAAAAAATCCAAAAATGTCTATTGTCTTGCCTTTCAAGCTTTATTCAAAAGCTTATCATATTTTCTTTCAATTTCATGCTCAATCATACACAAAAACTTTCAAACGATGTACTTATCAATTTAAAATAAAATATAAACATCAATCTATTTTTGTCTATCAGCCATACTGGTTAAGCAAGGTGCTTTACAGATTGATTCCAAATTTTTGAACGGAAAAATATATTCGAACACACTGACGGTGCATGGGCAATTATTTCGTTAAAAAAATATTCCGTTAGATTGTTCTGACTCAGTTAAACGCTTGCATTTGAATTAGCCAATCAGATTTCGCGCACTTTACGGCCGCCATTTGTTTATCGGCTGTAATAGGAATTGAAATACATTAGAGGATTTAATCATGATTTTTCGGATGTGACAGTTTAATTATTTTGACAAAAGGTATTTATTTTTTAGTTTTGTTCATAAATAGGTCAAAAATTATGTAAATACACGCTGTCTTCATTGTTTTCGTTCCGCCCGATTTTCTGGCGGAACATGCTATGGGTTTTTGAGCAATTTCGATATGACGTTGCTTTGCCAAGAAGCAAAAATATCTCAAAGCGACGTCATATTTATAGGACTAGACTAAAAGTAGAAAAATAAAGTTGATATCTGTAACATAAAGAGACGTCTGCAATTTTTGGTGGATTAAGGGGGTGTGGAGGGAGGTGGCAGGTGAAGGAAAGATTTCCATAGGTCAAACTGACCAAATAATTTAAAATTATCTTGCTCCACTCAGTTGTATCAAGGATGATGGAGCAGGGGTGTAACTGTAACGGTCTATACAAGGAAGTCCATCCGTTCTCAATATCCATATGACATAAACTATGCGGGAAATAAGTGGCACATATTAAAAGAAGAGTTATAGCTAATATAAAATAAAATAATAAAGGTTACATGCCTTTTTCGTGGAGAAAGTTTGCACCTCCTGAAAAAAATGTGGCGTTGGCCTTGGACTTTGGAAGGCTGCCATTTCGCCTTACATTGTTATTCACGGTAATATTCACATGCTCATTAATCGATACTTATAACCTTTGAAAATATAAGTCAGTTCATATGGTTATAGTTATTTCAAGTGACTTCAAAACAAGTGAACTCAGAGTTTGTTTATATTTTTCTACTTCCTCGGGAAAAATTTCGCGGTCTTTTGCCATCGATTAGTAACAGAGATCCCGATTGGTTAAAAAGTGTTTATATAGTACGACTATTTTCTTTTTCTACGGCTTCTTATTGACTGGTTGTAAAGTACTAAATAATGGTTTAGAGTTCAGGTTTTTAGGTAGGTTAAACAGCGCTTTAAAGTAGATACGTTTTTTACCCCCCCACCCCCGAGACGATTCACTCTATTTTATACTCTATTTTTTAACGGTTTAATTTAAATCTTTAAGAATTAATGATTTTTTATGCTGGACAGATTATTATAATTATGCTGAATGGTTTTCCAACACCTCTTATCATTTTCAATTATTTTAAGTTTAAACCTCTATAGTTTAATAATTAAGATTTTATTCTGTGATTAAAGGCCCATTATGACCAAGATATGCTTCTTTTTTTGTTTCTGTTTTTGCTATGTTGTTTTTACCCATTATTCCATAGGTTATGTTAAACTATTATATATGTAATTCCGACAATAGATAAATATTGACCTGACTTGACTTCTATTTTTCTCCTCTTTTTATTTTTGCTTCTCTTTTAAATCTGCAACATGGAGGTAAATCTGCATAGAAATTTGGAAATAAAAAAAAACTTCCAGATTCAATGACTAGACATGCTACTGATATTTAATGTAGAGCATGATAATCGTGATTTCGAATTCCAGGAAATAACGTCTATTATAGCCAAACATTAATATACAATGTACGTTTGAATTTATAGATTAAATTTGATGGCATTTATCATGTTTTTAGGAATACGAGGATTGTTCAAAAAGTTATATGACTGAGAGTCTTGCATATTCATATTTCATCCAATTTAGAATATTTTCATATGTATAGGGATCGTAAAATGTTTTCTACAACTTATGCATAAGTTTATTAATTTATTCTGATGAACGCGCGTTTCCTGTGATATTGAATAACCATGGTAACATGCACCCGGCGCAGCACATAAAACTAGTTATTGAATCTAAGTTATACTTTTGATTTATTCATAATTTATACTCTGTTTGTCCATTATATTCCACTTACACATTTATTTATATTTAAGTGACATTACATCTAAATTTGACGTCATTAGGGCATGAAATGACATAATTATTTAGTTTTGAATAGCTGTGATTATTGTGTTAAATGTAGAAATACGACACTCGGTAATAAACAGAAATTCATGCAATCGTTAAATTGTGCCAACAAAGTGGCAATTAATATTGTTCAAGATACATACAAAATGATAAAATTAAGAAAGGAAAATTATCCTGCCATCAGGACAATCGTTTTCAGCTGGTAAACGGCGAATACAAAATCTCTCACAGGAATGTTTGAGGATGAAAGCGGAAAATTGACGCAACGTTAGTGACGTCAATTGCAAAAGCGCTGTAAATGGATCGACGGTAAATGGTACGCGGACTGTCCGGTATTTTTTATGTTTGCTTCGGGTCTACTTATTCAGTTCTCACCAAAGGATTGTTTTTATCAAACACTATTTTATTGTATCTCATTAGATATACTTCGTTTTATATAAATTTATACAATAATTAATAAAACGTAGTATTTTCCCCAACTTTGTTTGAATAAATGATACTTTTAAATTGATAAATATTGTTATTTTACTGTATATAATCATATTGTTTTAAAAACGTACGATGACATACATGTGAAAATTGATTATAAAAATCGTTTTTTTCTTAAGCATTATAAGTCCATGCTTGTTGAGTTTCAAGTTTACTCAAATATTCGAGAAAAAAGGAGAATGACCGGCTATCGGACATTTTTCTTGGAGAATTGAACGAAATTGCGATCGCTTTCTTTCACGCTCCATGGAAGATACATGTATAATTTCCTTACTTTGGAAAATATATTTCTTAAGAAATGAAGTTGACGTTTTTCTAGATAATGAACAGATAAATATGGGATAAGGTAATTCAAAGCTTACACATGTTCTTCCTTTCCTCGGTTAATCAGGTATTCATACATGTAATTACCGTAAATAAAATATGTTCCACATGGCATAATACGGCACAGGGACGTTCGAAAATCTGGAACATAAAATATTCAGTAAGACAAAGTAAAGAGTAATGGATATATTCGTTTATTTTACATTTCTTGTCACAAATTAATTTACAGTCGCAGTTTGTCTGTTCTTTCTATATGTAATGTATCGTGCCAGGAACCCTGAAATAAGTAAAAGAGACCTTTAAGTTTTTATTACAATCTTTTAAAGACACAACTTAAATTAAACCAGTTATATCAACCAGTATTCAGAGCTAAATTTTGTTCTGAAATTTTGTTTTAAGATATTTGACCAGGATATAATTTACTAAAAACATACACACTGACAGACAAAAAGAAATCCGGTGGAATTGATATCAAGTATAGAAACAAAGCTTTGTTTGTTTTTATTTGTTGTTAGTAACAAACACAAATATGAATTTACAATGCAATGATTTTAACAACTTTTTAACATTATTTTTTAAAAATAATGATAATGATAACAATAATTATAATACAACAACAGCAGCAACGACACACCGAAAACTCTATAAATAAACCTTAAATTGAATAATATAAGTAAAATTTTATAACTGTTCTAATAAAATAAAGAATTTTGTTATCATCGTATACAGTTTATTTTAAGTGGACATACAATGGTAACAAGAAATTTAAAAAATATAAGCTGTAATTAAGTATCGATAAAAGTTTTTTAAAATAATATTCTAATAAAAAAATACACGTATCTGAATATGTTGACAGTGGACGTGCAAATGATAGAAAAAAAATTAAAACGGTATAAGCTGTTAGTGTCCGTCACCTTACAGGGTAGATGTCTTTCTTGGCTCTTACAACAATATATTTTTCCACGGAACTTTCGCAACTGTAGGCTGTTTATGTTCTTCAGGCAAGGAATTCGTATCCAGTTGGTACCACAGCTCCTCCTACTGGCATGCAGCCACAAGACAGGTCTCTTTTTAAACCTTTTTTAAATGGAAGAAATAAAAACTTTATTTAAGGGATATTCAGGCCAAATTAATGACAAAAATATAAAAAAAAAATCTTATGCACTCAAATCACGCTAAAATGACATTTGTAAGAGTCCCAGCATGAAATTTCTGTATATATTTATGTATTTTGGGTTTGAAAGCGTACATTTATATCTATAATATGGTGAACGAAATTAGACGCCGACAGAATCACCAAGTAATTTTAAAACTAGTCATGGTGACTTGAACAAACCCTGAAGCTACAATAACAGATATTGTGGATATTGTATGATTGAAACAAAACCTAAATCATTCACTTGACATGTTCTTTAACGTTTCAATAGTTCACCTGTGACAACATATATATATTGTGAATTCTTTACGCTCAAAGCTGGCCCACAGCTGGGTCAAGTTAGCGAAACCACCATTTTATTCTTTATAAAGGAGAAAAGGTTTTGTTCCTGTGACTTCGTAGTGTATTCATTTTGAGGACATTTACAGATTAATGAATGAAAAATTCAAAATGAAGAAAGGAAAATTTTGCCTGTGTATATATACTGTATGGATGTGTTCATTCGTACGTTAAAAAACAACACATTTTTTATTTTACATTTTATTTACAAAACTTAAGCACAAAATGGACAGAGGCAGAAGCTTTGGCTATGTTTATGGACTTCAACAATTCAAGTATCTCGTGCTAACAGTAATCTGATTATTAAAACACGTGATTGCACAGAAATATTTATAGTTTAATTCGCATAATCTTATAAATATGTATTAAACGTTTCATAGTAACATGTTTTATCATTTAAGGAGCATATTCTAAGAGAAACTTATTTCGTACACGTTTTCTGGCATGTAACAGGTGTCAAAAGCATTTTTAAAGTAATAAATTTCTTGGATACCGTTTCATAGAAATTCTAAAACAAAGACAAATTTGAGCCCGTTTTATGGGACAGCTGGGCAAATCTATAACACACATTAAGAAGGTTTAAAGCTGCATGCCTCTAGGTGAGCCGAACTATTTCAAGAAAATTAAACTTGAGAAAAATGTACTAAGCTTTCAAGAAAAGTAAAACGATTCAAGTAATTAAGTACTAATTAAAGTATTATGAGCATTTAATGCATCATTACCGCATTTCTTCTGTGTGACTATCTCAGTTAGGGTTATTTTTTCCATATTTTAACCTTTTTTTTGGTAATAGTGTTGTAATACTTTCTTGGTTCACTTCGCAATATGTCCTTTTTAAATACATTTTCATTTTTTTTTTCATGGAAATTAGCCTTCTTTATTTAAAGACGAAAAAGAAGAAGGCAGACGAAAATGTTTGTTAAAATCGAGTGTTTAAGATAAGTAACCATGTATATATCTAGACAGCCGTTTCATGTGATTGACAAGACTGCACTATTACAGACAGCAAATACGATTTTAGAAACAAATTTAAAAAATGTATTTGTTTGTATTTGGTTTTACGGCGCACTAACATAGCGTAATCATATGGCGCAGGAAAAAGGAAAGATGATTTTGGCTAACCTTAGGAGCAACGCCATGGTCAAAACCACGTCACCTGCTAGAGCTATGAGATATATATATTATACTAATAATCTTGCTGGTACAAAACCGGACAATTATTACAATAGAAACGCAACTTACCTAATGCCGCATCAAAATGTGCAATCAGGCAAAGTCCAAGGATTAAAAAAGTCAATTTATATCCCATTGTTAAATCAGTAAAACACAACTAAATGCTATGAAACTTGCAAGAGAAATAAAATGTAATTACATAGGACAGTACATTACTCTAGACTTGATTTGCAACATCTTGAACGTGTAATTGCTATCAGGGAAGAGGCCCGGCTTTCAAAGTAATTAGCCGAGAGAGATGAAACATTTCGGAACACCTCGCCAATGTCAAATGATATTCCTAATCCGAAGATTGCCGAAAAAAGCCGATCGAAAAAGTTGCAATGTTACAAGCCAGGAATAAAAATATACGGAGATGTCTATTTTTTCCGCTTATAATGTGATAAACGGAACCTCAAATATGATCATCAATCTGTTAGATCTATTATTTTCATCATAATTATATGTATCGTGAAAATCAATGCTTTTAATCAAGGCGATATGGAAAAAAAACATAGATATATATTGCCACCTGTTACAATTTATGAATATATGAACATTGTTAAACTTTTATAATGAATATAGTTATATCTCTTATTAAATTAATTTGAGATGAATAAAATCGACACAAAAATTTCACATACATTATTTTGGTTGAACCTTGGTAAGAAGGCACCCAATTAAAAACGTTCTCCTCTGAATTGTGCGGTTGAAAATCTTGGTACCGAAAAAATCCTTACTTTAGATGAACTTTTCTAGAATAAAAAGAAATTCCATGTCCTCTTAATTTGAGATTAGAAACTTTTCAATGAGGATACTTTGAACAGCAAATAATATTAAAAAATACCTATATTTTTCAAACGAGACAAAACAACTTAACTACTTGAAATTTTGACAATTGTTTTGTTTATGATTTTTAAGAGGCAATAATTCCTTGAATGTGTTTATCGATTAAGAGGCTTTGAGCATTTTGATAAAGTGATTAAAATTTCGTGAAAGACAATTTGTTACTCAAATTGTAAAATGAGTACATAATTGAGCTTAAGTCAGTACAACAGACTTATTTAGATTTTTTTTGTGAAACCGGGCCAGGTTTTTTTTAATAATTACCTGAGACAGATATCAAATCAATAATGCAATACATCTTTTGCATCAAATTAAACATGTTTGAGTAAATGTTGCAATTCTACAAAAGAGTTACATAAATAACTTTTTAATTACATTGAATATGCATATACATATTAGCATACACATTTATTAGTTTAAACATTAAATTGGTACATCGCCCAAATTCTTATACAGTGGCATTTCACAATTTTGTTTAAAAAAATGGATTTTATATAATCATATTTTACTCGAATTCATATCTAAACTCTTGCCTATAGATATTAACTATGACTCATTCGACAATGATCCTCAACTTACAACAATAGAAATGCTATTTCTACATGACTTTCAGCGACAACATTTCATAAACAAGAATATAATTCTGACCAATCAACTTCTGAGGATAAAATAGTTGATGGAAGAAGCTTACCGGCATGATCGAGGGTAAATGTACAAAATACCAACAACTTCTCCAAACCCACGGGAGCGTATCACGGTAAGAAATCAAGCTAACGTCATCGGTAAGTGAAGCGTTGGGTGGTTGAACCTGTTGTTTCTAATCTGGCATCCTGTGTTAGGTTTTTTCCTTGTTTAAGCGGGCTTAAGCTTTTATTTTTTGTTGGACAAACAATTCTGTTTGTTTCAAACTAAGAATTTCAGTAATTTTATCTTCCAAAAGAGCAACAGCCTTCTTTAAAACAAGAGCTATTTATAGCACGACAGTGACTTTCTAATAATAGAAGATTGGGAAACAAATCGTACGCTTTACTAATTTACATATAGAGAGTGGACCTGTAGATTAGAGGTATCGAGGGGTGTCCTTATTGTTTCATGTTTTATCGAATGCAAATTTCATTTTCCACCTTAATTATTTTAATTTGAGAATTATATGAAACATAATTATTATCTAAAAATAACATATTTAACCTTTAGAAACGCTGAAGGCCGCTTTCAAGCAAATATGGATTTGTAAAACATTGGGAATGATTTGTTTGACACTTTCGAAATGGTAGTAAGAGCAACGCTCCACTCACACAATGATTTATCATTCATGGTCGCTTGGGAAGAAAACTTTTTAAACTTTTTCGAATCTGCTTCCGGAAACTAGCCAAGTACTGAGGTCGTATGAGGAGATATTGTCACAGTAGCCACCAAACTCACCATCCCTGTGGTTCAGAGGGAATAACCAATGGGCACTATATACATCTAAAGATATTGGAAGTTTGGTTGATTCGTAACATACATGTTTATCAATATGTCACACAAAACGAAGAAGAGAAGCAGAACACAAATTAACATCATTTTCTTACAGCATGATTATGACAAATGTACATACAAAAGGGTTGGTTTTTACCAACATTATCTTAGGCGTGTCCCTTTTATATCATTTTAATACTATCTCTTTGATAATGTCTTTGGGACTTTACATATCTTATTTTTAAGAGGAATGGCTACACATGATATGGGATGGCTGTGTGCAGAAGATAATATTTAGTGGTAGGTTACAACCTGAAGATTGGCCAAATATAAATCAATACGTTGATTTGAAGTGGTATGAATTTTCTAAGTTGGGAAAGGCTAAATGCAAGATTTGGTTTAAGCATATTTATTTAAACTCGACCGCGAAACAAGGTCTTGCAGCTTATATTAATCACTTTCGAGTCCGCTTCCTGGAACCAACCAGTACTTGTGTCATATGAAGAAACATGGTCGTGACCTGAGTAGGGCTTGAACCCATGATTTCTGGGTTAAGAGGCAGACACCTTAACCACTAGGCAACCACTCCCATTGAATGCAAGATTTAATTTCAAGCATGGGTTCTGTTTATTTAAAAAACACACAAACAGGTAATTCAAAGAAAAACTGTTTATGTTTTTAATACACTGTTGTTGTACCAGATTTATTTTCGTGTGCTACTACATGGATACTTCCTACAGGGAACACACATTTGTAAAAGCTATAACTTTTCGATTTAAAAATGTGTTCTTTTATTTCTAGTGTCTAAAAAATTTCAAAACCGAACAATACTTTTTTATGTCACATCAACACGTAACAGATCAGATAATAACTTTCAAGCTTTATTGGTAGAGGAATATTCGATAAGCTAGTTTGGGATAGCTTGGTCACATGAAAGACTCAAAAAGCGCTAGCAGGACTCGAACCTATAGCGGTGAGAGGCAAGTGGTTTGAAGTCAGTGACCTCAAACACTCGACCAAAACTGCCGATTTAGTTTTCTATATGCCATTTTGTTTAACCTTTCCTACCTACACTCACTCGCTATAATTTCAGGTGATAGGCTATAATTTACCAGGGCTGTCGATATTCAAGAGGAAAAACTTCTTTGAGAAGTTTTTTTTTTCAGAACAATTATATTATGCAAATATATAAGTTATAATAACTTGTGTAAAATGCACTGAAATTTTGAATTATAATATCAGTTTAGAAATATTCATACAACTTCGTTTCTTGATAGAGGTAAATTATAGAATATTAAATGGTATTTGTCTTAAAAGTTAAAAAAAGGTTTTATCATTGGTGGGTGGGTTAATTATTTATACCAGTCTGAATGATAATGTTTAGATAATGCAGTGTTTCAACTTTTTGAATGTAATGGACTTTGGTTGAAGTGTTTTAGATTATGATAAAGCATGCTTGTGTATTAGTGTGTTACTTTGTTAATTACCATATCTCCGTGGAACAACTTGGGTTTTTATTTTCACAGATTTTTCTAATTAAAATCATATGATTTCAATAATTGACATTTTTAGCATTTCATACCTCGATTTCTTTTGAGGATTTTGTTTCTGAAGCAACACTTATACATGATAAAAATATGCAAGGAAATTGTTTTAGGTCGGGTCTAATTTTGGCTAAAATGCCTAGCCTATGTGTATTATAATAATTATGCAATACAATATTATTAACCAACACTAACTGTTTTTGAAAGAAATGTCGGAGATAATATGTGGATGTATTCAATTTAACATTTTTACCACTAGAGAAAAAGCTGATGAGTTGCAAACCATATTTTACTTACTGAATAATAATATAAAAAACCATCTGTTTCAACACGACCTTTATTAGAGTATAAATAACAATTTATTTATTTATTCTGCAATATTTGTTGAGACTGGATTCTGTCTACTATACAGCCAGAGATAACGCACCAATATTTCACAAAACCGTTCTGTACTTTAGGTTCGGTATTTGGAGTTTCAAGTGCTGAAATTGAATGTAAGAATTTTTGTTATGCTCTCTGATTTATAACCTAAGTATTGTTTGGTTTTATTAACCTGTCAATTACATACTGATTACACGGTCGATGCACACAGTATATTAATCTTCGGTAGATTTTCGGTAAGTTCCGTGAGATGTACGTACGATGGAATTTGATTTAATTTGTATCGATAAACTAAGTGCACTCATCGTTATAGCGCAATAGGGTTAAGCACGAGTTTATAATCTAACTGCCACACGTGTTCTAAGTTCTAGACCGCGTTGGTCCATGTTTTTTTTTATTTCTTATTAATACTTTCAACATTATTGAAGCTATATATTATTATTTTATATTGTTCGTTTTGTTTTATTTTGTGTTACTTAATTTTGTTTTGTCTATACTCATTTAAATAACATGTTTTAAGAATTCATTTAAAAAAAATTAAAACGGATTAAAATCAATAAATGTCTTTTCAATGCCGTAAAACACACTGCAAATCTTTTCCATTAAAATATACTGCAAAAAAAAAGAAAGAGTACTAGTGGCAACAGTAAGGATCGAACCACACACCTCTCAATTAACAGGCATTCTCTTAACCGACTGTGCTAACCGACTGTGAAACCCTCACATTAAGCTGGTGTGACTTTCAATCCATGACTAATATACTCCACATTAATTTTCGTAAACTACACGGACCAAACCGAAGTGGGATCGAATATTTAAATGAGTCCTGTAAAGTATTCATAATTGACAGGTCAATAAAATCAGACTATAACGTCACGTATGCACCTTGGCGACCATTTGTAGCGATTCCTAATATTGTTTACTGCGGTTTACCAACTTTTAGGTATTTGAATCAAAGAAAATTTCAACGTTCTCAGTATAAAATTCAGAACAGATCTATGGAAAGCCTTGACTGTCTTATAATTATAAACCTAAACTTTGATATGTCCATATAGCAATATATTATGTAGTCAACTGAACAATATACGATGTCAACGTGTCTTTATATGATGTCAATCTATCATTATACGTTGTGCATTTTTGAATATATTATGTGGAGCCATCCTTATATAAGGTCAAAATAACAATATATTATGTCAGACTGTCCTTATATGATGTCAGTCTGTCATTATATGATGTGAAGTTATGAATATATTATGTATAGAATCAACATTATATGATGTCAACACGTCATTATATGATGTGAATCTATCATTATACGATGTGCATTTTTCAGTATATTATGTGAGACCATCCTTATATAGAGTCAACTTAGCAATATATGATGCACATGTCTCATTATATGATGCCAGTCTTTCATTATACGATGTGAGTTAATGAATATATTATGTGGAACCATCTTTATATAGAGTCATAATAACAATATATTATGTCAATCTGTCTTTATATAATGCCACTCTTTCATTATATGATGTGCATTAGTGAATATATTATGTAGAACCATTCTTATATAGAGTCAAAACAACTGTATATAATGTAGAATCGTCTTTATATAGAGTCAACTTAACAATATATGATGTCAACACGTCCTTATATGATGCCAATCTTTCATTATGCGATGTGCATTAATGAATATATTATGTGCAACCATCTTTATATCGAGTCAACTTAACAATATATGATGTCAACACGTCCTTATATGATGCCAATCTTTCATTAAACGATGTGCATTAATGTATATATTATGTTTAAACATTCTTATATAGAGTCGAAACAACACTATATTATGTAGAATTGTCAGCTTAACACTTTACTTTGAGTTTTCCCGCTGCTGCCACGAACGGTGCATAGTGAGATATAACCCGGTAAATTTAACCCCATCATTATAATGACAGAAGCACACGATATAATGATGTTTGCACTTCATATAAAACAGCGATCGTATAATAATAGATGCACATCGTATAATGAAAGATTGACATGATATATTGATAAGTTGACTGTGTATAATGATTCTACCACATCATATATTCATAAATGCACATCGTATAATGATTGGTCGACGTCATATAAAGAAACATTGACATCATATATTGTTCAGTTGAATTCATATAAGGATGCATCTACATAATATATTCATGAGTGCACATTGTATAAAGAAAGAGTGACACAACAACGTTCATTTTTACAATCATAAGACAGTCAAGACTTTCCATACAGATCACCACACTAACGCCTTTTACAAATACAATGATATTAAACACGAAGAGAGACTGCATTATATATGGACTGTGTTTTTCCACTTTTGGTATGAAAATCGCGTGAAATGTGAAGACATTGTTCTATAGTCAGACAAGCAAAGAAAACGTTAATAAAGCCGAAAATAATATGAATGATTATGTAATTTACCCCAATCAATTATGGCACGAGTTTCATAATCTTTGCTTATTTCGTTATGCTTCATACTGATTATATGATATAAAAAATCATTAAATTAACATTTCATTTTTAAATTTGTTTCTGAATGAAACATATTTACCTCTGGCGTTTCTATCTAAAGGGGTCGCTGTCATATAATACGTAGAGTATGTCTTGCAGAAGGCGGCAATATTTGGTCCCGCAACAGCATTTACCTCATCATGTGATAGTCTGGTAGTATTGATGTCCAGCAAATGGTCATGCACTTCATGAGTTAACCCCTAATAATAGTACAACAAAGAATGAAGATAAAAACGTTTTTGTATTTTCTTTTTATTCATATTTTTTATCATAAAATTTATCCTTCTCTATTCACTTTTAATGCTGCATAAGTTTAATTATACTTATTTTTTCCACAATAATCAATGCACGTGAAAATTATATTCCTAATATTTATCAAATTTTAAACAAGGTTTTCCTCTTACAAATAGAAATTTGTTACTACATTAAATTTTGTTTTCTTCTCGGAAATCTTATGTAGTGATTTTTGTTAGAAACTCTTACGACTCTGTATTTCTCAGGGGTTGCCTTTGGGAATGGTGCACGTCCGAGAAGGCATATTTTGTCATTGATATTCTTTAATATCCCGTAGCCCTGTAGATAAGTAAGCAATAATTATTCATAGTAATGTGTAAAGAGGCAATTGTATCAATCCCTAATAATACTGGAACCAAAAGTGTTTAGCTTTAACCCGCCCAGCCTGCACATCAATACATTCTAACTACATTATATAGGAGTACAGTTCACCGACAAACTTTGAATTCCCTTCTTGACATTATTAAAATTGATAATGGATAGTCCCATAAATGGAAGATTGACATGTTCATCTCAGAAATTCATTGGGTTAAGATTAAAGTAATTTTGCCCAATTATCAAAGGTTTTCTTTACAGAGGACTGACTTACAATATATAACATCTAATTCATAAATGAATTACTTGTCTTTTAGAATTCAAAATCTAAGTAGTATAAATTGTGACATGATTCATAATGATTTTGCTCATATTCCTTACTGTATTATAATCGTGCAGATTCACAGACTGGATACCCTCTTCGTACATGGAAACATCCCCTATTACAACATGGACGGTGTTTTTGTCCGAGTCATATGTAACATCCATCGCCACTTTACGACCATCATTGTCAATTTGAACAAGATGATTTGTCTGAAAATATACATGACCAGTTATGTCCAGATAAAACTCTTTATATATATATGTGACCAATAATACACGTGGTATTGTGGTGATAATATTTTATCATTTACACATGTTAACTCTTTGCTGGAAGCTTATTTTGTGACGATAACGTGAGGTCACTACATATTTATGATGACACATCATATCTGTCTTTTATTAGTCTTCTATGTACCTTGTAACTTTTATGTTTTAGCTAATTATATCGATCATAACCTTTTTTTTCGATTTGTCAAAGGGAACCTTTCCGTAGCAAAAGCTCAGCTGCCAAAGGTTAATTATGTATGCCATATACATGTTGTGGTAAATCGAAAACCCGAGAGGACAAAAGTATAAAGATACGACTTGAGTTAATCGTGTTTTCAAACGTTTACCACACCAATACGACAACACGATAGCTAAAATGTATCTTGTTATTGCCATGAATTTGTCGGGCCTTCGCGTTTCACTCTTTGGAAAAATAATAAAATAGAACAGATAGATGCAAAGTAAGAAGACCTTTGTCTGTAAAGTCATGCCAAGAGATTAATTAAATAAAGGTGAAGGTTGAATTTTGAGGGAATTCGTTCGCTACAGCAACAATTGTGACACTGAGACAACGTGTCAAATCAGTAGGCAAAATTTCGTTGTAATTTCATTATGATAACGTCATTTTTCAGTCATTTTATTGATTTACAAAGGTTTAAATATAAACAATGGTGAATACCAAACATAATGTTTTGAATAAATCAGATGGCTTAACTTTGAGTCTATATTAGACTTTATGCGGATAAATCTCTTTCCATACCTCCAGAACTGCGCTCGCCGGAACCACAAAGAGCACAGCTGTTATACAGATCATCAACATGTTTATTCCGGAACGGTACTTAAATTTGAGACGTTATTGTACATAAAATCAATAAAAGTGCAATCAATTGAAAATTTAACACGTACATATTTTTTCCGAGTTTTTCATGCTTTCATGTTGTTTTTTTTTGTTATTTTTTTTTAAATTTACATACATGTAGTGCGCTTGACTAAAAATTGCAAATGTGTCGTTGCAAATTCACAATGACCGTTTGCAGTTTTTCTAAAAGTCATGTTATTTGGTAAATTGAAATACGTCATTTTCACTAAAAACGCCAAACATTTACACCTTTGTAGTCAAGACACGTTTAAATTTTAAAATTCTTTTGTGTAGCGCACTGAAATACAACGTTTAATTCCAAATTTCAAAACTTACCTTGCTGTTTCAGTTTGTTTTGGTGTTGTTTCATGGCAAATACTGGATGTCTTATATAATGTTCGTTGTAGATAACCCGCATACACTTTACGTCACAGATGTCAGTGAGAAATGTATGGAAGACAATCTATGCATAAATATATTGTTCTATTTGTTAAATACATCATGCTTGCTTGTACTTAGAAATGCGAGATGTCTATAAAAATATGTTTTGTTTAAATAGATGTATGTCAAAATGCGGTGTGAACGCCACACTTCCTTGATGATCTTGTTTTTCATATTTGATAAACACAGTTGTTTTCACTCGATCACAATGTCGTGACATCCTTGATTTTTCAGTTAAGGAAAACCTTATTCCGAAAAATGTCACATTTCAATAACTGTAGAAAATATATCAATATAATTATTTATTATCACTTGCAATTACAATTATAACAAGGTAGTCTTAAGGACAGCTAAATCCCTTTTGGTACTTCTTCACCTTTAACAAACCATGACCTTGACAATAATAATTTGTGCCATGTTATTAAAATCTTCCATAAAATCAAAAAGTTAAGGAGAACATTTAACCTTGACCTTGGGGTAGCAACCTGGAAATTGGGTTCTGCACATCGTGTCAAAATGATGATAATTTCTGACAAGTCATCTTAAAAATATTGCAGCGTTTTAAATGTTATGGAGCGGACACGAAGTGTAAGTGTAGACCTTTTAACACTTGACTTTAAGTGTGACCTTGACCTTGGAGGTAGCAACCCAATAATTGCGCTCTGCACATCATCACATAATGGTGATCACTTTTGCCAAGTTATTTTAATTCTTTATTCAGCATTTTTAAAAGATATGGAGTAGGCACATGTACACTTTTAACACTTGACCTTTAAATGTGATTTTGACCTTGGGGGTAGCAATCCAATTGTTGCGTTCTGCATATCTGTCAGATACCAGCTCTTTGAAAGAGCACTTATTATTTAGCAAGACACGTTAAACAGATAGAACAATACAAGTAGGTATGAAGAAGAAGAAGAATGATTTTATTTTCAACTTGTACACAACATATGGTACATCGTTGTACAATATACATTTACAAAATACATGGCATATGGTCACTATGATTGACAATGTTAACATTCTGTATCAGCATCAATAATGTTTAAGTAAAGTTTATATCTATAAAAGACTTAAAATGTATGTGTATGTTCTTAAGACATTACCTTAGAAAATATGTACTTAAGTATTCATCTTAGAAAAAGAAAAATCAAATTTGAAAATAAACTTAAGTAAAATGAACAAATACTTTCTATCAATACATGTTAGCACAAAATTAACACCTGTTCTAGAAGTAATGTTTTTTAAAACTGATTACATCAAATATTATTTTTAGCAGTAAAGAAAAACAATTTATAAAAAGTACTATTGGAGAACGAACGGAATATCATATAGTCGTTGATAATATGGACATGAATAATCTTCCATAGCTTTGTCCTGGGATTATAACAGATGTATTTGTCACGAAGGCGATAACTAAAGGTGAGACATAGTCCAACGTTTAAGCTAGAAACGTTAAATGCTTGCACGCTTTTTGAAGGTCAGATATTACAGAGTACGAATGTCATCGTTTCGTAGATAAGATGCATTTTTTTTTAATTCGTACGTAAAATGCACGTAAACTCATAATTATCGCAAGATACGACGATTTGTCTGATGTAGTAAGCCAGTTAATGCTTTATTGGTAGTAACGCGTCTACAGTGCGATACCTCGGATAACGCACGCTTCTTCAGAAAAGGTGCGTGGTATTTTAAATAAAGCACAGTTATGTATAACCGTGACCGTAGGCAGCAGCAACAACAACAACAAAAAAGAACAGAGAAATGGACTATATCAAAATTCACACTGGAAAATAACTAATATAAATATTCAGATTTGGGTTGGGATAGGTAAATGAGTACTAGAGATATGGCCATCAGTTTGACACAGTTTTGTCTGTAGCCTTGTAAACAGTGTTATAAATGTTTTAATAAGTTATAAATGTAATTCGGTGCTATGAGGCTAAGCTTGTTTAAACATTTGTCTGTGCATCATTTCTCGTTTTTTATCAATTGTATGTCCTTAAGAAAATATTATAAATGATAGTTTTTTATTTAAATAATTTTTAAAATCCATCTTTTAATATATATACATGTATAGCTATCTATCTATCTTTTTTTTTCTTTTTCTTTTTTTACTTCTCTCGTGTCGGTTTCCAAGGATTGTCATACGACTATCACTTAACATCTCTACAGGATGCAGGTACATGTACCCGCTTTCTAATTTTCATTTTCACAATTAGCTAATGGTGTAAAGGTAATAGCAATTTGTACCAAATTGCGATGACTAATAAAATATGTAATGAAAATATCCATTCCGTTTTTATTTGATAGCAGCAGACATTTGTTTTTATGCACACAAGTTGATGGCATCAAAGTCACTTCTAGTTACAGCTCATGAATAAAAGGTTTGAGAATAGGTTGGGTGTGTTATAAGGTACTTTTACATTACATTTATTGTCACAGAATTTCATATGTCCTCTAAATAAACATTTCGAACATTATTTATACGCTGCCGACTTTTTCAATTTTATTTCGTTAGTGATCTATTTCTGAACAAATGTACAGGCCCAGTATATGTTATTTACAACAACTGTGAAAATTTTAAGTCCAATCCGGTATCTTCTTTCTGCCATGGGTCGGACTTTTACTGTAAGTGCAAAGCAAAGGATATTACTTAATTGTTTTTTATTTGTGGGTCAAATTTAACGGATATTTGCATACATTTTTATTTTATCACTATAAATCATAATATCAAGAAAAAATACAAAAAAAACCAACAAAAAACAACAACAAAAAAACTTAAAAAAAAAACACACACACACACACACAACACACACACACAAACACACACACACACACACAAATAATTAAATAAAAAAAAAAAACTCTGAAAAATTTATATGTCCAATCCGGTATCTTCTTTCTGCCATGGGTTGGACTTTTACTGTAGGTGCAAAGGATATTATTTACAAGTTTTTTTATTTGTGAGTCAAATTTAACGATTTTTGCATATATAATTATTTTATCACTATAAATCATAATATCAAGAATAAATACCTCAAAAAAAAAAAAAAAAAAAAAAAAAAAACATTAAAAAAACAAAAGAAAAGAAACAAACAAAAAAACATCAACTCTGAAAAATATATGTCCAATCCGATATTTAAAGCCACATCCACGGATTGTAGTCACATCCAGTATTAAGTCATACCGTTATTTTTTATAATAAATATGTTCGTGTTTCGATTTAATAAATACAATTTAATGAGACTTTCTTGCGTTTGAGGAAAATATAATTATTTGAATAGATTAACTTAGCATATACACATTTAGCATCATTATTATAATTTAATATTCTACTATAAAAACAAGCTTTTTCCTGATATGAATTTATAAATACAATAGGTGCCTGATTTTTAATGGTCCAATAAATGATACTTTTAGTGTTTATACAACTGTTTGGGTGATTAATCTTTACTTTTTTTTCCTTTTTACACAATGATTTGGTGGTAAGATTACTGGTATTAGGTAATTCTGTTTTTAAAATATTTAATTATTTTCTTATTGATTACATTTTCTGCTAAAATATACTTGTAATGATTTCAGTTTTTTAATTAATACTTGTGCATTTGATCGTCATATAAGATCTATTATTTTTAAAGTTCAACTAATATCCTATATTTTCTTTATTAACTAACGTTTTGATCTGATTCCAATCTTATTTCATTTCTATGCCTTATATCTGCTTTAAACGTATTTGTCTTTAATCTGAATCGCTGTTTAGATGAAAATTAGAGGAAAAATAATTTGTTTCATGATCACCGTGAAAATTCAGTAACACAGGGATGTGTAAATAACGCAGGAATTGTGCAAAAGTAACGCAGCATTGTGAAATTTAGTGGCTAAATAGAGCACCACGATAAGTAAATGGACCAATATTTATTATTGTACGCCAAATTGGAAGAATTGAGTTAGCGCATAAGGTTCCTGAGACATTATACTTTAAACATCAAAACATATTTCCATGATAATGTTTATTTTTCAAGATCATTCGTAAAAATGATTACCTGACTAGCGTATTGATGGCGATTTTTAGTTTCATTGATAGCTTTAAATACAAAAACGTACATATTACTTTATGATTTTTCATATTAGGTGTACCTGAGACTTTTCCAATCTACTCCTGTCATACTATACTTAATTAAGCAGATAAAACGTAATTGAGACCATTTTTTACGAGGTAACGCCGAATTCGTGAATTAAGCACTGAAGCAACGGCGGTTATCTCATTAAAAGTAGCCAAATCCTATTTTACCAGCTTCCTTCTATTGTTATACGACACTTGTAGTTTGACAAATGTCTTAGGTATACAAAATATGAAAACATAAAGTTTTAAATGTGTTAAATGTACATATTTATTAGACGAAACACAAAAGACACCTTCAAAACGGTAATCAGGTTGTCTTTTTCACGAATGATCTAAGAAAGTAAACAAATTCCTGATAAAAAAGTGTAATGCTGGTTGAAGTATAATGTAGTAGCAGCCGTATGCGCTAATTCATTTCTTTAAATTTTATTTAGAATAAGATATTTGGGTTCGTTTACTTACTGTATTCGTTTTGGTAATAGCGTTGAACAGATTCGGCGTTACTTTTACGATAATTGCACATTCCTGCGTTACTGGATATGCACGGTGATGATGAAACGGTCCATTTCAACGCTGAATTCGCTATCATGGAAACGCCGCCAAAACCACATTTCAAACACAATAATAACAACTTTACGTTTTCTGGAATCTTTAATCAAATCTACATGGCATAGCATTCTCCGAATTTCGATGTTTGGTGTAGAGTTTACAAAATATATAAAAAGTGAAAACACTTGACACTTGATTTTAGCGACATGCACTAGCTCGGAAGTAGCGATAGATAGAGGATATTTGTTTAGTTCAGTGTAAGATCGGAATATATTTCACCGAGTGAGCACCAAAAGGTATATTTCACGAGTGGCGCAGCCACGAGTGAAATATCAACTTTTGGTGTTCACAAGGTGAAATTTATTTCGATCTTACACTAAACTAAACAAATTTTCTTTCTATTACATGCAAAAAAACGTTTTAAAAACACATTTAACCTAATACTGAATGAAAAGCGCGCCAAATGATAATACAACGTGACGTCATTTACGACGTCACGTCATTAAGTTGGTACCCAGTACTGTGCACGCTGGTATTTCACTGCAACAACGTAAGGGGCTTAAATTCAAAACAGTGAAATTATCAAAGTGGTAATTTCACTGTTTCAAACAGTGAAATTACCAGTTTTATATCACTGATATATTTCTATAAACCACCGAAAAGCATGTAATAAAACGATTTACCGCATGCCCCCGAAAGAGCTTATCTGCTCTATCATTTCCCAGGCGTGTTTTCTTAAGCTCATTTTATGAGCTAGATTTTTTATTGAAAAAAATTGTGGTATAGTTACAGTCATGCCGGCATTGCTATAAGTTCTAAACCACAATACCTTCAAAATAAATATATATATACATATATATAAATAAAACATTAAATACAATTATCATTTGAAATTTATGGTGACATATTTCTGCCACCAGAGGACCATATAACTAACTAGTTAATTAAGAGGTTAACTAGTTACGTACCTAATTAACTAGATAGTAATCAGGTTATCTGGTTGCAGAAATATGCCACTATAGAAATCGAAAGTCATTTTGTTAACTTTTCTATGAAACATCACAAATAAAAATAATTGGGAGTGAAACGTCTAGGTGTGAACCGTCTTGGGAATGAATGGTTCAATGGGAGTGAAACGGTTGGCATTCGTTTACATTGAATAAACATGGCGTCGTTCGTGAAGGCTACCAGTCACGTGAGTCACTCGCACATTTATTGTTAACAGCAAACATTTATTTATCACGATCATTTTCAATAGCAACAACAACAACAACAACAACTTTTATTAGCAAATATCGACAAAAACTTGCCTTTGGCTAATGAACAGAAAAAACATTTCAAATATTGATCATATATACAAACATATAAAGCAATTTTATATGAAACAATATTTATCAACACATATACATATATATTCATAGTGATCAGAAAAAGTGTACATTTATAAGACATCGTTTCTAACAGTATATGCTTCTTTTAGATATTTACACATATTCAATACAGTTTTCTTTTTATTTGAACCCATCATACGGTTGAACAAATTAAGATTTGGCCACGAAATATGTGGCATGTATTTGGTACGAATATTTGAATATTTTTGACAGGTCATAAGAAAGTGGTACTCTGACTCAATGACATTACAATTGCAATATCTACAAATTCTATTTATTCTATCAGTTCCTATATATCTCCCAGTTTCAATAGCTAGCGAGTGCGCTGATAATCTGAAACATGTAAATAGTTTTCTCAAATAGTCATTTTCAATAAAATCAAGATATTTTTCATAACCAAATTCTTTCTTAAATTTTACATAATAATCAAATTTGGACATACTACGAATAGAACCACTCCATTCTTGTTTAAACTGATCTCTTAATAGCATGATTGATAAAGTCATGTATGATAGTTCTTCTACTGCATGCAGACTTGGGTGTATGATCTTTTTACTAAATATATATGCAACTATAACGGCTTGGTTGTAATTAACTGCCGTATCTCGTTTTTTTTGACGCGCAGGAAGATTAACGACATGGCAGGAATTGGCCTCTATTGTTAACATTGGAGCGAATTGTTACACAATTGCTCCAAAAATAGGTAATAATCATAATTTTATACGCTTATTTTGTTTATGCAACGATGCGTTTTAAAACTTTGATATATATGACTCCCATAATGATAGTTTTCATAATTTAATTTATCTTAACATTTAGCTGATAACGGAATTACGCCTTTAACGTTTTTGTAATATAATATTTGTTTTTTATTTTGTTTATGCTACTGAATTTTTAAAAATGGAACTGTTTTTCATATTCGGAAGCTTAAAGGAAGTTATTCGGTTTGTTATAATAAGTTCCGGCCGACTGCTGAAAAACACCTACAATAATGTTACTAACATTATTTAAACAATCTACTGACTCATTATCTGCCTGCACAATAATTTATATACAACCTTTGTTTAACAAACAAACAAAAAAATAGATAAATAAATAAATAAATAAAACAAATGCATCATCCGAATTTATTGAGAAGTCGATAATTGAAGAGCAGAATCCGATCAGCTATTCATTCAATTTATTTTCACCAGATTAACTTTTCAATTTATCATCACTAGAATATCTATTCAAGTAGTATATATGTAACACGTGGGAATACATTTTGCATAATTGGTATATCTTAATTGCAATGAGTATTTTTTTCCTTTCCAAACGATGCACATAACTTTTCTGAACTTTGCGCAATAAGTTTGTCCTTTTAGGTGATTAATCATTTAAACATGGGATTTTTTTTATTACATGATAATAAAAGAAATCAATAACTAATAAAGGGATGGTAAAATAAATTTAGAATTTGTTCAGCACCAAATCGAGACTTTTACACGTGACTAGTTTTACAATTCTGTTATTGAAATTTGAAACTATTGACATTGGTAACGTGTTATTCTGATAGATAATTTGACTGGATGTTGTTGATATATTGTAATTACAAACTTTGATACATGTATAATGATACATGAGACTAGAGACAACAAATAGAAACAATTTGTTTATTAATTGGATTTTAATACGTTTATTGATTGCTTAATTTTTTTAAACAGTTTTTTTTATTCAGTTACATTTCGGGTTTCGATTTGCAAACTAAGATTGTTTAGTTATTGAACTACATTTGTTAACTTCATCAAATCACTTAATTCCCCCATTTTATCCCTTTAACTTTAAATTTTTACATCCCCTTGTAAAAAAATTTGTCGCCCTTGATTTTCTAAATTGCTTTCTCCCTGGTTTTGCGTAAGTTTTCATTTTTAATTTTCCTCAATTTTTGGGAAAAAAAAAAAATAAGTGAGTGAGTGAGTTAAGATAAATAAATAAATAAATAAATAAATAAATAAATAAATAAATAAATAAATAAATAAATAAGTAAATAAATAAATAAATAAATAAATAAATAAAACCAAAAATACTTATAAAAATAAAATAAATAAATAAATAAATAAATAAAAAAACAAAACAATTTGGTACTAGGTGTCTTTTTTGGTATAAAAGCTATAAACAAATTTTTATTTTTGGAATATTTTCAGAAAAAATTTAAACTAAAAATTTGAAGAAAATAAAAAACCCACCTTCAAGTTATGGGTTTTTTAAAACCCAAAGAATATTTTCTTCCGCCAAAAGGTTTGTTAAAACCCTTTAACTTTATAAATTTCCCTTTAAAGATTAAAAAATTAAATTTGAAAAAGGTTTAAATTTGCTAAACAGACCCGCCTAAGAAATTTGTTTCAAGTTATTAAACAAAAGGAAACAGATGACAAAAAGACGTTTAAAGAGATTCTTAAGGTAAGACTATATCTGAATATTAGTTGTTTATTTACTAGTTGTATTTAAAATATAGCCAACTGATGAATACTTTCAAATAAAATAATTACTTTTTTAAATTGAAACTGGAGTTGATTTCTTTATTCTTACTTACATACCTATGAATGAAATATTGAGAAATACTGATTATATAAAAGCGTATTTCCATATTCTGTATTTTCACTGTAAAAAATATTATATTCCGTATTTTTTCCGGTGCCTTGCCGGACTACTTTCTTCTAAATTCAGTCAATTCACAAAGTTAAAAGGTAATTCTCCATATTCATCAGTTTAAAAAAGAGAAAAAGTATATAATAAACCAAAAAAATCAAGTTTTCATACTACAGGATTTATTTTCAATCTTGTGGTATGAAAATTATCATATTTCACTTGCGACTACCGCCACTCGTGTCATATTTATTTCTATACCACCAGATGAAAATAAATCCTGTATTTTTAGAAGAAACTTGAATATCTTCTATATATCTAGTATATTATTGAAACAGTTGTACCGTGTCTTTGTTTATGGCAATGAGCTGTAGCCTAAGTCTGAAATGAATTATTCTGTTCTGTTCATTCAAATAGTCAAGAACTCATTTGGAGATTTTTGTTTTCATTATGCCGGTATTAGAGAGGTGTTGGTGAACAAGTCAGCATGATTCTTTGACAAGACACGATTTAAACGAGGCCTGATGAAGTACAAAAGTGATTTGATATGGGTTTTTTTGGACTCGAAAAATGAAAACAAGTCAAAATTGATAAAGTTGAATGCAATAATGATTTATATTGAAAGATCACGTGGTACAAACGCTGAAATTTCATTGGTTACATTTCATAAGTTGGAAAATAATTCATGTAGTTCATATTCGTCACAACAATCACTAACCGAAGCTTTAATATCTCTACGTTTTCCTGCTCTCTTTGGTTTATATCTAAGCTGTATTCCAAAAGCCAAAATGTCCTTATATGCCCCGTGAATACGTCTTTACTTTTGTGGGTTTATTTGAGCGAAATTTGAGAAATATAGTCAAAACACTTATATTGTTAATATTTAAATCTTAATAAAAATGCAATATTTGCAACTTCAACAATGAAGAAGATGAATATCATTTTTGTTTATAAATAGGATTTAGCGGACTCAAGTTCTCTTCATGGAGTGCCGAAGATTGTTGCGTCTCGACAGATAACTGTGAAAGTGTTATGGTGTCTTCTGTTCATAGCAACGTGCTCGTTACTAGGGTATCAGCTAAATGGACTCTTTGAGTAAGATTGGATCATAATACATTATGATTTCCCTTTTCTTTCTTTCTTTCTTTCTTTCTTTCTTTCTTTCTTTCTTTCTTTCTTTCTTTCTTTCTTTCTTTCTTTCTTTCTTTCTTTCTTTCTTTAATTATTCAATCATGTATTTTATGTCACGGTTCAGAACTGTTCACTACAGTAATCAGACGGATAGCTCAGTCGGTAGGGCCGCGGTACTGTATTCTGAGGGTCACCGTTTCGAGTCCCAGTCAGGCTGGCCCCAATTTTTTTTCACCCTTTTGGGCCCCTTATTTTAGTGGGTTTCACCCTTTTTTTTTACCCTTAGGACACGTTGTCCATTTTACATCTCCCCTTAATAAAAGGGATTTTCTAAAATCTCTACCCCGATATTCACTTAAAACTTACACTCAAAAATTTACAGAGATCACGAGATCCCCCCGGTTGAACCAACCAAACCCGGTGCTTTGACGGGCCCTTTTTGGAGGAGTTTGGGTTCGACTCCCCCAAAACCCCTATACCCGGGGGATGAAAACATGAGGAGGGCCCGGTGTCAGTCCGTAATTTAACAAATTAACATCACGCCCCGAAAATTTATAAATCTTTACATTTTGGCTCATTTTTAAATGGGAAATTCCCCTTGTATCAAGCATGTACAAAAAAAAAATAAAAACCCCCCTAATCCCGAATTTCCAACCCCTGTCACGCTTTGTAAATTTAATCAGAACATTATCAAAGTAATCAAAATATCACTTTTAAATAATTAATTGTTGTATACCCATACAAATATATACAACCGCATAAGTGATCCTTATTAAATTTCGAGTAGTATAGTATATATTAAATAAAATATTGAAGCGAACAAATTTATTAATTTATACATTGCAAACAACGCTAACAGTCCGAGTAAATAACCAAAAAAGGGATCAAAATATGCATAAAACAGCCCTTAGTTTGCAACACAGTAGCAATATAGTGATAAATACTGCAAAACAGGGGTGAATCGCACATAAATTTTTATTTCTTGAATATTGAATATTTGTACTTTTCCATAAATCTTAGTACATTTTTCTCTAGTTTTATTTTCTCTTATAATATTGGTTGGTTTATCTGGAGGCATGCAGCTTTAAATGCCAGATTAACATCAACGACTCTATTTGTTTCGCTTAAAATGTTTTGTTATCATATCCTAAGATCATTCAAAGTTGAAATAAATTCTGAGAAACAGTAATAATATCTGTCACATGCTGCGGTTCGAATCGGAATATCTGTCCCGAGGGGACCCGCCCATTGAACGGTAACGAGGCTTGCCTTCTATATCAGAATGTTCAAATGATACTTTCTGTTGTTTTATCAAAACACATGTACATGTATTTTAAATTCATATGGAAAATGTGCCCATTGTAGACCAATCCACGTTAATCTACGTTTAATTAATTGATATTTATGTCTTGTGAAGAACGGTGACCCAGTGCTTATAGAGTTTGAGCGGTGCTCGGGGCCCGACCGTGTTTCCCTGGTTAGTTCCGGGAAGCGGCGACTTGAAAGCAGGTCAAATAAACTACATGCACGCTTTCCTCGCAATCGACCGTGAATAAATTACGTTTAAAGGACCTTAAATCTAAAGAAATGTTTTTATTATGACGTATTTTTCAAAAGCTTTTTATTTTTGGTGTCCTGGTATTGTCGCCAAAACTTACTCATTGCACATTACCCGAAACATCCTTTGCCTCATTTGAGCCGCGTCACGACTTAATCAACATAATGCGTTTGCGACCAGCATGGATCCAGACCAGCCTACGCCTCCGCGCAGGCTGGTCTGGATCCATGCTGGTCGCAAACCCATTATGTTGGTTTTGTCGTGACGCGGCTCAGTTGTTTTTTTGGCAATTAATGCATTTATAGTGATTTCGTATGGAAGTCTTCATTTCGCTTCTTTTATGACCAATGAACGTTTTTTATTTTTTCCATGTGATAAACATCTAACATGCTCTTAAAAAATGATTAAACTTTATTAAAACACATATTTGCCTTTTCTAAAGAGGTAAAAAATCATTCATTCATTTTTTAAGCATAATTTGCTTTTAATTTTTAAACTAATTATTCAATTTTAGAACTTATTACTCATACCCGATACAGACAACCATCCAGTTGGATTTCAATCCGATTACTTTTCCCGCCATTTCTTTGTGCAACATGAACCCTGTGAGGTTTTCAAAGTTGAAGATCTCTGAGGATCTGAACGCCTTGTTCGAAAAAGAATTGGTAAGCATTTTCAAACATAATTTCGTGAGAGTTCATAGTAGCACGCAAGCTTCAATATGACAATAATTCTTTCCATAACAATCTTACAATACCTGTACTGAAATAATGCACGGGAGGGCACCTGAGGTCTTCCTCCACCAGGGAAGATGGAATGTCGCCATATGAACTATACTGTGTCGGTGTGACGTAAAACCCAATCAATCAATCAATCAATCAATCAATCAATCAAACAAACAAGCAAACAAAATCTGTTTATTTAAGTAAATAATGTTCTTATAAAATTTCGTTTTGATGTGTTTAAGAAGATTTAAACGCCGTTTATCAAGAAATGTTTATCCAATTATTTATTATAAATTTTATAATAAATACAATGATAATATAAAACGTTTGAAGCGTAGATATAATTTCAAGGCATCAGTGAGAACTCATATATTATTTACTAGACTATTAATGAAATTAGAAAATTATTAACCATCAAATGTAACCGACAATGACGTAATATGTGATATATTATAATGGATAAAAAATACATTGATGTACGAGGGGCATATTTTAGTGGCAACAACAGCGCATTTTATTTATAAATAAGTCATATACCTGATAAAGATATACAATTTGTAGATTATTTCTCAAACTATTTCGTAACACATAAATATGATAATGAATCGAAAGTCCATATTTTAATTATTTCTCTGATTGTCTTTTTTACAACAAAGAGTGGTACAACAGCAAGTCCCACAATGCCACCAGCAAGTTCATCCCCATCAACATTTTATTCCACGTGGTCGTCAACAAGTTCGTCTTTACCATCAACAAGCTCTACAATGTCACCAGCAAGTTCATCTCCATCTTCATCAACATTTAATTCCACGTGGTCGTCCTCAAGTTCGTCTTTACCATCAACAAACTCTACAATGTCACCAGCAAGTTCCACATGGTCGTCAACAAGTTCGTCTATACCATCATCAACTACAGACTCGTTGTTCTCGTCTACTACTGGCCAATATTATGATGATTATTATGATGATTATGATGACAATTATAATTATAATTATTATGGTTACTATGACTACGGGGACAGTTACCATGACAACTGGGATAATGACGTCAATGAGGACAACTATATCAAACAGCAGCTGAGTGGCAAAACTGACGAGTGGGCGGAGCGAGCTCACCAGTTCAGAGTACTGGCTAAATCCTTGCCATTGTAAGTGTCACGTGCTTACAGCATGTAAACCATTCAGCGATTGGTGTAAATGTTCACGTGACACATACTGCTGAAGATCTTGACAGAATATGTCTTGTTTGTTGAAAACAGAATTTTGCATCAGAATCTAAATTCTAAGAAAAAGTAATATTTCTACATAGATAACTATTACAAAAAGATGATTCCAAAATAGATTTCTTTTTAAATTTCTTTTTAGTCCTTTACAAAACAAGTTTACAAGCAAGAAAATCTTTAAAAACAAACATTTCGTTTTGAGCTTTAAATAACCCCCTCAGAAGCGGCTTTCTCGCGAATTTTGTCCATTTAAAGAAAGTGAGTAGTTTCGGTTCACGCGTGAGTGGTTATATAATTAAACATTTTTTCCTTTCATCTTCAAATCAAAATCAAAATATATCCGTACAGTCAGGAAAGTAAATAAGATTGCGACTGTGTAATATTCGACCTTTGCCAAATAAAATCAATAAGCAAGAAAATCTTCTGATTAGAGCTTTGTCAAAGCAAATATCAAAACAAATTTAAATCAACTTTGAAAAATTCGATGTCTCAGCTTTAAATGTCAGGAAAGTAAATATGAATGCCTGTGTAAATGATACAAGTAAATTTAAATACTCTTTCTTTACTGTCATGGACATTTACAGTTACATTGCCCCTTTTTCTATTTTGAAAATCATATCTTTTCGATAGGATTATGTTGTTGGGCTGATAAAAATAGTTAAATGTTTTATATTCGACAATGTTGATTCATATCCAATCATTATATATTCAGGGAACTGCGGCAAAAAGTAGGGCACCAACTTGATCAGTTCATAATGTCAGCGTACTTTGCCGGAACGGAGGTGAACGTAACGTAAGTTATCAACTTGTGTTCATCAAACAATTATTACACCATTATTATAAATACATTTACATAAAAACTTAAATGAATGCAAAAGGAAGAGGTCTTATCTTATATTAATTTACTAAAGGAAATTTTTGTGAAAGTTTTTCAAACTGTTTAAAATTTTATTCTTTTTCCCAAAATTTTTATGACTAAATATTTTTCTTTTTACGTACACAGAGTTACATATTGTGTAGTTTTTTTATCTCGTCACACAAAAAACTATGTGGTCACGATTACAAGTAGTAGCCACCCAAAGAGACAATTAAGTGGGTACGCATGAGCTACAATGTCGTAGCCACGAGATAATTAAGTGGCGCGCACGGGATACTTTGGCGTCTCTACGAGCTACTAAGTCTTTACTAAGTGGACTTAGTAAAGCATTACTCTTTGCCACGACATAATATCACGTGAGCATGAGATAAATGAAAACACACATATGTCACATCTGTGCCACCGTAGTCATGACAGCTCTTTTTACATGGCACCCTAAATCATGCATATATTTACATGGTGCCCCGAATCTTGCATATTTTTACATGGCGCCCCGAATCTTGCATATTTTTACATGGTGCCCCGAATCTTGCATATTTTTACATGGCGCCCCGAATCTTGCATATTTTTAAATGGCGCCCCGAATCTTGCATATTTTACATGGCGCCCCGAATCTTGCATATATTTTCATGGCGCCCCGAATCTTGACATATTTTTACATGGCGCCCCGAATCTTGCATATATTTACATGGCTGCCCCGAATCTTTTGCATATATTTACATGGCGCCCCGAATCTTGCATATTTTTACATGGCGCCCCGAATCTTGCATATATTTACATGGTGCCCCGAATCTTGCATATATTTACATGGAGCCCCGAATCTTGCATATATTTTCATGGTGCCCCGAATCTTGCATATTTTTACATGGTGCCCCGAATCTTGCATATTTTTAATATTACTTCTTCAAGAAAACTGATTTTTTTTCACTGAGTATTCAAATGATGTAAAATAGGTGATCAGATTAAAATAACATATAAATATGAAAGGAAAAAGGCTAGATGTATTATCTGCTTTTAAATTTTAAGTTTTCTTTTTTTTTTCTTTTAAAAGGAGATTCAAGAATTTTACATCGTCGCGGCTTTGGAAACTGTGACAGCGTTTTCTTCAAAAACAGTTGGGGCCGGGCAAAAGGGGTCCCCCCAATTTAAAATTTTTTCTTTTTGGAATTATAATTTGTATATTACGCCTTAACTCATGACCTTTCCCAAAAACGGTGCCCTGCCTTTTTTAATTTTTGTATTTTTAAGACTAAATAATTTTAAAAATTTTTTGCTTTTGGCGTTTTTTATTTTAACCGGTTTTATTTTTATATTTTCAAAAGACATGCAAGAAAAAAAAACAAAAAAAAAACTGAATTTTTAGTATTCTTGTTTTCTTAAAATTTTAAAAGAAAAAAAAAAAATCAAACAAATAAAAAAACCCTATTCTTTTTATGGCCCTTTTGGTTTAAAAATATTAAAAAGGTGTACAAATTATTTTATATTTAATCAAACCTTAATTTTTAAAGTGGGATTTGGGGTTTAAGTTGGACCACATGGAAAAATTTCTTGATTTTCGAGGATTTAAACTCAATTCTGGGTTGTATAATTGTAATAAAAAACGATGCTCTCACTTTTCCTTGAAATTTGATAAACATGTTTTTTTTTTTCTTCTTTAAAAAAAAACTTTAGTAAATTTAAGGGTTTTTTCCTATTCCGTTAAGCGGTTTCCCTCCACCAAAGGGTTTTTAGTAAAAAAAATTGCCCGTGTTTATTAAAAAAACGTATCGAAAGAATCGAAAAAATTTTTTTATGTTATTTTTTTTGAGATATATTAAATATTTTTTTCATCGCATAATTAAGATAACTTATTGTTTTTTAGGGATAAAAATAACTTTAAACCTGGAAACTGATGAATACATTGATAGATTTACAACCGGGTATGGAGCACGCCTTGTTTTGCATGAACCAGGCACATACCCCTTACCTTTTAATGAAGGTATAACATTAAGTCCAGGGACCGAGACAAGCGTGGGACTCAAAATGGTAAGTCATGACACCGAGGCAAGTGTTGGAGTTAAAAAAGGTAAGTCATGGCACTGAGGCAAGTGGCAAAACATGTATTCAGTTCAGTGTTTGGCTCTAAATAGAGATACTTCTTTGGGCAAATACTCTTCTGTAGCATTTAGCCTGCTTTTTTACCCCTCCGATCAGTATAGACAAAGGTCGCAATTATTTTGAAATTCTTCCTCGAAATTGTGAATAGTTTTGTCCAAATTGAAAGATGGACAACTCAATTTCAGATAAAGGATTTTATGTTAAATGATCATTTAAAATATCATTTTTAAATATTATGAATTATATTTAACTACTGAAGTAATACATATGGAGCACTTACTATTTCTGTTTATTTTAAGATACGTATTTCAAGACTCGGACAGCCCTATGGTGACTGCACGTCTGGTGACAGCTTTGCTCGCAAATATAGGAAGAAATACAGTGTTGCGGTAAATATTTAAAAATGCCCATAAATATGCTAGATCATTCATTCATTCGTTCCTTTGTTTCTTCCTTCGTTCCTTCCTTCCTCCCTCCCTCCGTTCATTCATTCATTCATATAGACAATCATTTATTCATTTAGTCAATCAATCATTCAGTCAGTCAGCCAGTCAGTCAGTCAGTCAGCCAGTCAGTCAGTCAGTCAGTCAGTCAGTCTGTCAGTCGGTCGGTCGGTCGGTCAGTCAGGAAATAAATACATGAATTAATCAATAAATGAATAAATAAATAAATAAATAAATGAATGAATGAATGAATGAATGAATGAATGAATGAATTAATTAAAACAAATAGATTTTCATAAATAAATAAATTCATTCATTCATTAAACTTGCTATATTTTCGACAAAAGAGACGTTGAACAATTTAAATATACAATATGTAATTAATATTTAATATAAATCTTCATTTTATTATTTTGTTGTTGTTGTTGTTTATTTTCATTACATAATTGGAAAACAGGCGTGTGATCATTTTTGCCGTGTACAGAAAACTATAGATGTTTGCAAGTGTATCCCTATAGACGCCCCAGACCAGATTTCCTTCAACAAGACTGTATTGCCTGTGTGTAATACATCCTACAGGGCTGGTATGTTATTTTGTAATTTCCAGGGACGGGCCTCAGATAATGTCAGGGACGGGCCTCAGATAATGTCAGGGACCGGCCTCAGATAATGTCAGGGGCGGTCCTCTGATAATGTAAGGGACGGGCCTCAGATAATGTTCGTATAACTTTTTGGACCATATATTTTGTATGTACGAGATTTTTCTCTCAAAAGTCTGCTTAAATACTTCAATAGAATAATAACAATTGCCATAGCGTTTTTCAAATCTGTAATCTGCAAAATGGACACTTTTGATTAATAATATCTTTGATGTTTTTTTTTCTATTCAGACCAGGAGTGTTTGTTGAAGGTAGATGTGAGTTTCGAGCATAAATCAGTTTGCGACTGTCAAGGTAGATGCAAGTACGTTTACCATATTTTACAATAACTTACTTAAGGCACATAACGGCCACTAATTCCATATTTTTGTAATTCTGTAGAAACATGCCAATGTTTGATTATATTTTGAAAATGGATTAAGAGCATGTTAGATATTTAACAACTGAAGAAAGTAGCACTGAACATGAAGTAATGCGTCGTAAAGGAGGCAGAATGTAAACAAAAGAGAAGAGTTCTATATGACTTGTCGTCCATTCAAATCATATTCCAAGAGCAAAAGATAGTTTATGTTATTGTAATCCCTAAACAATACCTAACACACAGATCAAATAACCCTCATCAAGTAATAGGCCCAATTTAAGCCTATCAATATTAATTATTCCCTCGTAAAACGACATTGATATATTTCATTTTTCTATTTTATAATTAGCTAACTGCGTGATGTGAAGCTTATTCTGTTTCAAATTGCACATGGGAGTTACAAACAACATGTTGATTGCCAATAAATCATTATTATCAATTTAGAAATAAATTGAGCAACATACATGTATATTGAAACTATTTAAAAATTTAAATCGCTTGTTCTGCTTACTGCATTAACTTCTCAAATAAATTTGCATCTTTCAAATCTATATAGTAAAACTTGTATATTTAGGGTTCAAAAACACATACCATCACCTTAGCGCGCTAACGGAATAAGTCATTCTTGATTTTTTTAGAACAAAATCAGTTATTGCCCTAAACAATATAGGATACTTGCAAACAAAACCGGAAATGACAATAACATTTTTGGCGCCAAAACGAAAGCCATCAGCTTAAACATTTTAAAAGAATTTTAACATAGGTTAACATAATAATAATAATAATAATAATAATATCTTTATTTAAAGAAGGTTACACATTAAGAACATACAATAACAATCATATATATCTTATTTCCAAAGTGGCCTTCTGAAAAAGAAAACAACAACAACAACAACAACAACAGGACATGCATAGGTAGAAAAATGAATGTATAATATGTAATTTTTAGAATAGTACAACTCATATACTTTCGACAGGCACTCAACAATTTTTGTTTAAACATATATGTATATTGCATCATTTGTTCGTTCGTTCATTCGTTCGTTCATATATTTATTCATTCATTCATTCACTCACTCATTCATTCATATGAACATCAAGATATGCTTTGTATTTTTCTTTAAAACATTTAAGGTTATTAACATTACGAATATTTAAAGGTATATTGTTCCATATGTTCATGCCATAAAAAGAAAATGTGTCTTTAATATAATTTGTGATAGAACTTGTTTAATGACGGACAAGTAATGTAAGGATTGCTGGCAGATTGGGTCCAAACCCTGTTAAGGATAATCCATTAATTCTTTAGTAAGAAACTTTACATTTTATATGTAGCTTCGAGCTGAAATAAATTCTAATGATAGCCTAACATTTTGTTTATGACTATATATCGTAATTATAACAACGAATCATGGGAAAGTAGGCAGACATACCTATCTGTATCTGGGTTAAACAACCGTTTCTGTTACAGTTCACTAACAGACCAAAGTAATTGACATTAACGTTCGTAATTTCCGCTCGAAAATCTAAATAATTCAAAACTTTTTTAAAAGTAGGTTATTTGATGATAATTACCAATCAATGATGGTTTTGTAAGACATTTATGATCATATCAAATAAATTCTTCTATCGATCTTTCAACATATGGTGATAACTTAGTAAAGGTTAGTGTTTTTTAGTAAGCAAGCAATTGTCGACCATGAACACTAACAAATTTAGTGTTATATGTTGCGATTCATTGGAATGCTCTTATCATTGATGGCTGATTTGGTACACTGCGCGTTGCGTTGTCGATAGCGACAACACAACCTATATCGTTATCGCCTATTCGTCTTGTTGCCAGCGACAACAGAACCATTCGCCAAACGGTGCGTTGTCGGGTTTTCGTCTTGTCGTCCGGTCGCTAACGATGTACGCCTAACGATGCGTTGTCATGCTGCGTGTTATCGAGATGTCACATTGTCGCTCGGTTCAAATCGAAGGATTGGTTCATAAGCCAAGCGGCAGGGCGGCATCGCGACAACGTGCCGCAAGACATCACGCCGTTTGGCGTGCTTTGTTAGAGACAGGACGACAAAACGACAGCGCGACATCGCGCCGTTTGGCGCTTTGTCGTGCTGCCGGTAACGAAAAGGCGATTTCGATATGGGTTGCAACGCGCAGTGTACCAAATCAGCCACCATACCAGTCTGATATGCAACTATTGCTATTAGTATTATGGGATCGGCGAAAAAAAAAGATATTTTTCTACTTGTGATCGTGTCTTGATCCTTATATTTTATGTTTTGCTTAAATACGAGATTAATATTAACCGTTATTTTGTTTACGTTGCCAGGGAAACACTGTATGAGAAGACAATTTCATCCAGATACTGGCCAACGCCCGAGTATTCCGTATGTATGATATCTTTAATTGTTTTCATGTTTTGTATACGTAGAACGGGAAACAAGTTTTATTTGTCTGCTGCAATATTGCCAAAAGTTGGGGCAGTGGGGTCAATATTCCAATATTCTATATAATTTACCCTTTTGCAGATTTTTCCATTTCACGTACATGTATATGTTAAAATTTTAAAGATGCATGCCTCCAACTGAGCCAAAATATTTCAAATTAATCAAACATGTTAGAAAAAAAGGACTTTTCAAAAAGTAAAAATGTACAAGTTATATGCGATTGATGACTGATTTTGCAGTATTTTTCACCATATTTCTAAAGCATGACTAACCCAGTAAGGGCTATTTTTGCATTGTTTGACCTCTTTTCGGTAATTTACCAGAATTGTAAATGCTGTTTGCAATGTGTTATTTACTGATACTCTCTTTGTACTCTTCATAATAATTCACTTTCTATATATTTTCAAAATTTACATGAACATTAGCATGAATCTGGAGGCATGCTACTTTTAATTTTATGCTTTAGGAAATCAAACCTCTTCCTTTACTTTTTAGTTCTCACTTGAAAAAACATATGTTCCTTATGATGGAAATAGGTCAAAACGAAGCCGTTCAAAAAAGCTCATGATGTAATGCATTCTTGCCCTTAACTTTTAATAAATCAAATGTAATTTCAGAAACATCTTATGTTAAAAATATGCAAGAAACTTGAGCAAAACAAAACCATTGAGCTGCCGGAAACCTGTGCTTCTCTGCTGGACAGTGAAAATTATGACTATTCCCTGCCCGCAGAGGAGTATGAAAAGTAAGTTTACCCCCTCCCCCCCCACACACACACACACATACACAAAAAGTTAAAAGCACGTTATGACTCAGAAATATATATATCTATTAAATTCTTTAGAAATGTGAAATATGTGTATATTTTCTTAATAATTGATTAAGAGAACGTTAGATATTTAACAGCTGAGAAAAGTAGCTCTGAATATGCAGTTATGTGCCGTAAAACAAACTAGTTTTTGACTTCCATACAAAAAAACTCATTCACTATAATTATACCAATTGCTAACAAGCAAAAGGAGCAAAGATAAAATCCATCTACATGGCAAATGAGTTTTCTTTAATGAAACTGTAACAAGATACAAAAAAAAAAAAAAAAAAGTCAATGACAAATAAAAATGATGGTATTTTTGAGGCAAAATGGGCCTTTAATATAATAAAACAATTATTGACTAGTGACCCATTGAACATGATGTGATTTCACTGTTAGAATAAATCATAACACATATACAATGGCTCACTTGTCAATTATTGTATAATGATAGAAATAAAACAAATTGGACAAAATTGTGACAAACTGTCGACTTATTTTGAATTTTATATGTCAACTGACCATTTACATTTAGATGGGCATAGCATGTATATTTAATGAAGCAAGCTCCGTTTAAACGAAAGTACGGTGTCGTCATTGTATTTATAAAACTCAAAATGAACGAATGTTTTTTTTATAAATGAACTATATTAAAGTGTTTTGCATGTTTGAAATGAGATATCATATATTTTTATTTGCAAATAAATAACATTTTCTACATTTAAGTACAAGCCTTGAGTGTTTTACACACAGTTTGGATAATGCCATCCGGCTTTGTTGTTGTCCCAAATAAATTTATGAATTTTGTGTTACCAAGTTTACTGATATCTAACAAGTATTTTACGACATTGTGTATTTTACGACATTGTTTATTTTAGACATAGAAAGAACTTCCTTCGACTTCTTATATATTTTGAAGATTTGAATTTCGAAAGGATCACGCAAGAACCAATGTATGAGGTGAGTACCACAAAAATAACAAAATCAAAAGACAATGTTCAAAAAACAAAACATCCCATTCACAATGGATTACTATTATTCTAAAATGCATCTCACTTTAAATGATGGATTAAACAGAAATGAGTTAAGGACACTTATTCCCTCATTTCAATTGCCTTTAACACAAGCAAATTTACTTAAACAAAGCCAGCTGTTTCAGTACGTATACTATAAATATAACTAATAAGTTTCACACATTTATAATTGAGAAAAAAACAACAACTAATAATTGATAAGGTTTACTCATCAGGTATCCAGAATCAACAGGAGCTATCTACTGACCATTGGCAATATCTCTACAAAGAAAAACGTATTTTTGCTCATTACTTCTTTATTTGTCTAACGACTTTGCGCAAAGTATCGCTGTGACCTTGACCTTTGACCTCAAAACTTAAAAATCAATATGGGTCACCTACTGGCTATGGAGAATTCCTAACAAATAATACACAGCACTGCTTACACCTTCTCAATGTATAGATCGGACAAGGACTGAACAAAAAGTCTCACCGTGACCTTGACCTTTGACCTTAAAACTTGAAAATCAAAATGGGCCATCTACTTAATTAACACGGGCAATGTCCCAACCAAGTAACATAACCACAGCTTATCCCTTCTTCGGTTAAAGTGGTCGTTAATGAATAACAGGACCTACGCACGTAATTAATGCGAAACGATGGACAGACCAATCCCATCAGAAAATGCTCCGACTTTTTAAGTGGGGGGTAAAAATATATTTTATTTGTTTTAACGATAACATTGCATGACTTAATAAATTAATTAGAATATTAATAATGTTTGAAAATAAAATAATTTAGTTTCTTTTTGACATGAATTATATTTTGAAATAAGAAACAGTCGCAATGTCAAAATACTATGATTCACAACTGTATTTTTTGACGTCACAGGGTATACGATTCTTGTCGGACATCGGTGGCACAATGGGGTTGTTCCTAGGGGCTTCTCTTCTTAGTCTTGTTGAGGTCCTTCAGCTCTTATTAGAGATTGTTCTACACATCAAGAAGAAACTTACCAGAAAGAAACCCGTGACACCGGAAATGCAACCCAATCCAAAACAAAAATCAGCATGGATAAGGAGTTAGAAATAAGATTCCAGGACATTTGCGCCCCACGGACAAATACTTCCTTGATGTTTGCCCCTTTTATGCGGTGGTGGACATTTGCCCCCTCGTATGTCTTGAAAGGGCGGAATGCAAAAAAAGGGGGCAATCGTCCGGTGGGGGTGGGGGCAACTTATCGGCGGGGAGGGGGGGAGGCAAATGTCCGGATACCTAGAAATAATTGTCGAAAGATGTTTAAGATAATTATCGGTGATAATTTCTATTCTGTAGTGTATTCTGGAGAGAAAAATAATCTGGTTAGCGATATTGTGACGCTTTTTGTTGTTGATGTTTTGTAGATAAAATATTACCAACTTTTATGGTGATAACTACTGCTTTTGTGAAAAAAGGTTTTATTGAAAAATTGTTAATTCAGTGTAAGTTGTTGGAAACTGATATATGTAGCATCTCACATGAGTTGTCATTTGATATTATAAATTTATTGTTCACTATCGAGTACAATACTGAATTATATTAAACGAGTACACGGCTCTCAAATCTATATTGAACGATGCGCTAGCTGGGTATAATAAAGGTTTTGCGATAGTGTAAGAATCAAAGTGTACCAACACTGTATTGTACTCAACAATAAATAATGAACTCTTTATTTCACACGACCAAATCACTTTAGGAGAAAAAAAATGAATTTAGAATTTAATCTGCCTGCGGCAACTTAAAGCTGCACGCCTCAAGATGAGCCAGGCTATTTCAAGAAATGCAATCTTTTGAAAAATGTATTAAGATCTTAGAGAAAGTAAAAAGATTCAATACTTAATTTATTATATTAATTTACATGTTATTTGCGATTAATGACTGATTTTACCATATCAATCACTATAATTCTACTAGTTACTAAATTCTACTAGTTACTAATCCAGTAAGAGGTATTTATGTATATTTTGATCTCTTTTTGGTAATAAACGTTGATTGCAAGTGCGGTTTGAAATGTGTTATTCAACTTCACAATATTTTACTTTTAAATACATTTTCAAAAAAATCATGAAAATTAGCATGAATCTGGAGGCGTGCTGCTTTAATATACCATGCAACTTGTTCAGAGCAAAATCAACAAACACGTCCGTGTTGTGTAATCATGATCTACACAGTATACTATCTGGTCAATAAATTCTTTAATATTGTCCTTAAAATGACTGTGTTCAAATTGAAAGATGGACAAGTCCTTATAGGATATTTAACGGGGAATCAAGAATTTTTTATACTATTAAAAATACAATTACTTCGAGTACAATATGGACTGGATATGAAATATTTTGACTTGGAAAATGAAAAAGAGACTAGATAGATAACAAGATGGATCTGATAAGGAAATTTTGGACACAGAAATGAAAACACGGATAGTTAAAATACAATATGCCCTTGATACGGATTTTTTGGACTCGGAAAATGAAAACGAGGCTAAATTGATAAGATTGGATCCAATAATAATTTACGCTGGGAGATCACGCGGTGCAAAATCAAGAGAATTGCAAAATCCTTTCAATTAAAAAAAAGCCATATGATATACCGTTTTACTTTAACCATATGTATATTTCAATGTTGTAAGTTTTTTACTTTTTAAATTGCAGATTAAAATGATGCACTGAGGAAAGCATTATGTTTAATGATAAATAAAATGAATTGTATGAATGTTCCGTATGTGTGTTAAGATATATGTTAAAATTGTGATAACCATTTAATCAATTCTTTTCAATGTTATATTTTCATATTTTCTTCGATTGATATGTGTTCTTTTTTTTTTAGATTTAGAAAGCCGCATTGTAAATAAGATGTTGCAATCTTTATATGTCTTAATGTGTTACCTCCGGTGAATAAAGTTATTATTATTATAACTATTATTATTGTTGTAATTATTATTATTATTATTATTATTATTATTATTATTATTATTATTATTATTATTATTATTATTATTATTATTATTATCATCATCATCATCATAAAATGTATGTTTAATATAAGAACATTATTTTAAATGTTACAAAATACGTTTCAAACATGCTGTTGTTTTTTCTTTCTTATTTTAAGGTTAATTATTAATCATTAATACTGAGTTTTATCAGTTAAATAAAATCAACATCACTCACAGTATATCACTCACACTGTAACTAATATAGCTTTGCCGAACTTTTTGTTGGCGTAAATATATCACTTTTTTATGATTGTCCATATATAAAAATTTTGATCTGCACAAAAAAATATTTTCTGTATTTTGTTTTCGATAGCATATTTCACGATTCAAATATTTTTACTTTAAGTATAATGTTTTAAAGAGTTTAATTAATTCAGCAATGAAGCTACACTAACATAATATTCTATTTATAATAAACCTGTGAATGATGGATTTTTAAAAAAAACTTTTGTGAAACTATTTTCGTTAATTTCTTAAAATAAAACCTTTGAACAATCTATTTTCATGATGTCGTTTTCTTTTCACAAGAGTATTTCAAATAGCCTTCATACCATTGTACGGATTTTTTACGCTTAAGTAGAGAGAAAGCTCCAATTGCACCTCACTGAATACAATCTCGTTACTATATAGTGAAACATTCGACCGATGCGCAGAGTTGTAGAAAGTTTAAAATTGGTGGCTACATACCCTCAAACCTTCATGATATATGATGGATCGAAACTCAAAATTTAAAGAGAGTTGTGGGTAAAACCGTTATAATTTGATATTAAAGAAGCTCAACCGAATTCCAATAGCCTAAAATCTTTAAATTTGAATTTCTTACATAGATCAGCTGGAGAACATAGAACAGAAATATTTGCAAAAGATAATTAATATATATTTACTCAGAAATAGGCCTTCATCAAATAGATTCACATTAATCGTGAAAAAAATATTTCCAGTCCCGTCATGTAAAAAAAACTCAGTGGAATCCCTTTTATTCCAGAATGAAAAATATTTAAAACACAAGCAATAAAGAACCTGTTAATATATGTATAATAGTATACGGGCTACAGAATCAAAGAAAACTCATTTTATCAAAAAGGCTAAAGCGAGCCTAAATTATATAAGGGAGATAACTGTGTTCTAAGAAAGCATTACCAATGCAAGAGTTGTCTCCTTGGTCGATCATAGTTAATCACTATGTAAGTAAGACACAGTACCTCCTTTCGATGAGGATAGGGGACCGATTTGAGGTGAGGTTAGACAGGGTACAGGGTTGTTAAGCAAACTACGCTAAAATAACTGTGATAGAAAAAAAAACAAAAAACAAAACAAAAAACATCCCGTAACCTGAAGAGTTCTCTTTGTTACTTAAAAGCTGAATCAATGCTAAAATCATCTGCTATTAATTATATTAATTTTCTTTTTTTCAGTCATCATTATAATATGCATATTCTATGCATATTCTTAGGCAATTAGTTTAGACCAATGGAAAACTTTTGTGTTCAAGTTGCTATAAATAGCAACATTATTCATAAGATATATATGGACTTATATTAATCAAGGCCAGCAGTTGTGGGTCCATAGGTACACCATGACTATGTGTATCCGAGATTTAGATATCAAATGTTGTTTCTTCAGTGAATGAAATAACCGCACAACATATATAAATACCCCCTTAATTGACGTACAAATTGCGGGTTGTCACACCTAAGATTAATATCCACGTAAGTTGAGAATATGGTGTCAGCTTAAAACTGTCACTTTTAATCTTGTATGAAAATACAACAAATTGTTTGTAACTATTTAACTTTTGGCCATATTTGTCATGATACTCTGTTAATGGCCAAAGGTAATGTTTATTTGCCGATTTGCCAATAAAATGAAATGAAATGTCATTAAAAGAAATCCGAGTTTGATATATACGATTTTATTACTAGAGTTTTATTTCTGTAAAATATTGATGGCAAACATTCTCTCATACTCTTCAAAGTTTAAAGTGATGGGCTCGACGTAAACCTATGCTAAAATATTGTTTCATGTTTAACACGAATGCATTTCATACTTATTGGTCAAAATTGTTTCAAAAATAATTAAAAGTAATAGGGTATGAATCGCTTAAAACGTAATATATAATATAAAACATTATTTAAAACATGATGTAAAACATGATGTAAAATATGATGTAAAATATAATACGTATAAAACAAGATGTACAACATGACGTAAAAAGAAAATTCAATGTAGGAGGCCATTTGAATAAATAGAATTTCTAATTTATGTCGCAAGCTTAATATGTATGTATAAAGGGCATTACTTAAGGTTTATGCACAAGGGGTGATGATACACCATCATTTTTAAATAATTATGGTTTCCATAGCAATCTCCTCGTCAAAGTCAACTTAGATTTGCCTTAGAATTTCACTTTATCCCGTATAGTGTTTTTTTTTACAATGTTTTTATGTCGTCCAGTTCTCCCATATTTAACAATGCGTCAACAACTTTAACGCTAGAAATTTCCAACAAACAACCTCGGTAATGAGGAGCGGATCATCTATCTGCTACATGATGTTTAACAAAAACATTTTAAAGCTAAAATGGGAAGGTAAAATAGTGGTAGCTACATGGTGTTATCTAGAATGGGGAGGTAATTTTGTTATACCTTGTCACAAAGGGAAGTAATTTGGTGGTATCTTGTCCATTTGTTTTAATAGGAAGGTAATTTGGTGGTACCTTGGCCTTCAATCGCAACTCCTCGGCCCTTTCCGTCAGTCTTCGGATAAGGACCTCGAACACAATAGTATGAATACACAGAACGGATGCGGTATTTCGGTCTAACCTACGCTAAGAAACTAAACATGTAAACAAATAGTAATTTAATGCTGGGAGTTGTTTACAAGTTTATTTCCAATATATGTAGTAAAGGTTCACCTAAAATAAGTGATATCATAGGTACAAAAGCAAACAATTCATTATTTATATATTTATTATCATGGTTGTAGAAACCGAAAGTACAAAAAAACCAACCTGTTGACATTTCGTCGGATTTGTTTGAAATTGAACATCAGTGGTCATATTTAAATAACAAATTGTTGTCAGACATATTTTCAAGCAAAAGAGTACCGGAACAGGCATTAGATGTCAAATATATACATTTGTTTTACATTATCTCTGTTTCTGTTTACATCTACCACGTGGTAGAACTACTTTCAATCCGTATTGTTTCCGAGGTTAATATTATAGATAATAGCCGAGGCAGTTCCGAATGCTTGGCCTTTTCTTTAAATGGGAAGGTAATTTGGTGGTATCTTGGCTTTTGTTTAAATGGGGAGGTAATTTGGTGGCATCTTGGCCTTTTGTTTAAATGGGGAGGTAATTTGGTGGCATCATGGCATTTTGTTTAAATGGGAAGGTAATTTGGTGGCATCTTGGCCTTTTGTTTAAATGGGAAGGTAATTTGGTGGCATCTTGGCATTTTGTTTAAATGGGAAGGTAATTTGGTGGCATCTTGGCCATTTGTTTAAATGGGAGGGTATATTAGCATTTGGTTTAATTGGAAAGGTAATTTGGTGGCATCATGGCCTTTGGCAAAATTGGGAGGTAATTTAGTGGCATATTGACCTTTTGTATAAATGGGGAGATAATTTGGTGGCATCTTTGCCTTTTGTTTAAATGGGGAGGTTATTTAGTGGTTTCTTATAGTATCTTGTCACTTTGTTAACATGTATAAAATGTGAGGAAAGCTTCAAAATTTCTCATATATACATGTGTATCATGAGTAAATCATGTGTAAACGAGTTGCGGCACTTCTATATACACACAGCGAACATTTAAATATTTTACTCTTAAATCATAGTGTAGAATCTTCAAATGTTCTCATCTCAAATTACACAGAATTGAAGCTATCATAGCATATCTACACAATATAAATTCACCGTTCGTTCGTCGTTATTTCACAGGTAGGAAGAGGGTAAAGTAGCGCGCGTTCGAAACTTGCGATCAAAAAAAATCACTTAGACGCTTTTGGAGTAACTAATTAGACGTTTCATTGAAGGGTGAGTTATTTGATTTAGAAAAAGAATAAAAAATATTCACTTTTTGCAATGTCATTATTTAATTATTTTGGACATTGATACTATAATGTAGCTGTAAAGGTACGCAAATAATTAAATAAATAAAATATTTAAAAAAAAATAAAAATTGATTAAATTGTCATTGTAAAATTGTAATCCGATAAATTATATAAATATTATTAAATTTTATGTTGATATTTAAAGGAAATTAAGGCAATGTATCAATGAAACAAAATTAAGAGTTTTAAAGACAATACGTCCAAGAAATAAATAAAATACTGTTCAGGGAGATATTTAAGAAAAAAGTCGCGAGGGGAGCGGTGGCCTTGTGGTTAAGGTGTGTGCCTCTCAAACCAGGGATCATGGGTTCGAGATCTAATCGGGTCACGACCATGTTTCTTCATATTACACCAGTACTGGTTGATTTCAGGAAGTGGACTCGAAAGTGATTAATTATCAGATGGAAGAACTTGTTTCGCAATCGAGCTTCAATAAATATGTTTAAACCAAAAATATCTTAATATTTTGCGATACACTGTTATAAAATTATACAATGAAAATGTATGTAAAGCCTTCTGGTAAACGTAACACTAACGCTATTTTGGTTTTAGTGCGTTATTCTTTACATGGAAGGAATTCCTCAAATACTCCGTCCAAAGTCACCTTGACCTTGACCTTGCCTGCACCGCGGTCGACTTGAGAGTGGACCGTTAAAACAGGGTGAATGACTACGACAAATTATTTGTATATAACTTGTATTTATCCATGCATAATGAAAAGTTTGAAGTTCTATCAAAAACTTCGTGTAATGATCAATGCATAAAACATACTGGAACATTTGAGTAAAATGAAAAAAAAAAGGATTTTGCAGAACTGCATCAAATAAGAGCGTTACAGTTATCAGACGAATTTTACAAATTGTATCATTTATATATTTGTTGAAATTGTTAAAACGGTTACAGAGATCTTTTTTGCGGCGAATGAATGTTTGGATATATCAATGTTTACCTTAAAAAGTGATTTTTCTTGATAAGCCTTGCCGGAAAACTAAAATTCTTAAACAATGAGTCACGAAGGTATCCGCATGATGTTCCTGCGGTTTATATAACTCTAAGACTATAAATGTTTTATGTTGTATTTTCATCCCGAGAAAATCATATCATTAAGCCATGTTATTACAAAAGCCAGATATAAAAAAATGTTTTTTTTTTATCAATTACTGGTAGCAGAGATAGCGCGTAGACATAGGATGTAACCATAGAGTGTAGACATAGGATGTAGACATAGAGTGTATATAAGGTGAAAACATAGGGTGTAAATAAAGTGTAGAGTAGGGTGAAGATAGCTTGAATACATAGGGTAGACATAGGCTGTAGTCATAGGAAGTAGACATAGAAAGTAGACATATGGTGTATATAAGGTGTAGACATAGAGTGTAGACATATGATGTAGACATATGATGTAGACATATGATGTAGACATAGGATGTAGACATATGGTGCAGACATAGGATGTAGACATAGAATGTAGACACAATTTTCATCCTACGTTTCAAAATAATGCAATTTCTTATATCATGAAATGATTGGCGTCCCGGTAACACGAAATAATTGGTGATCTGGTGGCACGAAATAATTAGTGTTTCCGATATCATGAAAAAAATCAGTGATCCGTTAAAATGAAATACCTGATTTTCCGGTAACATGAAATAATTGGTGTTCCAAAATGTAAATAAGATCTTTCATGGAAAACTGTTAAAGCACTAGTATTTCTTTCTTATTTTACAGTTGTGCTACTTTCATAGTTGTTTTGATCTTTAGTCATTGTTTTCGTTGTTGTTGTTGCAAAAACAATGATAAAGCTAAGCAGAACTCAAATTTACGATTGATATTGAACAGAATAATTGTATTTTTGGGAGTACAAAGATTATTTTGATCTTCAGCTTCAGCTGCCTCCTTGCATTCCTAAGATACAAATCAAAACAGACAGGTTGATAGATTTATCGTCTGCTCGCTTGTTTATTGGCGGGAAAAGGTGCGCACGGTTAGAAAAAATGTTAAATTCTCTTTGCTCATGTGTAACATAATTGAAGAAAACGTAAACAGTTGTTATGTTGCAAATATCTGTCTAGAAATAGGTGAAGAATTGCGAAAACAACTGTCTCACCTGTTTTAAATGCCAGAAAATGATGAGAAATAGTCGTACACATAATGACGTGTATTGCTAGCAAGCATCAGTCAATTTTTCTTCACGTGTGAATGAAGTCATTTCACATGAATAACTTGTTCTTGCTATGTAAACAGTTTTCTAAAGCCTCATACAATTTTGCATTCTGAAGTTTCGTTAGTTTTAAACCTATTCACAACGTCAAAATATTACTTTTTCAGTTTGGTCCCTTCTGAAATGTTTAGTAAATGATTTTAGTTTACGTTTTTAACTGCACCGTCTTTTAAGAACAATTTTAATCCTAGAAAGAGGAATTTTTGAATGATTTTAGATTTAATTGTCTTTTCAGAGGCTCAAAATGCCATTCAAACCTCCAGAGCAGGCTAAATGCCCGTTATGCGGAAAGTCGGTATACGCCGCAGAAGAAAGACTTGCCGGTGGGAAGAAATGGCACAAATTCTGTTTTAAATGTGGTAAGATGTTATATAATCAAATAAAATTAAAAAAAAAAAAACGGCTCAATGAATATAGTTCCGATTGCAACAACTAAGATTGTTTAGCAATGTACGGGTATACAGATTCTTGTCCAAGAAGGGTCGTAACTCTAGCCAAGCGCATAATGTTTGCAGTTCAGGGTGTGGACCTCATAAAATTACATTATATGTACAATTATGAAGTATGTTAGGCAAACAAACCAAAAAATAGATTATAAAGAGGTAAATGTTGGAAGAAATTGTGAATGACATGGGGAAATTTCGTTAGTGAGTAGGCAATACCTGAATAGCAAAATCAGTAATTGTGCAAAAAAATGGGTTAGGGATTGTAAGAATGGTTTTGGAATTTCAAGTAACATATCTTAACATTAAAAAGATGAGATGCGCATTAAAAGAAGAAAACACATTTAAAGATCAAGGACAGTTCATACAACATAACATATACGAAATAAAACATAATTATGTGTGTGGTGTTTTTTTCGTGTTTGTTTGTTTGTTTATTTTTATTTATTTATTTATTTATTATTTCATTACGAAACTTATGTTTTGATGCATAAGAACAGTTACTGACCACGAACCAATGCGGCAAGAACAAACACGCAAGTTATGTTAAAACAATGTGATCAGGGCGGATGTTGCAGTCATAAATTGTACGATGTTTTTATTCACTTACTTTCGCATTATTTACATACAATTGTATATGTATCATTATCACGGAAGGAAGTTCACATTCCACACTGATTATTACTACACATCATTCAATCAAAGCAAATCTTCTACACACTTCACGAGAAATGAGTAATTTTGAAGAAGTTTACCTGACGGCAATTTCTTTGATAAAACAGAAATGTTCTGCTAGAAACATTGAGATTCTGACATTCCTACCACATAGCTTGGAACATCGCCAAACTGTACTATTATAATTGATAATTCGGTTAGAGATGATGTTTACTGTTTATTCTAATTTGGTTTCTTGGTGATAGAAAAAAAGCTACCAGAATACAGTAAAACTAAAAATAGTGCGACCAAAACGCATTTATTATGATTTCACAAGAACTTGATCTTTACACATCTGGTAAATGTCACATATTAAAATGAATACGAGTGAATACATATACAAATGGGGCGGGGCTTGATTGGTTGGGAGGAGTTAAGTCAGGGATTCTTTAATTCAACACCAAAACCGCGTAAACAACAGAATATACGTACATGTATATAAAAATGTATAATAACGGTGAGCAATGGACCAGTGGATATGACCCGAGAGCAGTGGGTTCGAACTTTAGTGTTGTTTTCCCCAATGATGTTTCCTCATACTAACAACTAGACTTTACTCACCCAGTAAATGTCACATACTCCATGTGATATATGGGTGAATATAAGTTAACAGAAGGGGAGGGGCTTCATTGATGTGGGAGGAGTTGAGCCGGGACTTCTTTAATACCAAAAGACACGTAAACAAAAGAATATACCTAGTATATAATAATGTATGAAAACATTGAGCTATGGCCTTATGGATATATATATATATGGCGTTTGTCTCTTAACTCGTGGACAGTGGGTTCGAACCTTGTTAAGTTCATATGACAATGTTTTCAGTAAATGACACCTATACTGATTTTAGTTCCAGCTAGGAAGCGTGCGAGAGTATATATGGATTTATATAAGTTGGAAGAACTTGTTTCACATTAACGTACATGTTCTAAGTTAATATGTTATAATTGAAGAGTAACCGTCAATCAGTATCTAAGATACCGTTCCATGTATCAAGTACGCATAATTGATAAGTGAAGATGGAAAGAAACGTGTAAACACGGTTTTCTCGCGAAAATTTAATGAGAATCTTGTCTGCTATGCCTGGACGTTATTCAGCTCCTGAATTTACGATATCTTCCATTCCAGAATTATTTTGTTACATGCATGTTTAATATGTGTTTAATTACATTACTGTAATTTTGCAACGAGCAGTTTAAGAGGCGTATTAAAATTCTTTCATGAAATAAAATCCTTGTTGGATTGATAATTTTGGGTATTATGTGGAATTAGAGAGAATTTCTGCAGATATTACGTACAATGCATTAGAGCTAAATCAATAATGTAATCAAGCAAATGTTAACTTAAAGACCCATTCAGTCCCAGAATTTTTTTAATTTTTATTTCTTTAAATCTTTTTATTTTTATTTTTGGAGTACTTTGTACAGTTTTCAATAGGTTACCCATTGAGTTACTGGTTATAGTGATTAAGTAATCTTTATGGAAGTGGCATGTTGTCTCTTTTTTGCTAAAAAGTAATTTGGTGGTCAAATTAATACTTTGTTGACATTCTGCTGCTTTTATGACAAATTATTTCACATTAAGCGCCACTGTCTTTAGGCAACAAGCATCTAATCTGCTTTAAAACCATTATTTAAATTATTATAAAATTCATGTTTGATCTATCTAAAGAAATTATAAAAAATAGGCATAAAGTACCTGCTCCCTTTCCACGCTAAATGTCTTAAAATGAACTGTTTCAATTCGGAAAAAAAATCAACAATTTTAGCGAAAATTTCAAAATAAGTACCGACTTAACAGTGTCTCTCTTTCCCTTCCTCGCATACCCCGCCCACACCCTCCTCGTCCCCACTATGTCAAGTAACAAGGAAAGAAACCAATGTTATTTCATAGAAATAAAGATTTTTGTACAATTTTAAAGGACAAGGATTGCTTCATATAATTCAACAAATATACAAAATCGAATACTACATGTAGTAAACAGAATTTTATCGTTTTCAGTGTTTTACATGACAAATCAGACGGACATATAAGTTATTTGACCGTGAAAAAATTCTTCCGATTCCCGCACAGAAGTTGGAATTAAATTAGGTTAATAAACTGAAACCAGTATTTACTTTTTTTGAAGGTCTTTGCAGCAAAATGTTGGACAGCACGACCTGTGCAGAACACGAGGGTATGATTTACTGTAAGGGCTGTCACGGAAAGAAGTTCGGACCCAAGGGGTACGGGTTTGGTCAAGGTGCTGGGGCCCTCAGCATGGAGACCGGAGAGCAATTTGGAAATACTAGCAGCGGCATGTCGTAAGCATTAACAGTTTTACAATTAACGCCTAATAGCTAATGAGACCAAATCGCTGATTGGCTGATTATGTAATGTCACCTTAGACGTGATTGGCTGCTAAAACGTCTGATTAAATTTCGATTTTAATGATTCAAGTGAATACTAATACAACAACAACAACAACAACAACAACAATAATAATAATAATAATAATAATAATAATAATAATAATAATAATAATAATAATAATAATTAATAATTATAATTAATAATTAATAATTATAATAACAACAACAATTATTATTATTATTATGATAATAATGATGATGATGATTACAAATATATGATAATTCCTTGAACAAAGAATAAATGCTAACGTTCTTGGCGATCTAAAATGAATCGTTGCATTTCTTGTTAACTAAATAACGATTTTAATGATTTATTCACGTCTGTTTCTGTTATGTTTCAAGTAACCGGCCAAATGAGGGTCATGTTGGGGGATCATGTGGAGGACCTAACGCATGTGGGCGATGTGGTCGAACAGTTTACGAAATGGAGAAAGCTAATGGAATGTCAGACGTAAGAATCGTGTTAATACTTAATTATACAATGTATTGGCTGTTGACAATGATAAGTGTATAGACCTACAGGTATACGTCACTTGTATAGATTTACAGGTAAACGTCACTTGTATATACCTACAGGTATACGTCACTTGAATAGACCTACATGTATGAATGACTTGTATAGAACTGCAGGTATACATCACTTGTATATACCTACAGGTATACGTCACATTTACCTGCATGTATACGTCACTTGTATAAGTCTACCTACAAGTATACGTTACTTGCATATGCTTTCAGAGTCTCGTTCAACTTTATATGCTCATTATTGTGACAACATCTAAGACACCATGCATTATCTTAGAATTTCAGGAATTAAATCATGGTTATCACAGAAACAAACCGCAAGTCCATCTAAAAAAATTAAATGCCATTGTTGATTTACGTTGATATATGTACATACATTTTTGTTTCATTTAAAACCATACAGTATATCTGCAATGAATGGCACAGAACAAAATTCAAAGTTCACCACCACATACAATTTCAAGGCATATTTAGCTATTTTGGTATAGTTTTATCAAACTCTGGACCAAGGACGCTTCGTTCGGACTACAATCTCTTGTATATCAAGAAATCTAACCAATATTTATATATATAACATTTATAATTTTTCAGCCTTGGCATAAATCATGCTGTAGCTGTAAGGTGTGCAATAAGAAGTTAGACCCTAGTGCACTAAACCGGCACGAGAAAGAAATATACTGTAAAGGTATATAACAAAGAATTTTCTTAAAATATTTTCTGGCTATTTTACCGACTGGCAACGGCATTTATTATCTTTTATTTTAAAAAATACTACGAATAGCTTTGTTGCAGAAACAATATACTATAATAACGTGAAAAATCACGTGAGAAATAACGTGTGAAATAATGAGTGAAATAACGCGAGAAATAACGAGAAAATATTTGATTCAATATACCATAGGTGATTATTAGACACAGTTTGAATCAGTTGATATACTGACTAACATGATTTAATCATTATGAAGTTCAATATCAAAAATAAACAATTTCTTGACTATGATTATAAATCATATACATGTATTATCAAACTATGGAACGGCGCATTTGTCTTCTCTAGTGTATAGTCAACACGCACACATACACAACGCAGAAGTGCTTTGCCATACATTAATTTTGATGAAAGCGTCTGGTGAGAAAGAATAGTAAATCAGCTCTATTTCTAAAAGTGAACATAACAGTCACTCAATCTTTCTCTCTTGAATACATTTCAGGATGTTACGCAAAGAATTTCGGCACTTCCGGTTACGGTTTTGGAATGGGCGCTGGGTGTTTGTCAACCGGAACTTAGAAAGTTCAATACAAGATTGCCGTCTGCAGATATGTTGTGAATTTGCTTTCGTATGAGCACGTGCAAATAGTGCTGTATGAATATCAAACAAATAATGAATTATATCCTAACTTATTGATAAGAGCGTGGCAAGATATCGAACAGTCTTGTTTTCAGTTAGTGCTTAAAATCAGTATATATTGTGAGCTTTTTATGTCTTTGTATATTTGCGATTAATGGACTTTAAATATAATGTGTAGAACGTTTTATTAGCGTTGTATGACTTTGAATTGCCTTTTGCGAAAATAGAAATTTTACTTCGTGTTGTAGCGAAGGTTACACTTTTATAAATATCTTATGATTTGAATGGTTCATGCTTAAAACATAGAAATATATGCTTCATCTGAGTCATCTAAACGCTTATAAGTGCATATACAGACTTGCAAAACACGAAAAGTGTAAAAACAATACGGAAAGGGTAATTAAAAATTTTCATTGATTAAAAAGACCCAGACGAATTATTACACTATTTTCTATTAAATATAAAGTATGCACATTATTTACTTAAACTTATATTAAGTTTTATAAACATTGCTGAAATAAATAATGTCATTTGCTTAAATTATATCTTACATTTTATCATTAAGAATTTAAAAATGCACGAATTTTACGCGGTTGTCATTCATTAAATAGAGCTTTTGTCTAGTTATGTATACATTTATTTATAGTAACTGTTGCATTTTGTAAATAAATTGCTGAATAAATTTGCTTTCACTATTTGTAATGTATTTCTGTTTATTGCAATAAATCTTCTTCTATGTTAAGATTTCTTGTTACGCTAATTCAGTCTACTTTCAAGTAAATTTATCCGTTAACAGGGGAGATAAATCGATGAAATTCTTACCTTGCTATGAATCCGTACTGTAGCAGTTGTCTCCCATTGATTAAATAATTTTATGCTTTCCATCTCTGTTCATAAATGAAGAAAAGATTACATATTTTCACTGCATCACATGAAAAAAATAATTTGAAATTACAATTTTACACACACATTTGTTTGGTATTTTCATATCATGTAATGTAAAATACTAATGCCTAAGGGGTAACACTGAGATTTTTTTCTTGTTGCAACATCTTTATTTGGCCATTCCGTAGGAAAAGAAAGCTGGTCTGAAACAAAAAATAGCCTGAAAGTATTCATATGATATTCAGGGGACCTAAACGATGTTAAAGTTATAAAAATGGCTCTCTTGACCACTCACTACTCTATTTTGGTTACTTGTCGCCGATACAAAATGATTCAATCAGAACATCTCGGCTATTATTTATAATTATCCGAAGTTTGATGGAAAGGAAAGGGCCGCGAAGATGCGACTACTGTTCTTTTCCGGCGAGGAGATATACATGTACTTGCTTTTACGACATCACAGAAATATACGTAATGGTGCAAAGGTGCTTGTTGTATTGATTTAACCTAAAATCTAATTTCTTTTAATAGGTCCCGTAACTCATTTTTATGGTTTTATATCATAAATATAATGCTCAAATTAAGATTTATCAATATTGTAGGTTCCAAAAAGCATTATTTATAAAGATATTACCGAATTTAACATTTCATGTAAATAAAGGCTGGTAATTAGAAATTTATTTTCTATAAAGTCTAAGTGATTTTTTTCAATGAGAAATGAATGCATATATTTTAATTATTACATATCATGTGCACAGATATTTGCAGTACATATTCTTCAATGTTTGAAAATTGTTTTATAAACATAATTATATACATATATAAAATTTCACTTAAGTGTGGGAACAACCTCAATTACAACCTACAGCTAGATCTTTAAACATATTTTCAGTCAAATCAATGCGACTAGCACATCTGCGTGAAGACAGCAAAAAGCCGACCTTATTTAGAAAAAAACCCCATCATTTTTAAAGGGATGGGATGATGACACAACTGGGCAAGTCTTTCCTTTTAAACGGAAACTTTATTTAGAATTTCGAAAGAAATGATTTAGACTAATTGAAATTTATACTGTCTGATATTTGAATATTTCATTTTTTAAAAACAAACTGGTAAAAAATGCCTTGTACGGCCATTATATATTTTATAAGGGTTTCCGAATATTATCATTCAAGCACTTTTCGGGACTGTCGGGGACATATACGTACAGGCAGTATTTGGAACGACAATAACCAGCCCTTTGCTAAGAATTATTATCATTATTATTATTGATTAATAGCCGAGATGTTCCGATAGGACAATAGCCTAAAAAGCAATACGTTGAATGATTTAAACTAAATTCAACTTGAACAGAAAATGTTCTTTTCCCAGTAATAATAGGTCTAGACGGCAATTTATAAAACGAAAACAGCATAATAATTTGTAGAAATATCAGTACATAGTAATTAAAGACTCTCAATATGCATATGACATACATTGAAGAAAATAATAGTTTGCATGCATTGCTCCTTCAAAAAATGACTGACAGCAATTTATATTTACCCCCACCCAGCCAAAATCACACCTAAAAAATACCAATATGGGCAATCTTCATGAAGGTGCAGCATACTCCAGAATCCGCCCGATTCCTTTAAAAATATCAGTAACACGCAGTGCAAGCTATAGCATTTTCAGAAATGACAAATAAAGTGTCTGTCATACGTTTAGATTTTTCACAAAATTTATCTGAAATTTCTTACTTGTTTGGCGCCAACTGTCAAAGCTTGATTTTTAACTTTTTCACCTCCATTCGGAGAGTCAGAAATACATACAAAGCTACCAAAATGCTTAGTTTCGGGTAAAAACCCAAAAATATATCTCATTTCCTACACACAAACAAGAAAGAATTACAATGACAGAGAAATATCAGAAGTTATCAGTACCTTCAAAACACCATGTCTGAGTTATTAAAAAATTTGACCGGGGCCATCATACGAATATGTCCCCTGCCCCCTAATACATGTAATATTTATATGTTGTGTGTATTGGATCGAACTGGTGTAAATGTATGTGTGCATATTTATACAACTATAATTATCATTATCTATAAGTGCATTATGACACGCGCGACTCCAGAAGGGGGAGGGGCGGTGGTGTAAGGCGGACATGACCCTATGGGATTTGACACGTATGTCGAACGCCTATTAAAGTTGGATTAGCGAAAATCAGAAAAAAATCTAGTAATAAAAAACAAAAACAAAAAAACAGGAAAATTTTGACTTTTGTCCCACATCTCTAGAGATAAGCAAAATATCCTGCCTTAATGTTTGTTACCCATTATCGAAAGTTTGCGACCCATCTGATAAAATCCAGGATCCGCGCCTGTTTTATGTAACCATAAACTGATAAAATGGTGTGTTACTAATTCTCGTGATGAAAATATGACCTACATATATTAACATTTGTGTAAACTCTTTATCACGTGTGGTATTTGACAGTGGTAATGTCGATTTAACCAGGTAAATGATATTTTGTTTTAAAAATACATGCAGTTCATTGTTTTTCCTTGTTTGTTTGTAACGTTTTGATCAAAATCAGGGGAGAGGCGTGGTATATAGAATATATTTCACTTATACATGAGGAGACTTAAGTCATTAAAGGCAATTCAAAGGGGAGGCGTGGATTATAGAAAATATTTCAGGCCTAAGTCATTAAATTCAAATCAAAGGGACGGCGTAGCATATAGAATATATTTCACTTAAACATGAGTAGGCATAAGTCATTAAATGCAATTCAAAGGGGAGGCGTGGATTATAGAATATATTTCAGGCCTAAGTCATTAAATTCAAATCAAAGGAGAGGCGTGGATTATAGAATATATTTCACTTATACATGAGAAGGCCTAAGTCATTAAAGGCAATTCAAAGGGGAGGCGTGGATTATAGAATATATTTCAGGCCTAAGTCATTAAATTCAAATCAAAGGAGAGGCGTGGATTATAGAATATATTTCACTTAAACATGAGAAGGCCTAAGTCATTAAAGGCAATTCAAAGGGGAGGCGTTGATTATAGAATATATTTCAGGCCTAAGTCATTAAATTCAAATCAAAGGAGAGGCGTGGATTATAGAATATATTTCACTTAAACATGAGAAGGCCTAAGTCATTAAAGGCAATTCAAAGGGGAGGCGTGGATTATAGAATATATTTCAGGCCTAAGTCATTAAATTCAAATCAAAGGAGAGGCGTGGATTATAGAATATATTTCATCTAAACATAAGCAGGCCTAAGTCATTAAATTCAAATCAAAGGAGAGGCGTGATATATAGAATATATTTTCACTTATACACGAGTAGGCCTAAGTCATTAAATGCAAATCAAAGGAGAGGCTTGGTATATAGAATATATTTCACTTATACATGTGTAGGCCTAAGTCTTTAAAGGCTTGGTTGGTTCCATCTTGGATAATGACAACGAATTTTCATTTCAGAATACAAATAGTAAGAATGGCCAATATCACAATTGAAACATCTGATGGAAGAAAAGGCGAATTTATAACGGCAAATGGCTTAGTTTATTCGTATGTATTTCATTGCTTAATTGTAAGCTTAGTGGGTGCCTTAAAAAGTAGTTCTTTGAGATAGCTAGCTATAAAGTGAGCCCATTGGCACCAGAGCTTCAAGTTACTGTCAGTTAATAATTTGGTTTTATAAATACAAATGATGACATAAAATAGTAAAATCACCAAAACAACGTTCCCGCTTTTTGTTCCTTTCTATAAATCTATTGTACCGAGATAGACAAGAACAAAAACTTTATTTTGCGGTTTGTATATAAAAGACAACATTGAAGTAAAATGACTTTTATGGTTAAAAAGATTGTAGGAAATGGAAAAGACATTGAAGCTCTGGTGCCAGTGGGCGAGCCCAGTAAATTTTAACCAGGCCATACTTTGATACATCCATAGAGAACAACCAAGCTGCCGACCGTGTCTGTTTGCTAAATTTAGTATCATTAAATTATTTAAATGTACATAAAGAATCAACAAGTTAAAACTCAAAACATACGTGTATCAACTATCCAAATATCAAGCTAACGATAGATTGATGAATTGAATACCGCTGAAACGCTGTTGGTTGGAGGGGGAGGGGCGTGGTTTGAGAGATGATGTAATCTACATTATCTCTCATTTTACTAACTATCTGTGTTGTTGTCAACGCTCTCTATGGATTTCCCTTCCCCGCAGTTTCAAAATGTCCTAGATTCTATTCTACAAAAAAATAATGGATGACACAATCCTGATTATATCTATATTTATACACAGGAAGGAACAGAGAAAGCATTTCAAGGATGGAGATTTGAAATCTCACATTGAACGTATGCGAGACTTGACAATACGACCAGACGATGTATTCTTAGCAACGTATCCAAAGTCAGGTAAGTAACGCAGAGTCTGATATATTTCCTTTTTCTCGTATACATTGTACATGTCTTAGCAACGTACCTAAAGTCAGGTAAGTAACGCAAAGTCTTCTATTTTTCATCTCTCTAAATCTACACTGTGTTTATGTCTCAATAACAAAATCAGGCATAACAAATAATCATTTACTTCAAAATCTGAATTCCAGACAACGCGTCATATTTCACTACTATTGAAATGATTGTCGTTAGTAAGCGTTCTAAGTATCTTATCATTATCCAGGAAAACTTGCATATACAATTTTGTAAGAAAATGTATTATGAGTCAAAAAACATAGACAAATTTAATTTGTTTAGAGACATTCACCCTGAATGCTATGGGGACAAAGAATAACTTTATTTTTCTTTGTCAAAGAGATGCTTTACCTTCGTCTACCTATGTTCAGTAGGTAAGAGCATAAATTTTGATTTTGCGGGAATCACGCATCGTGTATATAAGCTGTAATCTCATCTTATCAAAGAACAGACTGTGAATGTTCTTGACCCCATTTTGTTGACTTAGCAGTACTTTTGATAACTGTGCCTCGTTATTTAGCAGCATTATGTTATGTGAACTCCAGCCGCCGAGAAACAGCTGGTTCCCGTGTCCAGCACAAACTGCAAGTGGATTATTCATGTGCTTATGTGTAAATATCTTTGAAACATCGCCATTTTCGTCCATTATGAGTAAGCCGTTATGACAGTCAGTGACGTAAAGCCGGGAACCATATATTGCAATGTGTCCCAGCTGAGAAAAATGCTGATCACACCGGAAGCTTTGAAGTTCACCGGAAATGCTGTAGACAGCGATGTGACTCTTGGTGTCTTTGTCTGTTTTCCATTCACCACATGCAACATATATTAGCCCGTTTGCGTACGCAATACCACGACATTGTGATTGAGTGTGAAAAGAAGAAGTCAGATGCACTTCATTTTCGGCTGAAACACAATGCACTTCTTTCAGTTTCGGAAACGAGATGGCGACGGTTGTAGAATCAATGGCACACATACCAAAGGGTTGGCCAGGCAGCTCGATGCGTTGTACGATGTTATAATCCTCATCTAAATGCATTAGACTTTCATTTTGCCAATCACAAAGTAACTTCGAACCATCTTCAAGGGAACATATTCCACTGTAAGTGGGCAAAGATTTTTCTGCGATCGACTTGATTGAAACAACATTTATTAGTTCCCCGTTACATTCAGGTATGTTATCAACTATTTCACCAAACATTGCCAAATCAAGAAGCCTATTTACTTCTCTGTTTGGTAGAAAGTAAATGTTCCTACCAGTTTTAGTCTCAATAAGTTTCGCAACTTTTTCTGATTCTTCAATGCATTTATTCGCTATTCTCGTTTGTACAAACAACGAAGCGACATTGTCTGTTTCACTCAACTTCTCCAAGTTTTCTTTCTGGTGTTTAATCTGTGCTATGACGTCATCCAAATCGTTTACATCAGTATCAATAACAGCTTTCCATTGTGTACTTCTCCTGTTCAATTGCCATTATTAATGTATTCTCAAGATTACTAAAGTGCTTCTCGACTCGTTTCTTCATATACTTTACTTCTTCGATTATATCTTTCTTCGAACATTCGAATATTTCGCTGTGTTTAAGTCTTGCTAGCTTTAGTTTCGCAGTATTCATTCGGCATACATCAAGTTTATCAAATATGTCCTTAAAATTATGTTTGTCGTCTGCGAAATTCTTGACGACGTTTGGCAAATACACCATTCCCTTACACCCGCTGTAAGTAAAATGAAAATAATAACACAGTGGACACAATGAGCAAAATCTAACACCTACAGTAATGTTTTGAAAATATGGGAACGAACAAGAGCTACTTTAGCTACATTCTCTACACACGATGAGATAATAGCAGTTGTAAATGGACATGTATTTCTAAGAAAATTAACAGTGTCTTGTTTTTTTTTCCACTGTTTTCACATAGAAAGTCAAGTATAAATTCACGATTATAGTCCTACATGTACTTTATTCTTTTCACTGAATAGGTAGGTTATCGAATGAGGGTTGCCAAGTTATAAGTTGAAAAGAATTAGTCTAGAAATACCTGTGATAAATGACTGCGCATGCAGCACAACAAACTTCCTCATGGATCTCACAGTACATGTCAAGAAGTTTTCCGATATGGGCGTCACATGTCTGCACTGGTATGACGTCACTCGGTACAACGTCACTTGGTACGACGTTACTCTTGTATCGTTTTGCTTCAGTTTTATCCACGACGCGATGATTTTTCATCAAGCCAAACCTATTGTGCTGCTTTATACAGTTTTCGCATAAATAATTCTTACAGTCCACACAATATTTCTTCGCTTGTATATTTCGCTTTTCTTTTGTACACGGTGTACACGTAAAATCATAGTACTCGTCAGAAGCGCTAAGATTCTCTTCGAGAAGTTTATCCTCCGTTAGTTGGCTTGCTGTATCCATTGTCAAAATGAGTACTGTAACTGGCCGACAATATTTATTTCAGCAGGATCATCATTTCTAATTTCCTGTTTATCGGAAATGTCCACTTCAAACTATGAGTGGATTAATGATTCGGCAATCATCTTGTCTACATACACTTAACAAATCTTATAAGTGTGCACCATTTATGTCCTTATAACTTTCTCGTTTATCAATACATTTCTACAAAATGTTGCGTTCTGACTATTGCCTGCATTTCCACACTTTTCCCGTGTTCAGGCATGTCAATTTTAACTATGAGGTGCGTTCAACCATGAACGAACGAAATTCACAAAATGCACGAAAAATTGTGAGAATGGGTGAAATAAAATTGCACATGATATTCTCGGATACGACAGAGATCGACATATCAGAAAAACACCACATGGGTAGATTATCTATACAACAGCGTTGCATAGCCCTAGGATTGGTCAACGCTTGTGTACACCAAACAGAGGTTGGTAACAACATTTATTTGTTTAAATGATTATTTTAATTCCTTTGCATTATAAAAGCCGAATATCATTTAAATTCAGTTTCTACCTAAGACGAACATAAATGTACTGTACTACATGTCTGTTTCATTTGAAGGTTGCGCCTCGAATGGGTGTACACCGAAATACTTTAAAAAGGCTAATCATTGAGTACAGAGCAACTTCATCGTTGGTAACCTTCCTCACCGATACAACGGTATGCAACATCGATGTGACGATGCTACAAGGCTGTAATACACAGTCAGGGTGGGCACATACGGTATCAAGACATCATTTTGCAACATCGACTTTTGACATGCATTCACATATTTTAGAAATTAAATCTTAAATTTGTATCTTGAATGAAAAATACTTAATAAAAATGATAACATGTCTCTTTTCTGTATTTAATGAAAATTTCAGCATGATCGGGCAAATATTGATACACCTATGAAACCATTTATAAATGCACACTTATAAGATTTGTTAAGTGTATAAATAATATCGTTTAGATAACAAGTAGACATGTACCATAGCAATGGATCTAAACAATTAAATTCCAAGTTTTCAGACAGAACAAAATAAAACGCCTTAGTTTAGTTTATACTAATTTATTTTAGTTCGATTGTGTTGGAAGCTTATAGCTTATTTAAACACTCTCGAATCCGTTCCTGGAACCAGCCAGTAACAAAGCAATTAAACAAAGGCTCAAGGAAACAACGGCTTGCCCCTGACCGGGTTTGAACCCACGCGGTCATTAATCCGATTACTATATTTCGACGCGTTAACCGCTAGGCTTCGTCGCCACTCTAGAATTCAACAGATCCTCGTCCGTCGATACATTATAGATAGAACGGGATTGAAAGTTTTAGAAAATTATCAATGCAATCAATCGTTATATTTTAACAAATTGCATTTAGCAGTAAGCCTTATTTCCTGTGAATTAAGTATCAAATAAAATTTGTCAAGAGCGGCGCAGCGTACGGTCATATCAATTGCGCACATAGATAAACTAACACTTTGTAATAGAATATAATAATATAATATAATGTTACATAATTGTTATGATTAAATTATTAAAGATGGTTTTATTTGGTTGATATATGATATAACATTATTACAAACGCATAATAAATTAAAAGTTAAGCTTTTGTTGTTGTTGTTTGGCTTTACTTTGTACCAACACTGTGCTGGTCAAACGGCGACTTCCCAACTTTACTGTACTTTACAATACCTCCATGACCTCAGGTGTCTCTCCGTTGTAAGTTCAGGTACGATTTGGCACCCGAGTTTCGTAAGCTAGCTGGATAGCATCATCACGTGGCAGAATCCAAAGTCCCTGGCACGATTTGAACGTACAACAATTGGTTACACAAAGTGTATTTACAAACCACTAATCTCTGTTGTTTTTTTAAAGATCTGTTAGTAGTTTTTGTTGGAGTTGCGGGTATCAAACTCGCGACTCCTAGACTTGAAGACATACATGACTACCGCGTGACCGTGTGCTGCGCTCTCAATTCGTTAAATACTTATAATTATGCTTCACTATACAGTCAAACCTGTGGTTAAGACCACCTTCGAATAAAACCACCCTGTCAATAAAAACCATTCTATGACAAACCTTCATTAATATAAATACAACAAATTCAATACAATAAACTCCGAATAAAGACCACTTGTATATAAAGGCCATGTATGGTTTCTCCTTTGGATATCTTTTATTCACAGGTTTATCTGTACAGAATTATCGTTGTGTACCTTAACTAATGACCATTATCACTTCTGTCCAAGTTTTATTAACTTGAATATTATTAAGCAGGTTATAAATTTCAAATGCCATTTAAGGAAAACCCGTGCATTTACAGGTACACACTGGGTATGGGAGATACTTATGATGTTACGAGGAGGGAAGGCCGAGTACGAGACAAACCCAAAAGAAGCAGTCTTTCTAGATTTTAAAGACGTAGATGTCATAGATAAAGTGACGTCACCGAGAGTTTTGAATTGTCACTGGCCGTGTAAACTTATTCCCAAGGGAATTTTTGAGAAAAAGATCAAAATAGTTCACGTGCAAAGAAATCCGAAAGATATGGCAGTGTCTTTATTTCATCACCATCATAGTTTAGGAGGAAGGCCGTTTACAGAAAGTTTTCAGGATTATCTACCCATGGTTCTAGGGAAGTATGGAATTTGTAAGTACAGATTTAGTTACACACGTCAATTAGTAAAACGAACATATTACATAATGTTCAAAACTTTGGTATCATATGACATGTAATTTCAATGCAATTAAATTCAAGCATGCCTCAATATTTGAAAAATGTCCTCACTTTCCGTTCTTATTAATATCAAATAAGCGCTGGAATGATTGGGAGCAAGGAAAAGCAAACGTGTTAATCGAACGCTTGAAACATGAGAAATACGGACAATTGCGGACATAGTCGACTTCAAATGAATTATTGATATACTTTTTGAGTTGAACTTTTGGGACATACTTTTACCCCATTTTTTCTTAGAACATAGGCATTTCAAACACTGTCCCCTTGTACGATAAAAACGTTTAAAAGTGCGACCGTTGATAAGACGGGGCCCTGGACTTTATCTAAGCATGCTCTTTCCTTCCAGACCAGTTTTATCCATGGTTTAAATACATCAAGGAGTGGGAGCGTTTTACAAAAGCAAACCCTGAACAAATATTAAACCTTTACTACGAGGACATCAAAGAGGTACAGTAAAACCTTCAAAAAACAGCCACTCTTTTACCCGGCTGTATCTTTTGTCCAGGTTGATCATTGTTAATAATAATTGTTATGTTTACATTTAAATGAGGAAAAAAGATGAATGGCAGGAAATAGAGTTAAAAAACCACTATCATTTACTTTAAGGTTGCATATTGCATTTAAAAGTAATTTAGAGAGAAGTACGGTATTTGCAGGCATTATTCAATATAATAGGAATTTAGTAGCCCGATATCTTTTTTTTTCTTCCATCGTCATTGCAAAAATAAACTTTGTCCTTTAAGCTGATAAAAACAGTCAAATGAAAATGGTTGCCCGTAAACCGTTACAGTATTCATTTCAAGTATTCATTGCGGCTTTAATTTTTCGAACAAAATATTTTTCGTCTTCAGAATTTCCTTTGTCATTCAAAATCATTTCCTAATGTTGTTTTAAACGTCTTCAGAACCCTGTCAGAGAAATTAGGAAAATAGATGAGTTTCTTGGAACCAATCGTTCTAGTGACTTAATTCAACAGATTGCGCATGCGTGCCACTTCGATAACCTGAAACAAGCTGACCTTGACATTAAAGTTAAGGAAGGAATAACGAATCACAGGAAACCTTCAATGATGTACAGAAAAGGTTCGTAACTTAACTTATAATTTTTAAAACTTTTTCTGAAGAATATAACATTTTATTGATATCAGTATAATTCAATTACTTCTTTCAGAAATATGTAGATCTACTTTATAGGTATACTTCACAATGACGTTTTGTTTGTTTGGTTTTACGTCGCACAACATAAGTTAGGTCATATGGCGACGAATCAGAAAAAAAAAAGATTTTGGCTAACCTCGAGCGTTCAAACTTAAAGCAACACCAGGGGTTAAGAGATGTATAGACTCCAGTAATTTGAACTCATTTATTCGCCACTTACGATCACGCAAGGATAAACGATTGCTGTAATTCTGATGTCTTAACACTTAAACAAATATTGGACTGCTAAACATCGCCAGTTTCCACGCAGTGATCTTCGGTATGGTATTGATCAAGGGAAGTAACCGCTGCGGGGAGCGGGGAACAAACTCCAACGCAGTTGTCTCCCTTCGCTTCGCTAATCGAGTGATTACGAGTACTGATAAGGGGAGATCACTGCGTACGAGATTGGGAGTTTGAAACTACAAGTGACTGTGTAATGATTTATTTTCAAATGCCATTGTAATGAGTGAAACATTAATCGGGTTATTTTCTATCATTACAGGGCAGGTTGGTGACTGGAAGAATAATTTTACAGTTGCCCAAAATGCTGACATGGATGAATGGTTACAGGATAATTTCGTAGAAACAGACATTAAATTCAGATATACCATCTAACATTACATATCATACTGTGTAATAACAAAGATGTAGATAACTCATGTATTCCTATGTCTCTGGTAATAATAAAGTATTCTTAAATCATGTTTGCAGCAACAATTATTCTTAGCGTATAAAAAACATAAAAACACTAAGCAATTTAAACATTTAATTTCTTAACAAACACTAAAAACAAAGCAACAATAAATTGGGCACAACAATATTTTTTTTTCTTCAATCAATTACATAAGTCACATGTATTCATGTCGACAAGTAACAATATACTTACATACATTATACATACATCTTGTTCAATAGTCAATATATCTAATTTAACTTATTCCTACCTACTCGGAAAATTGTATCATAACTTATATGTACAGATCAATTTAACTACATGAAGGGTTTTAAAAAATAAATTGTCAGCACCTGTATTTCCTATACAAGTGATATTAAGTCTCCTTGAACTTCCCCACAGTGTATTATGGTTGCCTAGCAGGGACAGGACCCGTTAGTGCCCTAAGAATTATAACACAACTACTGGCCACGCCCCTGCTACAAAAACATACAACATATACAACTTTGTGGTAATTAACATGATCGAAAAACGAAAACCTTTAAAGGTCCACTTCTTGGTAAAATTATATTGCAGACTTGGTGTGATTTGATTCACACATTCATGAATTGATTCACACATTCAGCATACAATAACACCTATACTTACCCTTAAATAACAAATGATAATGCCCTGTACCCTTCACCTGCAGAAATTCTGTAATGGAATAGCCGGGTTAAACTTGGAACATTCCATGAACCATACAAAGTACAAGGGGTTACACTATCAAAACACATGTACAATAAATTGAGCCACTTACAGTAAACAGCCTGATCAGAAAGAACAGGTGAGCATTTTATGAATATTCCTAAGTTTAGCATATCGTGGTAGATTTACATTAGTTGCGTTCCACTAAACAGACCATGAAATATACGCCAGCAATAAGTGAGCTTAACTTCATGTTTAAACTTACGCCAATGCGTAAATAAGTTTAGTGAAGCCCGAATAAATACATAAGTTCAGCTTATGTTAAGTTACGTTCAAACTCGAGTAACGATATCATAAGTACATTAGTGAAACGCACCACTGCAATGCAAGCTGGCCTGGCTCTATACTGGTCACAATAGCTAGTCACGTTCAGTTCCAGCGAGGTAACCACTTATCAATATGATTATAACATAACATCTATAAAAAATGCCATACCTAATCTGACTATAATCCTGTTTCTATTTTGTGGTGCAAAATGTTACAAAACTGTTTTAATTTACACTCAGGAAAAACTGTTCTGTCCCAAACAATTTGACATCCACAGTGCTGGATTTTTTTATGCCTGTATGTGAATAAATATCCAGCTACTGATAAAAACACCACTGGTATCAAAAAATAAATTCATCCATAATTAGAAAAACATGACATGAAACCAAATGGCTAACGGAGAAATACATGTATGAAATATAAGGATTAAATTCATAACTACCAAAGTGACTTTCAACACTTAGCCACTGAGTAATATGAAATATACAGAAATTATCAAAATTTATCAAAATCCCAGGAATGTAGAAGAGTTGCCATTTGATTTGCATTAATGAACACATTGATGTGATGTCTATTTACAAAGAAACTAAAAGAAACAAGCCATTTTAACATAATTTTTGATTTGTGACACCTCTTTTTTTGTTAATTTGGGTTTTAAAAATTATCCTAAACACCGACAAAGTATTTTTGACTCCATTTGACAAGCAATTTTCAGCCCCTTTCACTTGGTAAAGGAAAGACCTCAGGTTTTTTGCCCTTCCAGCCGCAATAATTTCAAGCCAAAGGAAAACCCCGAGCCACTAATTTTACTTAAATCACCGAAACGTTTCATAAGCTTACCTGCAAGCAATTACTTTTTCCTCACCCCTTGAAAGTAAATCAAAGACTCAACCCCGTGGGTCCCTGGGGACCCAATCAACCCACAGAACGAGTTTAATCGGGCCAAAATTGTGATTTGAAAGATCAAACCGACCCTATAACCAAAACTCGGCGCCAAACGGATGCAGCCCATTTGACCTCTAAATCACCTTGACATGCCAGTTTTAACAAAATATTTGATCTTGTAGTAATCTTTACTTATGGATGAATTTGACCTTGCAAGGTGAGTTTTTGTATGACCTTTACATGTGATCTTGACCTTTAGATAATAAGCCAAGTAATGTCATTTTTAAAGTGACATTAGCCTAGGAAGTAAATTGTCTTTTGATTAAACCTTAAACCCAACCCCTCGCAAAAAGTAACCATGGTCTCTAGACCTACTCAAGTGAACCATTGCTTAATGCAACATGACACCTGTCCATTGCAAAATTTGTAAAAATTTATTACTAAGTTTAGGTTAGCCCCAAAATATATATATTCAGTTCTTACAACATACATGAATATTTTTTAAGATTTCATAAGAAACAATTATCCCATCATGTTTAATAAGCCAAATTCCTTTGAAAATACAGTACACATTAATATTAAAATATATTTTTAAAGGAACTCCACTGAAGGCCAGAGGTCTAAAAACATAAAAATTGAAATTCTGAAAAATATCAAAAGAACCACTTCAAATGGAAAATTCGACAAGGATAACAAAGAAATGTACTCAAAATTATACTGAAAAACAATTTTCTTGGTGTGCAATTTTTAGCGCGCCAATCTGAGTGAAAAGCATTGCAACGCTTTTCATTTTTGTGTCATTTTTCACAATAAAAATGATTTTTCTTGAAAAAAAAACAGGGTGAGGGAATTAGCTGAAGATTTGCCAGAGCTACATCAAATAGTACACAAATCTCGATGAAATATATCTGATCCTGGCATGTTAAACAAAAAAAACAAACAAAAAAACTCAGTGGAAGTCCCTTTAAACAAAACAAACTACATGTCTGTTGGCAATCCATTTATAGGTGGCATAAACTTGACCATTTTTGCTGCCATAGTTTAAACTTCATTGACCAAATACCTGAATTAAAGAATAATAATTAATATCAAAGTTCTACAAGAAAATAGACATAAATATTTTTAACAAACTTAACAGCTGACTTTTCTATACTTTATTTTTTCTGGCTAAGATTTTGGCATTTAAATCAATTCATTTCCCTGAAATTAATATTCTGTAAGACAAAAAAATACCCTTTTATTGTAACCAAAATTAAACTACAACCTGATTTTCAACAGTGAAACAAATGGATCTTTTACACTTGTACTTTATCAATGAAACGATTAAATGATAAAGGGAAGTAACTGTGTTGCAAAATTTTGCAACATATTGGGTAGGTAATGTCCTTTTATAAAATATAAGATTTTTTTTTTTGGATAAAATATGGGAAAACTTTATATGGAAATATGAAATGTGCACGTGAAAAGTTACATTAAATGTACGGATGAGGTGAAGAAACAAAACAAATATAGAATAATCAGTTATACTGAAATTCAAATATTTCTCTAATGCTGAGGGTAAAGTTAGCACCACTATTACCATAGCAACCATCCTCATTTATGAAAACAAGCATTTCATTTTTACACAGAACTTAAAAACAAACAAAAAAACTTCTCCAGTAAGTTTTAACATTACAACCTTGAAGATTCACAATTAAAAAATTAAAATTACAAAAAAAAAAAAATATATATATAAAGACCTATTGATTTCTTTGAGAAAAAAAGAAAAGAAATAAAAAAGTTAAACAGTCAACAAATGCAGGCTTGCCATTGGTTAAATTCAAATCTGAGCTCTATCTCAGCCAATCAAATGTACTTATTTCTAGAATGGTTCAACAAAATGATAAATGCAACTTTAATGTATGTCTGTGCCACTGAACAACATCTGACCACTAAACTACTTTACTATGAAATGAAACTTTGTGTGAACATTGTGCCAAAATATATCTCATATCACAAAAATGTTAAATTAATTTCTATAAATGGGTGGGGAACTGGGGAAACAAACATAAAGCCCACTGTTAAACAGTGAACAGTTCGCAGCAACGATAATGTGACAGTGGACAAAATTTGAATACGAGAAATGACCTAATGCTTTTTTAGTTGGATAAAAAAAATCTTGGCGATATTTTGTATAACATAAAATATGTTCAAAAGATGCTTCTTTAATAACTTGACTTAGACATTAGTTATTTGATAAGTCTCATAACAATTTTGTTAAACTTTTCTTACTAGCAAAACACATGTATTTCTATATACACTGTGTACCTACTCAACCCCTCCCCCCATTTATTATTTTCATTAAAGTTTTACCCAAACTTCAAGCATGTTTATAAATTTCAACTTTCAAATAATTCCTTTGATATCAATCAACGGCAAACAAAAGAAATGCTTTTCCAAACTCTACAACAAGTTACATATAGACCCGTTCATGACTAAAATTCAACCAACTGGTTAGCTTTCAAGTCTCTCCGCACAACCACTACACCCTAGATTAGTAGTATCAAACTAATGTCTTCTAGCCATCCTGTACGCACAAAACTGTAAGCACGAAAGATTTCCCAACTGCAGTTCTCATCATATTCTCATAATCAGACAGGTTCAACCGACAAGGTCTTGTAAGTTTATCGTTGAACCGACAAATTCGGAACAACTCTGATCTTGATCGTCATCTAGACCTGCGTTGCTTGAGTCATGTGACATGTCCAAATGTCCGTTCAAAACACCGTCTTCTGTATAGAGATCTGGATGCGGAGGATCGTCCTACAAAACAATATCAAAACTTTGATTGTCTCCCTTTGTTCTTTTATATGATTTTTAAAAACAAATTAATATAACTCATCTTGTTGGTGACAAATTAGTTATATATAAAATTATATTGCTGTTGCAGCACTAGAGATAAAGGAATTTGTTCATTTTTTGCCAGATAAAAAGTAAGTACAAACTAGAAATGTCTCTACAGGACACGGATGATGCTCACACATTCTAAGCTCACAGAAATTGACAGCAGGAGAGCTTGATTAAAGGCTAAAATTTTTGAGATTTTTTTTCTGGGTTGGGTTTTACTTCACACCAACACAATAGTGGTCATTTAACAACTTTCCAGCTTTACTGATGGAGGAAGACGGTTCAATATTTCAGACACAAATGGGCACTCGAGTAGAACCACTGACATTCTGTAAGCTAGCTGGATAGCTTCCTTACATGAAAGAATCTAAAACTCCAAGTTGGTTTCAAACCCACAGCGATAAACAGCAAGTGGATTAAAGTGAACAACCTTAACCATTCGGCCACCCCCAAAGAGCTTGATAAATGGAAATGGACAAAACTGTATGCACCCCAACCCCCTAAAAGATGGACAAGGACAAAACTATATCCCCCTTCCCACCAAGTACTAATATTACAATAATATACTTAAACCTGTACTATTTAATAAGATTTGTGCATATTGAAAATTGACAATAAGTATTATATATGATATTACCTGTAGTAATTGCATTTGTACATAGAGAACACCAGTTTCTGGGTCACGGAAGGTGATACCATGTGAACTGAACTGGTTAGAACTGGAATTATCTAACATCATGTTATCCTGCTGCTGTGCTGCCATGTCTGTAAAATTATATCACAAAAATATCATACTTTATCAATCTCTTACCACACAAAATATCTCAAATGGACCATCTTTAAATCTGGACAAAATCATTAATCATGTTTAGGGTAAATTTTCAAATAGCGTACAGTGTACAACAGTGTAGAACATGTTCAGATGGCCCAAATGTGCCAGCTGCTCTTGGTTTACACTAGTCAAATGGGTCGATTTATATGCCCCCAGCAGGTTAAAGGTTAAAATGTAGTATACATCTAATTTTTATCAGTTTTCAAAGTAAAGATTGAGCTTGAATATATAAAATTAATTCAATTTGTCTCAATCAGAAATATCGAGCAATAAATATAGAAAACTTTGCTTATAAAGATATCGCTAATAACAAAATACAACTAACAGCTGTGCTGTTGAAGTTGTCTCGACTCATTTTTCAAATTGGTTACCTCTAGGATATAACGATATCCTGCTGTATAAATTTGGCAGACGGAACATCGTTATAAGCAAAATTTACTGTATAAGTATCAGTGATGGTTATGTCATTCTTTTTTTTGTGAGGACTGTATGATACTGTAATGGCCATATGGCTACTTCCTTGATTAATTGATGGACAAACCATATGGTGACTTCCTTGTTTACCTGATGGACAAAGACCTCAGCTGCTCATTTTTTTTTTGTGAGGACTGTACGATACTGTAATGGCCATATGGCCACTTCCTTGATTAATTGATGGACAAACCATATGGTGACTTCCTTGTTTAACTGATGGACAAAGACCTCAGTTGCTCATCTATACACTATTTCAGGTAATAGTTGTCACCGGACAACGTTTGGTAAGTAATAAGAAGGTATTATATAATAATCGTTTGTTATAATGATCTGAAAGTTTTAACTGTTCAATAAAAATTGTGAACAGGGTCAGTATGCTTTAACAATTCTACGAACATACCATCGGAGACCGAGCTACCCTCCGCCTTCTCTCGTAAAAGTTTTCTTCTTTTCTTCGCTCTATCACTAAGTAATTTGTTGCTATGGTAATCAGTTCTAGCTGAACCAGTTCGTTCACTGCTTTCTAAAAATAGAAGTTCAAAAGTGATTTTAACGACACATTTTTTAAACAATAAATATACCTTAATTTCTATGACAGGGGCCTCTCCGTTGTTAGGTTTGATGGGTTTTTAGCCATACCAACACTGCAAAGGACAAAAGTTTATGAGGACTTTCCGGCTACACTGGTAATAAAAGTCTGGCACAAGCAAGCACCTAAGTAAAACAAACCATCTTCTGTAAACTAGCTTGATTACTTCTAAACATTTAAACAATTTTATGTCCCATATCTACAAGTGTTTGGAACTACTTGGCAACTTGCCATACCATCTCTGTTATATTTATATGATTAGATAAAGTTTAATTTTTACTGACTACAGTAATTCATTACATACATCAAGATATAATGAAAAGATTTTTCTAGCAAAGACATTTTTTCAAACAAACCTTCCGTCTCAGCACATGTTACAATATACAACGTTTTCAAGATGTTATAGAGAACGTAAAAGCTTGCTAGCACCTTCCTTACATTATCCAATTAAACTTATTGCAACAGGAGCTATTAATGTCATTATACTGTACAAAAGACGTTTTTCAATTCTCCCCGTCAAATTAGAAGGGTTTAAAGTTTGCTAATTTTTCAAAAAAATTGATTAAGTCTGTAAAAGAGTCATATAAAATTTTACAGAATTTCGAGTAGTATATCACAAATATTTAACCTCGTCAATTCATCAAGAAATGTTGATTGTGCAAAATTTTGGCACGAAGAAAATATCTGATGTAACAGAATACACATATATAAATATATAGCAAACCTTTTTTATTGTTATTTTTAAGTATGGATTTCTCTGGTTCGGTAGTGGTTGGCTGTACAGCTACTGTATTAGCCACTACACTTGTTAATTCAGCAGTCAGTTCCGCCGTAAACTGGTTTTGTACGGTGACGGGTGTGCCGTCTTTTGGATCAACTGAGAAAAACAACAAAAAATAAACTTTTATAATCATATTTATGTAGTCACTTCTTCTCAGTATTGTAATAAATGTTCAGTTTGATATTTGCTCAAAATTATTGTTCTTGTTAGGGTCACAGATTCATGGCCGCCATTATTACTTTGAAAAAAAAAGAGAAAAGAATAAAAGACACCTGTTGCAAATCGTCTTCTATTTCTGAAACTAACATTGGATAATCTTTCAGCTACCTAAACAGTCCGACGCACCAACAGTAACAAACAAGAACCCAGCAGTGCTTAATCACCTGTGCTACGGTTGTCATTGATGGAATATATTCTATCCATCCTCATTCATATAAATATTGTGATATTCAATGACGGTGCTATTCAGTGCATAACCAAATTTTACCCTGTAAGTAGGTTATGATTTACTTAACTTTGTCAATGCTATAATCAAAATATCTAAGCTGCGGGACTTGAAATTTCTAATAAAACAGAAAATGGACATATTTAATATTTCATAACAGTGAGTCCTGGCAAATTAAGCAAGTTTGGACACAGTGGGCTACAGAGAAATCTGAAAAGGGACAGATTTAAAGACAAGCAGGCAAATTAACTACCATCCACAGCTTCAAAACTTTCCGGACATTTATAATTAGCTTAAAACAGAAGACTCACTTGTTGTTGCCATAAACTCAAGTGGATCAACCGTCATAATGGTGCCATCCTGAGCAGCTGTAAATGAGAAAAAATAACATGTAACAGGGTTCTCACTAGGACTTTAAAAATAGCGAGTCCAGGGACTCCCAAGCCGGAAAAAGTAGGAGTCCCTTATCACGTTGAAAATGTGTTAAGCCATCTTTGCTGCAGTTGATTAATAATAAGCATAGTAGGGGGAGGGGGGATTTTCAGAATTTGAACAGTGAAAAAGGTTATTTAGGAAAAAAGGTTATTTGTAAAGGGAAACACTGTAAAAAAAGTAATTGAAAATATTGGAAGAATAATTTCTAAATCTGTACATCATTAGACCATTATGCTGGACATTTCCTCAAGATTCACTCCACACATAATCTAAGACTCTTAATATTGAGCTACATTAGTCAGCAGGTGAACTGAGCAAAAATCATAAATAGAAGAGCCTTTGACCAGAAAGGAACCTTGTATTATGTTCTAAAATAAGGAAATTTAAACACAATGCCCTTCAGTAGTTTTTGAGATACCAACTTGCACGCAAAGATTTAAACAAAGTGTGACGCAGATGCTGACGTCCGGGTGTGCACAGTTCTACATATTCTTCGAAATGGTCAAGCTAATAAGAAAATAATAAGCTTTTCTTTATATAAAATAAAACATTTGTATATTTACTTTTAACGGAGACGGATGAAGGTGTGACAATTGTCTCCGGAGTGTTGTCCGTCTGCTGATTCCTCAACAATGGTACAATATCAATATGAGCGGCGTCTTCAGGTTTCATTGTACCGGGAAAATGTTTGAGTATATGCTGACGTAATTTTGCCTTCGTGTTGTATCGTTTATCACAGGAGTCCATGGGGCAATGATACGTTACATCTTTCTCGTCAAGTGACTTCGCCTTCTCGTGTTTTTTAAGATGAACGTACACGCTACTTTTTGATACAAATTTCTGACCACAATCTGAAAATATAAGAAAAAGTTTTTTTTATGATTGATCTGCTTACAACAGAAAGTTGAATCATCTTAGTAAACACAGGAACTTAACTTATAAATTATAGAGGCTTGTAAGGAAGACTGGGTGTGCCTACCTGTGTTGCCCCTTTAAATAAAGTTAATATTATTATTGTTACTAAATAGTTTCAATGTTTTTAAATTTTCATCAAAAGAATGGGATATGGGCCTATTTTTGTTGAAAACATTGTAAACAAATTATTCAAATGTTTTTTTTCATAACTAATATTACTTCATATCCATTTGACTTTATTATTTATTCTATTGAAGGTGTAAGCATAAAAGTTGATAAAGAAACTTATTTTAATCCACCTGTTGTTGTTCAAATATTTCATCAAATGATATAGATTAATAAAATCAACGTACCTTCCACAGGACACGTAAACGGTTTAATCCCCGTATGTGTAATCATGTGACCCTTCAGATGCTCCGCCCTCAGGAACGCTTTGCCGCACTCGTTACAAATCCACTTACGTTTATTCGTATGTTTGGTCATGTGACGAGTAAGTTTACTGGCTGTAGAGAACGCCCAATTACACCCCTGAGTAATGAGATATAATATAATAACAGTTTAATCGTGACAGACACTTGGTTCTTTCTATGAATATACATGTAGCGAGTGGAAATTTGAAAACCGCCATTAAGAAAAAATTTGTGAGTTACCAACAATAAAACATCATAAACAGGCTTATCTATCATTTAAAATGGACTGGTCCATCTTTCAATCTTACAAAACCATATGTACTGATATGTACTAAATATGTAAGATATTTAGCATGGTGGTCAATAAATAGAGCTGTCATTGATTCATAGCATAGCATATTGATGATACATCGATATCGGAAGACAAATATCAGCGATACAACAATATATCGATATATACTCCTTATTTCTTGTATATAATTCACTTTCATACCTAGTAAAATATATGCTCTGTTCATACAAATATGTTGTGTCCTGTTTATAAATGTCCTTTGTAGGACTTTCTCCTAACCATTTTTTTGTCATCACTGCTATGAAATGTGTCAATTATGTAACAACAGCTTGGTGTTAGACATGGCCACCTGCTTTTGTATATGTTTTGGTCGAATTTTCATAACTCATAGACATTAAAATAATTAACCAAAATTATCGATTTTAACACATGTGTCTATCAGACTTCCCGAAATACGTCGGTCCGACGGACATGTCCGATAAATTTTGATCAGGTCCGACAATTTTTTATTCCCGATCGGTCCGACTGTCCGGCTTTTATCCAAGCCGCATGTATAAAAAATGGCGTCGCTAAAGGTGCCAAACCTTGGAAAAAACGAAAATCTACGTCAGAAGAGTGCGCAGAACAGCAATAAAAGGATGAAAAGCATAGACCTGAGACAAAATTTAATGAAAAATAAAAGCAGAACCATGAATCATTGGTGTATGAAAGGGAGGAGATGAAAATGCGCTGTACGGATTGTGCCGATTTTTACGCGAAAAAATAAAAAGCAAAAAGTGTCTTAGAAATACAAACCAAGTTTTTCTTTGATTTTGATCAATTTTATTTGGTCCGACAGATTTTGTTTCGGTCCGACAGATTTTCATGGTTTGTCAGACCGAATGTCTGACAGTTTTTTTCAACTTTCGGGAAGTCTGGTCTATTATTGATCGACAGAAAAATATCAACGATATATATCGATATTGTCTCTATCGATGACAGCTCTAGCGATAAATTTAACAGCAGACATGTGTGACACATTATACTACCATCACAGACCGACCTATGGTCAGGGGGCCCTGGTGTGTCACCATGGTAACCAGAGGTCACTGATGACATCACATTCATGACATCATAATGTAGTAACATGATATACCATTGTTAATATAGCCCTTAGAAACTACTTAACAATGTAGACACCAAATAAGACTGGTTATCGTCAAGTTTTTGTATCCATGGGCAACAAACAGAAAAACTCCTGAAACCAGTCTAAAATTCCTGAATTTCAGGTTTATAAAATATAAATAAATCATTTGCAGTAATAAGATTGATATGTTGAGCTTGGTCTTAAAACTAAAAGCAGAAATGCCAACGAACAGATTCACAAGAAGATTATTCTTAGCAGCCAAAAATCTTTACTCATTGGTCTATCGAAGACAGCTCTAGCGATATATATAACACAAAAATGTATGACACATTATACTACCATCTCAGACCGACCTATGGTCAGGGGGCCCTGGTGCGTCACCATGGCAACCAGAGGTCACTGATGACATCACATTCATGACATCATAAAACAGTAACGTGATATACCATTGTTAATATAGCCCTAAGAAACTACTTAACAATGTAGACACCAGATAAGACTGGTTACTGTCAAGTTTTTGTTTCTATGGGCAACAAACATAAAAACTTCTGAAACCAGTCTGAAATTCTGGTTTATAGAACATAAATAAATCATTGGCAGTAATAAAATTGTTGGGTTTGGTCTTCTAACTTAGTGCAAAAATGCCAAAGAACTGATTCACAAGAAGATTATTCTTAAACCAGTCAAAATCTTAACTGTATCATCCGTCACTTAAAACTGTAATTTCAAAATTGACCAATGACAATGCATTATTTCAAATAATTGTAAGACTGGTTTTATAACTTACAGAGAAGTGACAGATGTAAGGTCTTTCTCCAGTATGAGTTCTCTGGTGCTGTTTAAGTCGGCACAACTTGTCAAACTTGCGCCCACAACCTTCATACTGGCAGGTCAAGTCCTGGGGCTCCGCCTGATGGACTCTGGGATGTGACCCGAGACAGTGTGGTGATAAAAATAGTTTATTGCATCCTTCATAGGGACATCTGAAAATAGTTATAAAATCATGACATTTTAGGATACAAAGCATACCTGAAGAATATGGAATCTAGTTTTATTAGATTTATTAATGTAGAGGGCAGTCCTGACCTGTCTGGGCTGCATTTCAAAAAAAGTCCTAAAAATATTGTAAGTCCTAAGTGTATCATAAGTCCTAAGAGTGTCGTAAGGCCTAAGTGTATGGAAAGTCCTAGGATGTAAGACCACCTTTAGGATGCAGAGTGAGACTTAAGACCATTTCAATAAACATTTATATCTTTAGTCAAAGACTTAAAACATTTATTTTATTCATTTTCCTGAGAAAAGTCAGGAAAAACGAAGGCATACACTTTTATCTTCAATGTGTTAATGTTCATCTACAAAGCAATTCAAAATTAAAGGGTTTTTTCCATAGAAATTGTAAGTTAGGGCATTTTCTTTGATAAGCAAAATTGTCTCCGATTTGGTCTTATGACTGATTTCAGACTTATGATATTCTATGACACTCAACCAGTTCATTAAGACATAATAATTATGAATATTACTTCCCAAAACATTACACTCGGCCACATCGAAGCTTCTTCAGTAAAAAGAGATCAAATAAGACTGACTGTAACATATTATGAAACTTACTTGTAAGTTTTCTCAATGCCTTCGTGAGTTTTCATATGTTTGTCAAGTTCTCGACGAGTCTGAAACTTCAGCCCGCATTCCTCGACGGGACATTCCTCCGTGCACGGTCGACTGTGCTGCTTTACGTGAGTCTTCAGATTATATATAGTCGTAAATTTTTTATGGCAGTATGAACACTGTAACAATAAAGTGAAAACAATGACTATTTTGTTACGTAACATTTTTGTATAACTTTATAGTGGGTGACCTCGTTAATGGGTAAACCCCATTACAGGATATACTTAGGCTTTATTTTGGTTGTTAGAAAACAGACAACAAGTAATTGTTTGTACTGAGTTAGGACTCTCACTTAAGTATCTATAATTACTCAACTTAAATAATGTTTTTTTCCTAATGTGACATGCACAACACATGCTCAAAATCATGACTTAACCCACTTAGTTATAAAATAACCGAAATTCATGCAAGTTCCAAGAGACACTCTTTGTTTAAACATTTTTTGTCTTCAGAAATTACCTTAAGGATAGGCAATCACTTGTTGTATATTATTTGAAAAGATTTATTCACTAATTATATCTTAAATCCTTTAACTAGTATTGTGTCATAAACTTCAACAGTGACAAATGATAACTCTAATTATGTAACCACAGCAACCACACTAGATGATAATGCTGTACATACTAAAAACATTGTATACATAATATTTACTGACAAAATTTTTGTATAAACTGATAATATATTTATTTATTCATTTTATTTTATAAACTTAATAACCTTAAATGGAATCACAACAATTGTCACTCCAAAAAAAAAACAACAACAGAAAACCAATGACAAACTTGTTAATAATCACTGACCACAAAATCTTTATTTCCTTTATGAGATTCTTCATGGCGTTTAAGTTTATACGACTTTGTAAACGCCCAGTCACAACCTGGCTCTGAACACTGTAAACAAAAAACAGTAATAAAGCCATGATGATTCTTTTATCATAATAATACAAGTTTAGATATTTTACTTTTCTGATATTCAAAATAATGTTGTTCATATTTGTATGAAAACTATAACTTAATTCACAAGTGGCGAAGATTGGCAAATCATACAATCATTGGTGCAAATTGGAAATTTTAAATATCCTGAAAATCCTGAATTTAGCAGTTTTTCTTTAGTTTTACATAGGAAAAAGAAGACTTTCAGGAGACTGAAAATCCCGAACTTCAGGAATAATCTCACCCATGCACAATCATTCTTAGCTTAATGTTTATTTAACCAGCCAAATCCTTCCATGTGCATACTTGATCTACACTGGTCATTCACAGAGTTACTGGTCAACAGAAAATGTTGGTCGTTATTAAAACTATTCCATTGCTCAACCATTTCCTCAGTCTTCAAACCTTTGCATCGACTTAAAAATCATTTAACCTTGGATCTGCCACCAACAGTATACATGAAGCTAGGGTGTCTCCATATGACCTTTTACACTTAGGTGTCACTTCAATCAAACAATCAATCAATCAATACTTTATTTCCTACTTGCACAGGGCTCGAGCTAGTGGGCGATTCGGGCGAAATAGTCGCCGAATTCCGTCTGACTTCGCCGACATCCTACATGAAAGCGAAGATGAAGTCGCCCGATTTTATTGATCCATTATTGTAAATTACCAACAATAACTGTGAATAACATGTGGTGTGTGTTTGCTTTGTTTACTCTCGCCGCCGGAAAAAGGAACTGTCATGCATCTCAATCAACGCGAAATGTCTTTAATCCGTTTGTATACCAACATGTCACAAAAGTCTAATTAACAGACGCTCGAGGAACAATTAGACTCCGCCCACGGCGAGATTACCGATACGTGCGAGAAACCAATCGTAATTCACGTTTAAATCGAGGCGACATTATTTAACCAATCATTAAATCGCTAACATACAACTACCTGTAACAATTATTTATGATGGACGGATCAAACGTCAATTAAATTTTCACTAAGGAATGATTGTCAGAATTAAGCGGAACGGCTCGACATATAACTGTAACGGTAATTTTAAATGAAAGTTTTTATGTCGACGAGTTAAATTTGATAAGATTAACGGCGTATTACACTGTATTTATTACAAATGAAGTGAATTAAAGATCGTTTCTTTCGTTATCTACTTTCATTTTCTTTACAACATAAGTGAATATGAATATAATGTCCGGCGAAAGCTTTTTAATAATAAACCAGAAGGGAAAAACTGTTAATCCACCCATGATATGATCCATGATAGGAATCAACTATGGCTTTTTTTTATCTTCATTTAATGCAATGGTTGCATTACATGATACTCATTCTTATTACTTGTTTCAAACTACTTTTAAACAGAGACATAGATAACAATAGTTATAATAATAGCTATCTATGTCTCTGTTTTAAATTAAAATTGAATATTCTGTTGTAACACAAATCCAATTCATTTAATAAGATATGAACAGTGAGTCAACATAATTGGGATAACATACAACAAACATCGATAAATGAATCTCCTCACTTCTCCCTAAAGTCTCCCCACTTCTCCCTAAATCAGCTGGAGGGAGAAGTGACTTCTCCCTAAATTTTGAACCTAGCTTGAGCCCTGTTGCAGTGTAAAAGTTACATGAGAGATAATAAAATTTAATGTTGAAATAAAAATTAAAATATCACCCTCTTACCTTATATGGTCTTTCTCCTGAATGAGTCATTGAGTGCACCTGTAACTTTGACAAACTTTTAAATAATTTCCCACAATTCTCTTCTCCGCACAGAAACATGGCTTCCTGCTTGCCTTTACTCTCTTTGCTAGGTGGGGAACCAGCAGAAATCTCCTGAAACAAGTCACCGTAACTTCACCGTAACTTTACTCTTACCTTGCTACAACCACAAATTATTTGACATCGCGACCAGTACAGAGCAAGGTTAGCTGGGGCATCCCTGCAGTCTGACTAGGTTCTATTCTGTCACTGCTAAAATTTATATTTTTGATTATCAAAATCCCTGAACTTTACGCTGATCATTTCTTAATTAAAAGGAAGGCAAGACCTTCATCATTTCATACTGTACTCTTATAAAATAAGATGAATTTTCAAGGCAGAATCAATGCCAGTTTTAAGTTATTTCGGAAAAATAAGGCTTGCATTATACGAGGGTGTGTACATGTACATAAAAATCTCCCGTGAGAAGCAAGGGCTGTGCCATATGGCTTGTAAGAACCTAACATTTTAAATGTCATAAGGACAAGTAAAAAAAAATGATTTAGATAAAACAGACAAGTAAGTTAAAATCAGATTTTGACGCGGGCCCTGCATGATTGCATATAACCATTATTTACTTTATAGTCATAATTATGTAACAGTAAGTAATAATTATATTCAGTAATTACCTTCGGAGCTGTGATAGAAAACATTCCACTATTCTCACCATCTTGTACTGGCAACAACAACACATCTGAAAAACAAGATTGACGTATTGCACTGATAATTTCTGGTCTTCATCCTTGCCTACGTAATTACCTAATTATAATGCAAAATTGCAAACATAAAGCATCATGGGGACGTCAGATAAAAAAATGTTAAATTTTATTTTACAATTTTCGTTTTTAAGGTGTCATTTGGTATTTCATGCACTGCTTCGGAAGTTCCTTTTTCAATCGAAACCCCTTATTTTTTTCTTAACCCAAAAGCTTGACTGTATGTTAAGATTCCCCCCAGAAATTTTCAATGAAAAAGGGCATTGAATAATATGACAAAAAATTTTCTTTGAAGGAATTTTAATTTTTTTTATTTTTTTTTTTTGTTTTCTTTTAAATATACGGTGATAGAGGGAAAGTGGCCCCGGCCCTATTTACTTCCTTATAGCCAAAACCTTTTACTTTGATTAGGTAATGATGCTGCTTGAACTGCCGTTGCTTGTTTCTCGGACGTCACAACTGTATTTCCATTCTGTACTTTAGTTAAATCGGCTATATTGAGGTGATACATCTGTTGACCCTGACTTGTATTGACTAGAATTTTAGTGAGGTTGCTCAATTTATCCGTTGCTATAGAAATTGTAGTTAATGCTAAATTTTCAGTTAAACCTTGTGAGCTAGCAACATTCTGCATGTTACATGCGTCTAGAGTTATACTTTCATTCTGAATTGGTGAAACTGAACAGTTATCCGGACTAGGCTCTGTTGAACTATCATGTATAATATTGTCACTATTCAATGTAATGCCATCGTTAGACTGTAAAATCTGACATTCTTGCGGCATCACAGAGAGAATTCCATCTTTAACAAATAACTTAGATTGCTGCAATATATTCAAGTCGGCAAACGATGAATTCTCATTGCCAGTACCGGTGATATCTATCGTGCTTGGTCCCCCTACGGCATTCATTATTACATGTTCTAATGAAGCTTCCATAGAGCTTGGTAAAGTAACAGAATTACCAACAATGTCCGTGTCAGGAATCTGGGCACTCTGTAGTGATAGGTAAGGAGTGGCATACCCGTTGCCTTGGATGCTTAATTTATTATCAGATATTTTCTTAATAGACGAATTTACACCAGCACTTGTAACAGAATGGGAAGTGGCATCAAAACTTTCACAATTCTGTAGAATCACTTTACTGTCTATAGAAATTCCTGGAAAATCAAGAGTATCATCTCCGCTTGTTTGAGGAGTTATATCAAACTCAACCTGCCCGAAGTTTTTACATCTCGCCTTCAACCATTCGGTATTGTTCTCGACGACGGCATTGTCATAGCTGTCAAGACAATCCGTTCCCAACTCGGGCAAAAATGGTAAATTTTCACCAAGACCATTTTCGTCATTGTCATGTAACTTCTGGTCGCCATCTTGGTTCCTTTCTCCGTCGCACACGTTGTTTTCGTTTTCTGACAAGCTGCCGGCCACGAGATATTGCTCAGTTAATGGTAAACAGGTATCTTCGATGTGATCATGTTTTACAACATGGGCGCCGCCATGTTTTTTGGTATCAAGCACCCCTCCAAGCGACATTACAGCCCCGTCTGGTTTTCCAACAAGGGGTTCGCCATTTGCATTCAAAGCTCCAGAGGCACGAGGTATGACGTCAGAACAAGTGCGCGATCGATTAATCACGATATGTAGCCGCATTTAAAGCATACGGCGCGCGCCAATGTTTAAATAATAAGTCTGAATGTAAGCATAATTTAAACATAAGCCATTAATGAAATAAGAATAATTTTAAAATTATTATTTAGGATACAGACGTTTTTTATTGAAACCGGATAAAGCTCAAAATATAACATATATTATCTGATTTTAAAAAATTTTAAACATTTATTTCTGGGCCAAAAATTAAAATTTGGTTTTTTCCCCCCCCCCAATTTTTGGTATCTCTCTAGATGTACAAAAAACAGAAAAAAACACAACATTCAATCATCATCATCACAATCATCATCATCAAAAACAACATGCCATATCTTTTTTCATCATTTTTTATAAATCATCAAAAACCCAAATCATCACATAATATTTTCTCAAGAACACATTTATATTCGCATAAAAAATCATTCAAAAATTAATCATAAATAATAAAAAATATTAATTTTATTTAAAAAAAAATAAAAAAATTTTATAATAATAAATAATTTTAATTTTAATTTTAATTTTTCAAAAACCCTTTTTAAAATAATTAAATAATAATTTTTATTTTTTTTAAATATTTATATATATATTAAAAAAAATTTTAATTAAATATAGAATAAATAAATAAATAAATAAATAAATAAATTTAGCTTAGCTTAGCTTAGCTCAGCTCAGCTCAGCTTAGCTTAGCTTAGCTTAGCTTACTAACTAACCAACCAACCAACTAACTAACTAACTAACTAACTAACTAACTAACTTACTAACTAACTAACTAACTAACTAACTAACTAACTAACTAACTAACTAACTAACTAACTAACTAACTAACTAACTAACTAACTAACTAACTAACTAACTAACTAACTAACTAACTAACTAACTAACTAACTAACTAACTAACTAACTAACTAACTAACTAACTAACTAACTAACTAACTAACTAATTATTTAATTAACACTTACAGCAACATCATCATCATTAAATAAATAAAAAAGTAAAAAAAAATCATAGAATGAATAAATAAATAAATAAATAAATAAATAGTGAGTGAATGAGTGAGTGAGTGAGTGAGTGAGTGAGTGGACGGACGGACGAACGAACGAACGAACGAATGGCCAAATTTGAACATTCCTGATATAGATATTTGTAAGTTAATACTTGAAAAACTTTAACCCTTTTGCGATATATAATTGATTAATGCTAAAATCAATCGATGTTTATAGGTTTATATTAAAGCTTCATATTTATACAAAAGGTAAAATAACATTATTGTAATATTAAATAAATAATGAATTACATAAAATTCGATCAATAGCCCTAGCTTGTTCAGAGGGTAGTGCATTTCCGTGATTAATCTGAATTAAACCTAAAATTTTATCTTTGGTGTCTCTATAAAGAAAAAAAAACAAATAAAATAAAATGCACACTTTTATCAATGTATCAAGTGGGTTGTTCACCTTAAATTTAGTTATCTTTAAACTCCCAAATATTGTTTTGTCTTGTTTAACCCGTACGTACTTGTTCTTGATAAAATTCAATAGTATTAACGCTTAAGCGTAAACGAGTCTCAGTTTTGTAAACCAATACAAGTCATTTTGGTATTGCCAATACGAGATATATAGATTGAATCATAAGAAGTTTGTGTCACCAAATACTATAAATGTGCGTTTCTTATGCCAACCGGTCGATGTAAACATACCTTAGCGTACAAATTTTGAATACCGTCGTTATTTAAATATCATATACAGAGTGAATAAAAACTTGCTACAAATTAAATTTGCCCTTTGACAAAAGGATTATTATTGGAAATGATATTGATATAGCTTTAAATTGTTTTGGAAGTGAAATAAAGTCCTTGATGTTATAAAAAGGTACGTGTAGAATGTTATCAAATTTATCTGTACATTGACACAGTAGCTAGATATATTTAACCTTGGTCGTTGATTTGTATGAGACTTCTTTTCAGCGTAACGTTTGATTAAACTTAATGCATATTTATATAGATATATACTTTTCATATATACATTTCATATTTCATGTGTATGTAAGAGCTGTTTGTTAAACAACATGTAGTTTTTTCGAGTTCATGTTGGAACTAATCTATCATTGGCTAGAACAAAATAATACATGTACTTACTATTATGACATTTATATGTCAAATTATCAATATGAAATAGAAAGGAGCTCAAAACGCTATAGCAAAATTACCATTCAGGCTATTATTTCACTAGGTCAAGTTTAAACCCCCATAAAGAGACTTTGGTATGTATGGGTATTAAGCTATTTTTACAAAAAGAAAATTGAATTAAGATCAATATTAATGTAGATTTAAATCTTACCGATATAAGTTACAAACATTTTGGCAGTTCATTGCCAATTCTCATGCGGTATTTTATGTTAAGCCGGTGCTAGGGGGCGTAAGATGTGCTGAAGTTTTCCCATTATCTCTCATTAACACAAACATTAAAACCCTCAAATATCTTCATTCCTAATTAAACTTGTCTACAATGATCTCGAAAATCGGTCTGTTTTGAAGCTGTTAGTATTATTTTCATGTGCATATACCAACATATTTTCAAAATGTTGTTACTTGCATAAATGCAACATTTTGTTCTAATTTTTGTACAATTACATCATTTGAACTTTATAAGACTGGCGAATAAATAAATTAAAAAAACAAAACATATAAAGCAGGAGAAATATTTAAGTTACAAATTGACATATTTACATTCCCTTTTCAATTAAGTCTTTTAAACATGTATATTTCACATATGCCATATTTCCACAAAGACTCTAAAAGACTCTCCTCCTTCTACATCTACCACTACCACCAGCACCAGCACCACCGCTAACAACAAACAAACAAAGAAACAACAATGGTAGATAAACACTGATGTTCCTTACTTTCGGGGTCTTCGTGATGTCTATTTCCTTTTGTGTTTTATTTTTTAATTACATGTACTAGTATCTTTCGTTCTAAATTAAATTGCATATAAAGGATTTATACCTATGTTTTGCCTTTTACAACATATTCTCTCATATTTCTAATGTTTCTAATTAAGAAAAATCTCCAGGTTCTACCAGTCACGGATAAAGCCATTTCAGTAATAAATGTATTTTATTTTAAGTTCATTTTGTACACTGTTGTCCGATAGTGCTCACTTTGTACATGTATTATGAATCATGTAAAATAAGACTTTAATAAACCTTCTCTTATAACATTTACTGTCCTATCAATGCTTAATCTGATTAAATGCAAACATCTTATAGTCAAAAAGACTCCAATTCCTTCTACTCAGTTTTTGTTCGGTGCCCTACTGGCTTCCTGTACGGTGGTCCTGCATGACTGGATGTTGTCGTGGGCCGCCCTCCGTGAACGTCTTACTTGTTGATCTTTGTACTCATATTTTATTAGACAGTTACGAAACTTAACCCTTTTTCTTGTTGACAAGCAACATTTTCATTTGATATACAATACAGTCTTCGATAAATGGTTGATTCCAGCACTTTAAGTATTGAAAATTGAGTACCGCTCAAGCCAGTGCTGGGGGGGGGGGGGGGGGGGGGGGGGGGCATGAGGGATATTGCACTTATTCATTATCCCTTATGTACAAAGTCGATCAAACCGAGTCTGCAATTTTCTTGTTATTTTGTTGTGATTAATGCTTCCGAGAGATTACCGTTTGTCCACATTCTTAAATTTGTAACTTTGACCTCCAAGTATGTATGCCACTCACTCGTGCTTCATTTAGATATATGATCTTCATTTGTCAACACATTTGGTACTGTCATGTTATCTTTTTACTTTATGATTAATCATAACAATTTTCGCAGATGAAACAATGATCGATATCCTATTTAATGTATAAGTTCATGTAAACATATGGTTTAATCTGTTCTAATATTTTACACGATTATCGCGTTTATTTAACAAATTACAGTTCTAAAAATCATTTGTATAAATAATTATCAGCTACTTTTTAAATGTTTATTCTAATCTGACTTTGTTCAATGTATTATACTATATCAAAGCTGTGAGAGCTTAGTTGAAAAAAATGCCACCACCTGCATTTTCCCATTCATTTACTCGATGAAACAATAAACTTTTTATAGCTTTTGAAATGATTTGTTGATTATATATTTTAATATGAATGATATATAGTTAGTTGAAAGTATTCAATTATTTCTATTTCGGTATCCGTACCAATATCGATCACTTTCTGTAACGCAGTAACATTATCTAGGGACAGAAATTGCGTTTGACGACAATCACATTTATCAGAATATATATTTTCAAACTTAGATTAATAATACATTAATCCCGTACCAATATTGCAAAATAGATATCTACTCACTGCCTTGTGGGGGAAAAATAAAGAAAAAAAGGAAACACCTGAATGACATCTTGTTTAATTTGCGTGACAGTGTTTTTGTGTTGTCAGTGTTCTTGTGTTGTCAGTGTTCTTGTGTTGTCAGTGTTCTTGTGTTGTCAGTGTTCTTGTGTTGTCAGCGTTCTGGTGTTATCAGTGTTCTTGTGTTGTCAGCGTTCTGGTGTTATCGACGTTCTTGTGTTGTCAGTGTTCTTGTGTTATCAGTGTTCTTGTGTTGTCAGCGTTCTTGTGTTATCAGCGTTCTTGTGTTATCAGCGTTCTTGTGTTATCAGCGTTCTTGTATTGCCAATGTTATTGTGTTGTCAGTGTTATTGTGTTGCCATTGTTATTGTGTTGCCAGTGTTTTTGTGTTCCCAGTGTTCTTGTGCTGTAGAGTTCTTGTGTTGTCAGCGTTCTTGTATTGCCAATGTTCTTGTGTTGTCAGTGTTATTGTGTTGTCAGTGTTATTGTGTTGTCAGTGTTCTTGTGTTGTCAGTGTTATTGTGTTGTCAGTGTTATTTCGTGTAAGCTTTATTGCTTGTCAGTGTTCTTCCGTTGTCAGTTTTTTGTGTTGTGTCAGTGTTCCACCATCCCCCCAAAACGCCTTTGTTTGCCCTCACTATTTGTATCGCAGTATGTTTTGCCGGAATCAGTCACTTCGGATGTACATTACTCGAACCGCGCTGTACCTTACTATAGTATCTCTATAGATAGAACATTGAATGAATTACTAAAACTTATATTCACTTTGTACAATATACATTGAAAACATACAATCATACAAGAGCAAACAAACCGTTTGTTGCTGTTTCTAAAGACGTAATAAAGTATTTTACAATCCAGACAAGTAAACATACAATATATCTGAATTTACATTCAATTTCCATTTATAATGTACATACAATATGTACAATGAGCAATAAAAACACGTTTGTACCATTTTGAATTTGTTATTATTCAATTTGCGTTGAATGCATTATATATTTTTGACACAGGATTTCGGCCGATTAAAAATGTCTTAGATTTTAATTTGTAGGCTCGTTCACATCTTGTATACCAGGAGACCGTTTAAATTCTAAAAAAATCCGACATAGAAGGGGAACATAAAATTGTACTAATAGTTACACAAAGAAGAGGCAATACATGATATATAATAATATAAGATAGTTCAACATTTTTTATTTAAGCTGAAAATAATAATTAACATTTATTTACTGGGAAGGGCTTAATCTAATGTATCTAGAACGGTCTTGTTTCCTAACCTATTTGCTTTTTGGCATATACTAGTACTCATCATTTGTATAATATTTGACATGTATTTGATGCAATAAAATACTCAGTATGTTTAAACTAAAACTAATAGCATTAATTATGTAAAAACTATATACTCCTTGTGTTTATCATGTGACATGACGGCATTTAATTGTTATATTTGAGCCGCGTCACGACAAAACCAACATAATGCGTTTTCGACCAGCATGGATCCAGACCAGCCTGCGCATCCGCGCAGTCTGAACAGGATCCATGCTGTTCGCTCTCAGTTTGTTTCTCTACTTGTAATAGGGTTGGTAAGCGAACAGCATGGATCCTGATCAGACTGCGTGGATGCGCAGGCTGGTCTGGATCCATGCTGATCGCAAACCCATAATGTGGGTTTTGTCATAGCACGGCTCATTTTATATGTTGACTTAAAGTTCCATTGGGTGGAGTGTGTTTGCGTGGTTAATCATGTATATTAAACCAAATTTGTATGTTATATCTTAATTTGTTTATAATTATATGAATTTATTTTTGAATTGCATAATGTATGTTCTTTTAAGGCAGCACGCCCCAGTCATGTTAATTTTTATGAAAATTTTAGAAATGTTTTTAAAAGTAAAATATTGTGAGGTGAACAAATAAAGCCATTTACATATTGCAATCGGCACTAACAATCCAAGAAAATTACCAAAAAAAAGTGGTCAACATATGCAATAACAGCCTTTACTGCGTTAGTAACGCAGTAGAAATATGGTGGTAAAATACTGCAAAAGCAGTCTTAAACCGCATATAACATGTAAAATATCACTTGGATCTTCAATGTTTTTACCTTTCTTAAAATTTTAGTACATTTTTCTCAAAATTGATTTTCTTGAAATATTTTGGCTCATCTGGAGGCATGCAGCTTTAACGCTATGAATACACTATGAATAAGCATTAATTTGTACAAAACGAGCAAGGAAAGAAAATAAAGTATTAAAGTTTGTGGAAATCACAATTAGTGCATTAGCATACTTATTATTAAATTAAGTTTAAACTAATAAACATATAGCCTATCATTGTACTTTAACGATAAATTAGTTTGTTGAAAGGAACTCCATTGAGGTCCAATTGAGCCTAAAAACATAAAATTTGAAAATCTTTCATGAATTACCTCGTGCACATAAAGTGGAAAAATATGTTATAGAGATTATAAAAAAATCTTGATACAATATTGATACTCGATCATCATGCGAAGTTTTTGAGTGATTTGGGTGAAAAGCGTTGCAACGCTTTATATTTTGTGGGCAAATATGCACAATAGAAGGGATTATCCTTGGTAAACGGAGTGGATGAATGATTAAATATTTTGTACACGAGTTAATTATTGGTCATGACCTACATCCAGTTATATACAAAAATCTTGAAAACAGTATTTTCAGTCACTTCATGTCAAACATACATAGTGGAGTCCCTTTAATTCAAACATAATCTTAAAGTTTCAGTGGCCATAAACACACAAAATGTGTAGTTTTGCTATTGAAAACAAAGTTTGTAATCTATAATGTTGGGATTCATCCTCTTATGTATTGATAAACAAACTTCTAAGAGTGTATACCTAATGTCTATGTAAATATCAGAGTCGATTTAAATTGATTTTTATCGCCAACCTTTTCATCATTCTCCCGAGGGTACTATATAGTTAATATCGAACATAATTAACTTTATTTTACTTGTCCTCGCTGTGTATAACACACATGAAGTTATTGGTATATCGCATCAAAAATTGATATTTCGGCTAACGTATATGCAATCATTGTATACGTATAAATATCTGCTCGGGATAGCTTGGACTTTAATAGTGGATTAAGATTTAATATCGAGCTGTTGTAATTTTTGATAATTCTGAATGGGAAAAAAGTGAACCGTTCTTAGAGTTTAGAATAAGCTTATGATAACTTTGAAATAAAGAAAAAAATGGAGTCGGATCTAAAGCATTTGTATTCAAAATATGTAAGTATATGTGAGCATAATAATTAGAGGGCTGACCGCAAAACTGTTGTAAGTTTTTATTTACTTCTTATAAGTAACTGCAGTTTTGCGGTAAATTTTAGATATATATGGAGCATTTATTTATAATTAATTCCTTTGAAATTCATTTTCAAAATTGTAATTCTCAAAGCAGGCTTTTTCAGTTCTTTTTTTATATATACATTTTTACATTGTGTATGTGTTTTTATTTGTGTGTTTTTAGTTATTAAATTTTCTTTTATAATTTACCTTCAACAGAAGAATATTAGTTAAAAATGACGCATTCAGTTAAGTTTTTATTATATAAAGGTAGATGTTATATAAAACTTAGACAATAAAGCGTTTAAAGGTAGATCTGCATGATAAATCGAATAGGTGAAAAAAGTTTTTAATTCTAATACATAAACTTTTATCGCTATGACAAACGTTCTTTTGTGTGTGAAATCATAATTATGCTTCTAATCTTACTAACGGATTTAACTACATGGGTCCCTTATTGAATTAAGTCCATGTACAATATAGAAATAATATTATATGTTGTTACCTACAGTTTCTGCTCCAATCTCACATATTATTTATATTGCTTTCAGCTGAGTACACAATCTAGACAGATGGAGAACAATGACGTTATAAAGGTATGCATTTGTTTTATATAATTTTTATATCTATTAAGAGCTATTTTTTCCTCTAAGTAACGAGTTGACAATAGCATTTATTTCAGTTATTTCATCAGTAAAAATGCGCCCTTACAAAGCATTCACACGTTTTTTTCTATGGTACAACAACGAAGGTTTATCAATTTTAATCAAGTTTTCTTGTTAATCGATAACCACTATGGCACCTTGAATAAACTGACTTGAAAGGTGTATTAGTTTAACATGTAACTCTTTTCAGAAGTTTTATACTGGATTATAATGCAAACATAGCTTATAGCTTTATGTCAAGGATTTCTCATTAATTGCACTACATTGGATTTAAACAACACCTTGTTCTATTATTTATGAAGCAATTGTATATAATATGGATTAATTATAGATATGCATTGTTCGACAACTGTTCCATTAGAAGTTAAAAGTAGCATTAAATTCAATAATGTATGTTAAAACGATTAAACCTTCCCTGCTTATTGTGTGCTGTAGATTTGTCCTGCTTTAAAGGCCCATTATGCATCTGAAATGCTTTTATATTTATTTCTCCAAAGCTTTTTAACTTTGGTGTACTTTTAAAGTGCGTGTATATAAAAAGTTACTCATTGGCCAATTACATGAACCATCTTTTTCTACTGTTGCCTTTTTTGGCAATAAGTGCAGATATAGTGATTTAATAGTTTGTATGAAAGTTAAAAAACTACCTTGTAAAACTTACATTTTGCTTCTTTCACCATAAATAATTTCACATTTATCCATATTTCCTTCAGATAAAAAGCATCTAACATTATCTAAAACCATTATTTAAACAATATAAAATTCATGTATGCCCTTTCTTAAGAAGTAAAAAAAGATATATATACATATTTCTGAGATGAAATGTGCCTTTAAATTTGGCTTCATTCTACGTTTTATTGTGATATTTCAAGGTAGTAATTGCAAACTATATTTTTTGTTACATTAAAGTGTGAATAGACATACTGGTTATTTCCTCGAGTGTGATCTGGGATGACGCCTTTTAAATCTTTCCAGTTTGTAATATACATTTAATTTGTAAGAAATCCATACTGGCATATCATTCAAGAAAACGGATAGTAATTAGGTTTTAGAGAATGTGATGCAACATAGTCCGAAATAACATCATTTCAGCAGAAAAAAAACTAGGTAAAAACTAGTTATTTCCCTCATGCTGCATTAAATATGATCAAATAATACACCGAGTAAAGTTGTACATATTCTTGTTTTTTTTTGGTTGATTGATGTAGTTCTTTCTTTCAGCTGAAGGAGTGTATTCGAGATGGAAGAATGAGCGAGATAAGAGGGCTTTTAGAATCCGCCAGTCCAAAAGAGATCAGAGTTATAGAAGAAAAGGTTTGTGAATCAGACGTACACTTCCAAATAATCTTATAGCCTTTGAATAGTTTAAAAGCAATTTCACCATTCGATGATTAATGCTTAAATTTTAAGAACTCTTTACAAGTTTATCTGAATTTCTGATATCATGTAATCAATGTCAACAGACGTTTTAATTACGTTTTAATGTCGAATAGCATGTTGACGCAATAGATTTTGCACTCATACGACCAGTGCAGACCAAGATCGGACCAAGTTCTCACTGTCCTATTGTCGGCACTGTTCGCAATTTTATAAGTTGGAGAAAAAAAAACATTGACAGAACTTTCATCTTATGTATGCCAAATTAATTGTTTATTTGCTCGCCGTGATAACGACTCTTCATAAAGGAGGTATCTTTTATTATCATTAAATTTCCCGCGAAATGTCAAACTTATTGAGGAGGGAATTATGAATTACCAGGGTCTTTCTATTTGGAAGACCCTGGTGTTACTGAGCAATGGAAAAAGTCATTTATTTAGAAAAATGCCTCATTGGTATAAGAAATGAAAGATTTAACGTGGTTAAATTAATAAATGTTTATTTTGGACTAAAAAAAATATATCGCCTATCCAAAATTATCTCGATGTCTCTGACTAGTCAAATAACAGTAGGGTCACTCCTCGTCCTAATAGTATAGATACGGTATAGTGTATACTGCTTAACCAACATTCTGAGCAAAGTATATGCTGACATCTTAAATAACCAATGCACACCCATTGTACAATGTTCAGTACTACATAGTAAATTGGTGACGGATACATTTCTTATAAGTGCATGTACAAACCAAAGTCATCTCCTATCTCAAGGATGCTGACGAAAACCTGGTGCGGCAGCAATTATAGATCAGAAGCAAAAACTAAAATTAATCTGAATTTTATATGTGCAGTTTCGATTTCCTCTGTTCTCTAGTTAAGTTAAAATGTGAATGTTTTTCTTGATTTATTCATAAATATAGTGCATGATCAGTGCACAACCATGACGGCACATTAAAGTGTCCAAACAACCACTGCATTTTTGTCATATTAGGGTACCTGCCATTATTTTTTAAGTATTTTGTGCAGATGCTCGTAAATTAACACTTAATTAACAGATTTTTTCATGAACAAAAAATGTTTCATTCCACCCTCGATTATTCTTTTTTGGTAGCATGTGGGCATGGCATGACAGGCACGACAACAATCATGTGCGGATACTGTAAATATACGTACCTGGTTCTGACAAAGTCTTTTTATTTATTAATTTTATTTTTATTTATTTATTTTTTCAGTTTGTCAGCTCATCAGAACAACCTACTGATCCTGTCAATTATGCCATAGATCAAGGGAAAGAAAAAGTTGCTATCTATCTCCTAGAGAAAGGATTTCCATTGTACCATGTCTACTGGGTAAAGTGTCTTTCTATATTAATTATGGCATGTTCACCATTTCATTTGGGGCTGATATAGTGCCCCATTCCCATTTCAGAATAACCTTTGTTTTTCCCCACTGTCAAACAATGCTCCCAACAGCTTACAAAACAGCAACAGCAACAACAAAAAAAAACCAAAACAAAAAAAACCCCAAAAAACAACAAACCCCCCCCCCCAAAAAAAAATAATAAAAAAATCATACTACTGAGAAAAATGGAAGGTTCTTTTACTTGTTTCTTGAAAGAGGTCAATGACAGGCTATGTGATAATATACATTAATAAAACTATAAAAAATATGTAACAGTTAGATTTTAAGCTTTTGAAATTTTTTCCAAATAGTTGCAAAAATTCCCCAAATTAAGCCATGGACCTTTGTCAAAAATAGCAGGTAAGGACCTTGTTTAAATTATCATAAACAAAAAAAGTCATTTATTTTATTAAATAATCTCAGTTCATCATATTATCTCAATTTATTATATTACATGCACGATTTTCCAGGTAAACTATTTTACCCGCAATTAAGGAAATGTTTATTTGTAGAATTTATTGACACTGCCAGTAACTATTCGAGAATGTTGTATCATCTGTTTACATTATTAGTTATAAAGAATTTGACAGGATATACAGACATATATAAAGGGCTGTTTGTAAATATTATTAGTTATGAAGATTTTTGACAGGTTATTCAGTCCTATATAAAAGGTTATATTGCAAACACACTTTTATATACGGTCATATAACCTGTCAGAAATATTTATTATGAATTTATAATAATACAGCAAGTATCATTTTCTTAGAGAAAGGTTTTGATTCTTTCATAAATTGACAGCAGCTATTTACATAAAACTATGTAAACTTTATGATTATCCAATGAAAAGCGACATTACAAACATACAGGATTATAAAATATTTAATATATATCTTGCAGGAGGATAGGGCTGTGTGTGACGAGTGGTGCCGGAAAGATCACGGACCCGACAAGTGTCCAAGACAGTACGATTGTGTCCAGAATGCAGAGAATCGAGGCATGGAAGCACTGAAATTACGTATAGACGCAGTAAGAGAAGGAAAGAGTAAACCAGGAGATGGAATATCTGAACCATTTGTAGACAAATATATGCCACACACTCCTCCACCTAAACAAACACGACCTATGTATGATAAGGTATGATGTAATGAAAGAATTAACTTTATGAGTAATGACACTTTTGTATGTATGTGCAGCAAACATTATTTTCTGTATTTTCCCAGCAAGAGAAACCAATGTGAAAATTTCCCCTGCAAGGGAAAACAACGTGATAATTTACCATGCAAGGGAAAAGTGTGTGATTATTTTCCATGCAAGGGAAAAGAACATGATAATGTCCCCTGCAAGGGAAAAGTTGTGATAATTTCCCCTGCAAGGAAAGACAGTGGATAATTCCCACTGCAAGGGAAAAGAGCGTGATAATTTCCCCTGCAAGGGAATACAACGTGATAATTCCTCCTGCAAGGGAAAACAGGGTGATAAGTTTCCTTGCAAGGGGAATCAACGTGATAATTCCCCCTACAAGGGAAAACAGAATGATAATTCCCCCTGCAAAGGAAAACAGCATGATAATACCCCCTGCAAGGGAAAACAACATGAAAATACCCCTGCAAGGGAAAACAACATGATAATTCCCCCTGCAAGGGAAAATAACATGATAATTCCCCTTACAAAGGAAAAGAGCATGGTAATTCCGCCTGCAAGGGAAAAGAGCATGATAATTCCCCCTGCAAGGGAAAACAGCGTGATAATTTCCCCTGCAAGGGGAAATAACATGATAATTCCCCCTACAAAGAAAAAGAGCAGCATGGTAATTCCGCCTGCAAGGGAAAAGAGCATTATAATTCCCCCTGCAAGGGAAAAAACATGATAATTTCCCCTGCAGGGGAAAACAGCGTGATAATTCCCCTTGCAAGGGAAAAGTATGTGATAATTTCCCCTGCAAGGGAAAACAGCGTGATTATTTCCCCTGCAAGGGAAAACAGCGTGATAATCCCCCCTGCAAGGGAAACCAACATGATAATCCCCCCTGCAAGAAAAAACAGCGTGATAATTCCCCTTGCACTGAGGGAAAACAACATGATAATTTCCCCTGCAGGGGAAAACAGCGTGATAATTCCCCTTGCAAGGGAAAACAGCGTGATAATTCCCCCTGCAAGGGAAACCAACATGATAATTCCCCCTGCAAGGAAAAACAGCGTGATAATTCCCCTTGCACTGAGCGAAAACAACATGATAATACCCACTGCAAGGGAAAACAGCGTGATAATTGGCCCTTCAAGGGAAAACAGTGCGATAATACACCCCCCCCCCCTGCTAGGGGAAAATAACATGATCATTCCCCCTGCAAGGGAAAGCAATGTTATAACTCCCTTTGAACCTACTTAGTTTTAGCTTGATAAGATCACCTTAGAAAATAAGCATTTTTAATTTTTTTTTCCAAACTTGCTTAATTTGTGTAGGACTGTTATAATTAGTTATCTTAAATGGAGACGTTTACGTTTAGAATGGAGTGTCTGAAAGAATTAATCACTGTTACCATTGTAAAAGTTTACTCAGGTGGTAAGCCAGTCAAAATGAGCAACCATAGGAATACCTTCTTGAGATAATATCATGATTATTTTTTTAATTTCAGGATGACCAAAACAGATTTGTGCCTGAGAAGAAAGAAAAATCACACGCAGATGAAGCTAGGGAAATTGTCGCCAAGTATGGTGTCAAATATTGTAATAAGGTAATGTTTCTGATAACTTTTTTGAAAATTTAAATCAAAATTTATCTAAACCAATAGCTTGCTTTTTGTATGCTACAAAAATAACTTTTAGCGCTTTGATGAAAGACTGCTTTTTTGTAAAATTTTTATTGACTTTACATAAGATTAATATTGTAATTATAGCATAATTGGTGCTTTTTTAATTTTTGTTCTTACCATGTGTTCTTGACAAACACTTATCTAATTAACATGTGTATGTCTTGTAGAAAGGACAGAAACCTGTACCAAACTGCTCTAGAACCCCGACCCTATCCCCCACCCCCATTTTTGTAATTGAGGGTTAAAGCTGCATGCCTCCAGATGAGCCAAAATATTTCAAGAAAATCAAACTTTAGAAAAATTTACTGAGAATATAAGAAATTTAAAAAAGATAAAAGTATTAATTTAATGTTTTGTGTAATAAATGACATGTATCTGTACATGATATTTTTGTTTTACAGAAAGGAGAAACTCTGCTACATAAGTATGTTGACAAACCAAGAGTATATATGTATGTGTTTGCCAATCATGGAGTACCCATTAATGTACAAAATACTGTAAGTAATTCATTTTTTATTATATTTAACATTTGAATATATAAAAGTTTACCATAACTTACTGTTTTCTGGCCGCCGTATAACTTACTTATTATCTTGCCATGTAACTGTTTTTCTTGCCGTATAACATACTGTTTTCTTGACGTATAACTTACTGTTTTCATGCCGTGTAACTTACTTTTTTCTTGCCGTAAAGCAGTTTTCTTGCAGTATAACTTACTGTATTTTTGCCGTATAACTTACTTTTTCTTGCCGTATAACTCTTTTCTGGCCGTTTAACTTACTGTTTTCTTGCTGCATAATTGTTTCATTGTGGTATCGACTAATATACCAGATTTTTTTTCAGTTTGAAATGATAAAATAATGAAAAATACACATTTGATGTACATTTATAGGAATTTTAGTTATTTGTGATATTCTTTGATTATTATTCTGATAAAAAAATCTAACATCAAAGTCTCTCTCAAAGATTGCTTAAAAACAATTTTGTAGACACAATTAATTGTCAAAATAATGGTAATACATAGGAAATTAAGACTTTTCAATGTGGGAAAAAAAACCCTCTAAAAACGTACTGTTTGTATTTGTGATAACCTGACATTTGGACTGGAGGTATTTTTATATGATAAAGGATGCCTTCTGTTTATTGACACCAAAATTTCATGATAAAGTACTGGGAAGACAAAATGACAACCTATGTATCAACCTATTGAACGCCAATGTTACGCCCTATGTGTCAGCCTATGTACCAACATTTGTGTCTACATATGTGATGGTATACATGCCAACTTATGTGACATCATATATGAGTGCCTATGTGATGACACATGTGTTAACCTAGGTGATAACATGTAAACCTATGTGTTGATGTATGTGCTGATATATGTGCCAACCTATGTGACAGCATATGTGATGATGTCACATGCTGACCTATGTGTTTGCCTATGTGATGAAATATGTGACAAAATATATGTATTATAGACTGGGTCAGAATACTTTTTTTATTCTTTAATAATTTAAAATTTTCAAATGTATTCTAGAATAATTTCGTATCCTTTTGTCTATGATTATCTTGTTAAAAATTTTGATATTTATTTTAGAATGGTGATACGGCGTTACATCTTGCAGTCAGAAAAGGTAGAGCTGACGTTGTAGAAGCACTAGTACAATGTAGCGCAGATCTTTCCCTCCGAAATAGGGTTTGTTCTTAAAATATTTTACCAAAACATGCAACCAGACCTGAAAATTAACTTAAGTGAACATTCAAATTTGATGTATTAAAGTCAAACAAACACTATTAACGTCATATGACAACTTTCTAGCTTTACTGGTGGAGGAATACCTCAGATATCCATTTCACTTGAGTAAGAACCATTGGCCTTTCATAAGCTAGCCGGGATTGCTTCTTCGCATGAAAGAATCCAATGTCAAACCCACAGTATAAGGGGGAAAGTGGTTAAAAGTGAGTGACCTATGCAGCTTGACCACTGAGGCTCCTTTTCCTGTATAGAACAGGGATAAAGATTCAAATGCATCAGAAAGTTCTAGATCTTGATTCTGTTCTATAACAAGACCAAAACTAAGTATTCGGTCACAAGAATTTTTTTATTTCTATACCATTGTAGGATCTTATTAAGACCGCCTCAGAATTTATGTGTTGGGGGCGATTTCATGTGTTTTGGAATCGATAATTATTTTCGATCAATTGTCATAAATCATGATAATTTGAGCCACGTCACGACAAAACCAACATAATGGGTTTGCGACCAGCATGGATCCAGACCAGCCTGCGCATCCGCGCAGTCTGATCAGGATCCATGCTGTTCGCTTACAGCCCCTTTAACAAGTAAAGAAACTGATAGCGAACAGCATGGATCCTGATCAGACTGCGCGGATGGGCAGGCTGGTCTGGATCCATGCTGGTCGCAAACCCATTATGTTGGTTTTGTCGTGACGCGGCTCATATAAATTATTTTCGGTCAGTTGTCGTAGTCTCCGTGTCCACGAGTGACGTATTCAACCAAATGCCATAATTGACACAATGTCGTATTCGACTAGATGTCTTTCGACAAAATGTTTTTTGTCGACAAAAGGCTACATTGGGAGTCTATCATAAGACAAGCTGGGCAGTGCCCAGTAATTCTACCTGGGTAACTGGTGATACCATAAATAGTGCACTGAGTCATAAATGTACATGTATAACCATGTGAGAATCAAACACCATGTGACCTGAATCTTGACATTGTAGCTAAGTAACACAATTAATGAATAATAATAATTGTTTGTGTGAAATATTTAAATTTTGATAACTCAAAATATTATTTGAGAAGCTTGCAGTTAGATAAACTTCTCATTTTAATATTTTTAAAAAAAATCTGAATGCTAAATAAAAATTTGCCATTTCAACACCTTTAAGTGCAGTAACAGGTTAACTGCTATTAAATTTCAATAGGAGTTAACCTGTTACTGCACTAATGGAACAATTTGAAGATTAAAAAAAACAAAAAACAAAAAACAAACAGTTTTGGCATTGAGAAATCAAAACCAGATTCACTGATCTTTTATTTAAGCTTTATCATGCTTTGCAATTAAAATCCAATGTTTGTGAATTTAAGATGGGACAGACACCTGTGGATGAGGCAGAAGGAGAAATCAAGTCTTTCTTGCGGATTTTCGAGGTATGACATAAAAATATTTCTCTCTATTTTTTTTTAAAAGAAAAGGAAAATAAGCTTTAAATAGTCATGATATGATCTATAATGATAAAGTTTATATTTGAACAATTAGTAAGAACATTTTTCGGCCAGTTTTTGGATAAAAGAACCCGTCATTTTAGGCATCTATTAGATGCAGAATTCATAGCAGAATGCCTCCAGATTCTTGCTAATTTTCATGGAAATTTTGAAAATGTGTTAAAAAGTAAAATACACATGTATTTTCAAGACAAGTTAACAAAGAAAGTAGCTTACTCAGGGTTGACAGTGCATCTAACAGCACTCTAAATCCATGTAAATATGACTAAATAAAGATCAAAATATGCAAGAAAAGCCCTTACTGCATTAGGCAAGCAGTAGAAATGTGGTGATAAATAGTGCAAAATCAGTCATTTATTGCATATAAAATAAGAATTATTGCTTGAATTCTTGATATTTTTACTTTTTTTTTTAAATCTTAGAACAATTTTTTCTCAAAATTGATTTTCTTGGCTCATCTGGAGGCAAACAGCTATAAATAATTTGATTAAAAATAAACGAGGGGAAATATCTTTGTTGATAATTTTGATGTTACACAGTTTTTCACCAAGAGGGTTTGTGTGCCTTTAAACGTTACACATGTATATTTAGTCTACAATATTTTACATATGGTTTTACTGAACAGTATAAATTGCTCTAATATTTGATGATTTTATTTCTCTTTTACAAATATAGCCCGGATTTGTGCTTGCTGTTACTAAAAACTCTCATTTGCTTCAAAAAAATTTCAAAAAATATTGGTGTAATGTAAACGGAATTTGTAAGGTACTGGTTTCTACTAAGTAGGATTCTTTTAAGTTGCTCGTTTCCATGGAAACATTTTAGAGTATATATTTTCAATCATAATTGGGAAAATACTGTTTAAAAAAATAATTCTCAAAATTATGATAGAATGAAAGTTTATGTTAAAGCTTGGAAGAACACCATGGGCATTATTTCAAATTTCTATGGAAATGAAATAAAAAAAAATCCTCAAAATTTTATTGTTTCAATTGGCATCATTATTAGAATTCTATATTTGTAATACCTACTTTGTTTCCACGGCAACAGAGCAATATTCCATGGAAATATTTCTACTTGTTTCCATGGACATACTTTGTAGATTCCATGTTTTTCCTGATTGTAGTTTTGCTAGTTTTCAATTCTGTTAACATGTTTTATCTTTTCATTCCTTCTTTTAATTGGTTTTCTTTTCGCTAGATTTGAGTTTAATTTGCATGACAGATTTTGCTGTATTCATCACCTTAGTGCAGTAACAGGTTAACTCCTTATACATTTTAATAGGAGTTAACCTGTTACTGCACTAAGGTGACAAGAAATGTGGAATTAAGGCTTAAATTACTGATGGCTTGAGAAAGTTAAGACAAAAAGTATGTTAATATTATACTAGAAAAAAACCTACAATCTGATTATTTCTTCCAACCTTTCAGTATTTCTTTCCCAACAAATTGAACCAGTCTCATAATTTTTCCCTGCTGATTTTGTGAAATCGACTCAAATCTTACTTTGAAAATATAAAAATTCTCTTTTAATTTCTTGAATGGCAAGTGCTTTGCATGAAAGACGAAATCCCTCTAAGCTAAGACATGAGTGAAGCTTAAATCTAAATAAATAAATGTACATTAAAGAAAGTCCAATAGGAAACGATGCACACTCAGTTTGATTGAGCCTGTTTATGAATGCTGTGTAATGTCTACACCAGATAGCAATAATTTCAGTCAAACTCAAGAGTTTAACTTTACGATTGATGATTGGTGATTGATTTGGAAACATCAGCTTCTTTGTGGCATATTGGTTGCGTTATAGGTTAAGGCATCAGAATAATCCCTGCCTGATGCGACAGAATGGATCCAAATTACTGGGGTCTATGCATCCCTTAGCTTCCAGCAGGTGAGGTGGTTTTGACCCCTTTAAAACGATGTTAGTCAAAATTATCTTTCCTGTTTCGACGTTATGTAACTTAAATTGGGTTGGTGCGCCGTAAAACAATACGAAACATACATACCCCTCCCCCGAGAAGCATCGGCATGTTTATTAGACATTCTCCTTGATAGTAACTCTTTCTTTTTTTTCTCTTGTCTTTATCTTTATGTTCGAAATTATTAAACCTGAAAATACCAACGATTTCTTATTTGACCAACCGCTCTTTTTCCCCTTTTAGAAATCAACTAAACTAATGATGAAACGAGTATGATTAGCTAGGTATTAGATATTTTATGTTATATTTTAGTTCAGTGTGACGTTAGTTATTTTGTCCTATGTTTTAGTGCGGTGTGATCCTAGCCGTGCGGGATTCACATTTCAACCAATTGCTTCGTCAAGTTAAACGCAGTTGGTGTAATGTTCATACAAAGGTCAAGGTACGTTGTAGAAATATTTTATACATTAGTTAAATGTACAAACCATCGGTATAATAAACATGTACATGTATATGTGTTGTTTAGATGTTAGTTCGATCCTGGTATATGTTGTAATGTTAATATATTTTCCTCAAACAACAATGAATCTTTGTAAAAATGATCGAGTGTTGAAATAATATTAAGCACTGATGAAATATTTTAGCCATATAGAGAAAGGGGGCAGAAACAAAAATATTGCAGTTCTGCACAATCTTTGTTTTGTTTTTCAAAAGCAGAGGCAGTTTTTTATGTGATAATGCATACATGTAGTTACTTTCTCACAAAGTTATTATTGGTAGGAAACAATTATAATTGGCATGAATATTTTCATATATAACACTAAGAATATCCAAACATAGAAATAAGGAATAGGAAAATGTTTATTTAAAAATGTGCTTATTACATGTATTATGATGATATTTAACATGAAAACTAATATTATTCTCCAAAAGATTTTTACCTAAATATCAAAATTTCCTTATCTTATATTTTCTGTCTTTCAGAATGACAATATCTAACTGCATGCACAGTTTATTTTTACGAAATTTGTGTAAAGAATTAATCATCCTCTTAATTTGAAAACCAGTCTCAAAATAATTGTCATCTATTCGTCGATTTTGAATTTGAAATTTAAATTTACAGCCAATCAGAGGACTCTCAGTTTCAGACAGGTCTTGAAATTGAAATGTTATGTTTCCTTTTTTCTCTAGTTTGAACTTGAAAAGTTGTGTTTTTTTGTGTACATGTGCGTTGTTGTTGGCATGATTTGTGTGTATTGTTTAGTGCATGTGTGTTTGTTTTGATGAACATGTGTGTTTGGTTTGTGTAAGAAATTATTTGTATGTTTAAAACATAATTTTCTGAATAATTTTCAAATTTTCATGATGTGTATCCCAATATTTTGTTAACTTACTTGTTCTCTTCTGATGTATTTTGTGCCCCATAGTGTCACATAAGGCCAGTTTATTATTAACACCTGACTTCTTAGCACTTTAAATAGATTATGCAACAGATGATTAAGAAAAATAAATTGAAACTCGTATTTTTGTGCTAATCTTAGCACAGTTTGAGAGAAAAGCATTGCAACGCTTCTCAGTTTGGCACATTTTTTCACAATTAAAATATTTATTCTGTAATAACGGAGTGAGCAAATGTTATAACATTTGCACATTATTAATTGGTGTGGACCTACATAAAAACATTAATCTCGAAAAATTATGTCCAGTCTCATCATGTCAAAAATCCTCAGTGGAGTCACTTTAATAATCATTCAAATTGAGCTGCATCATCAGTGGCCTTTTAGCTTTTGTTTTGAGATTCTGCATTGCAATAATTAAAATGACATTCTATAAATAGTTGCAGGAAAGAAAAGATTATTTTATTGAACCAATACATGATTTCAGTTGAAATTAATTAAATAGAAATCAGACACAAACTGTTTTTTTTTGTTTCGTTAAAACAACAACAACAAAAAACCCAAACAAAACAAAACAAGAAACAAACCCAAAAGCAGTTAAGACAAAAATATCCTATACATGTATAAAATATAATTTCCTTATACATGTGTAAAACATGTTCTGTTGATAATCAATAAGTTTCAAAGCAAGAAATAAGTTAAATTTAATTATGTAAAAAATAACATTGTTAGAAGTGAAGTATATGTATTTTTATTTCCAAAACATACATGTAATAACTAATTAACTATATTAATGTTCTGTCAAAATGTTGACAAAAGGGCATTATATTTTTTTGTTAAAATTTTCATTATCTGATGTATATTAATACATAAGATTTACCTTAATTTTGTTTGAAGGTATAACGCTAAATTATGTAACTGTCTCTGAAAGGAGTTTTTTTGTGTCTCGAAAAAAAATTCTTAAAGATAATGCTATGCTCATCATTCTTGTGTAAAGTACGTATTTTAATTACAGAAATTTATTGAAACCTATGAAATTCTTACTGAATATGTCTCATTTGGATAAAAGAATGAATATACTATGTATGCGAAGCTGTGTTCCATTTTACAGGTCAAGTGAAGTTCGTCTTTTCTTGAAAAAAAAGCCAGTCTTTTAAATGACACTTATATATTCAAATTGTGACCACCTATTGTGTGAAGGGTTAAAAACACAACATATGTACTATGTATGAAGTCAAAACAAAAACATGTTTATTTTATTATTACAAAGAGACTGTGTAGCATATATCAATATTTTCTAATATGAAATTTGAACATAGTTTATCTTTAATAAATTGAAGGGTTAGTGTTTGAAGTAATAAGCAGGGTATGTTTTAAATAATCACTAAGCTTACTTTAATTAGCAATAAACTTTTTTTTTCAATTCTTTAAAATGTAATTCATGTGCGTGACACTTTTGTGAAAATCCTTTCCAGCTTCAACCTTAAGAATTTTAAAACAATATCATCACCTTAGTGCAATAACCCCTACGACTTCACCTATTACTGGACTAATGTGACGAAATTGTGGTTTTACAATTTTTATGGTATATTTGGTAAATTACACTCTTTTAAAATTAAAACACTATTTGATTGGTGTTGCTTAGTCATGTGACCAAAAGGTTTTTACCAAAATTTGCAGGATGATAAAAGCTTATTAGAATGGACAATGGAGAAAGCCGATGTAGGCATGCTTTCTCTGTCACCTGAGATGAAAGTATGCTCAAAAAATGAATTGAAGACCCAGGCTGACATAGCACGAAACTCTTACCGAGTCCTGTGCGATTGCAGACCAACAAGTGTAAGTTTTATTTCTTTAACTTATAAAAATATTACATAAAAATATAGCAAGTAAAATAGCAAGTAAAATGAAAGTTGCTGGCCTCCAGGTGAGTACAACAGAATTAAAAAAATGATCCTTATTTCATCTTGATATACCCAAAATCCATAATAGATATTTCCAAAAACGGAAGCTGGAAAATCCATTTAAAATGGGAGGCAGACAAATCCATTTAAAATGGGAGCTGGCCAGATCATTTAAAATGGAAGCCTTAGACTGATCAATTGAAAATGGGAGGCAGGCAAGTCCATTTAAAATGGGAGGCAGGCAAATCCATTTAAAATGGGAGTTGAACAAATCCATTAAAAAACTAAGCAGTTTAAGGGTAAAGTTAATGATAAAAAATCAGGATGCTCAAGTTTATAAATCAGAAAACATTTTTTAAAATTTTTTACCAACTGTTTAACTAATATTTAGAGTAAAGTAGTGTATAAGTAACAGAGAAACAATGCGTCTTTTAAATATTTGATTGAATTAGATTTTTAAGCATCATTTCTTTTCTACAACTGCTTATTTAAGTTAAGTAAGGGCTACAAGTATTTATGTATGTTCTGACATGTTATAGTTAATTTTGATGAGTCATATTTTTTGAATTTGTAGGAGTTAATACATGCAGTATTATGTGAGGACGTGGAGTTGGCACAGCAAGTTTTGTGGGCAAATAAAGACCTGAAAGTTAATATCAGATTTAGGGTAAGCAGTAAAAATGATTGTTATATGTTTCTAAGATATATAATGAAGATTATCAAGTTTGCTGTTCAGATTAAAGGTATGTAATATGCTTGTCATGATACAGGGATTTAAAACACTTTAACATATGTTTAGTTTGTCAAATCATTGTGGTGCTCTAACAATAATGAAAGCTTGAGGCTTCATTGGAACAGGTGTTGGAGAGTTGTTTCTCAAAATCTTTGGTCAAAATCCTTTCTTTTATGCAAGTAAGCATTTTGTCTAACTTTTAGAATGTTGTTGCTTTCCGTGCTCAAATAGTCAAGAAAAAACAGCTTAAACATTGTAGCTATTTATTCAGGGAAATATGCATAAGCACATACTACATTGTCACATAATTATTATATCAACATGCATATTATAAACACACTCAAATGCAAGGAAAATAATTTTAAAGTCGAGTAGTATGTTTTATTACCTTAGGATTGCCTATTAAACTAAAAGCTTAGTTCCATGACAGGATTGGAACCCACGTGACTAGTGATCCGTATAGATGACTAGTTTGCGATTGTAAACAAATCAGCCAATAATTTGCAGCCACAAAAGTTTTAAAATATTTTGTAAGTTAAAAAAGCTTAAAATTTTCCTTTTGACCTTTTCATAGGCAGTATAATTAGAATTTGTAAAAAGATAAAGAAATACTTTTCAATATTTCTCGTTCAGGATCGAAAAGGAAAGACGTTACTTAGTCATGCTATTGAAACTAACAACTATGAAATGGTTAAATTACTGGTGGTCAATGGTGCCAATGTAGCTCAAGTCAGAGTCAGGGAGAATGAGCAAGTAAGTATGAAAAAATCCTGGAAGTATATTATAAAAATGTAAAGATTAGTGGCAAGGGTACTATGTAATTTGTCTTGTTCTGTGCCGAAAAAAATAAAATAAATTAATAAAAATACATTGTAAAAAAATGCTCATAAAATAAAAAATTCAGGAAAGATCTGTGTTGAAATATTTTTTCTTGTTTAATTTAGCAAAGAAAACAACACTTTTTGTACATGTTTTAGTATTCAATAATCATAAAGAATCTTGAGTCAGCAGAAGCAACCAAACAACATCTGTACCACGCCATGACAAAACCAACATAATGCATTAGCGACCATTTGCTCGCAATCTGATCAGGATCCATGCTGTTCACCTACAAACCCTATTACAAGTAGAAAAACTGATAGCAAACAGCATGGATCCTGATCAGACTGCGTGGATGCGCAGGCTGGTCTGGATCCATGCTGGTTGCAAACGCACTATGTTGGTTTTGTCATGGCACTGCTAATTTTATGTTAACTTTGATATTTACGCGTCAAAACAGCCAGCAGAGAGCCAAACTTGAGCACCTTTGAAATCTGGTCTCTCTCTAAACTGACGCATGTTTTGTTTAATGGCTCTCTTGTTACAGAAATCAATTAAATTAAACCTCCCTTATCCAAACAAAATGTCCGGTCCCAATTTCATTCTTTCTGTTGTTAATAGTAAACAACCTTTTAGATCCAGAACCTGTCTGCTCCAAATTCCGGAATTGTTTTAAATATAAAGATTATTATGATGTTTTATAGGAAAATTAAATTTGTAGATCAAAAAATTGTTGCCCTTTTTTACAATATTATTTAGTGTAAGGTTAAATAACAACAAAAGGTATAAGCTTATTAGGCTGATATAATTTTCATTTTGCATTTTCAATTTGTTTCAAAATATTAAGAATTTTACTCTTACAGACTGACGTAACTGTTCCACTATATCAGAAGGCCTTACGAAGAGATTTAGATGTAAACATTGTAAAGCTTTTACAGACAGTGCTTACAGATAGTACTGAACATCAAGAAAAAGATGTGGTAAGATAAAGTCTTTGTTGTGTTGCCTCTTCAAAGTAGTGTTATATAGGGATCACTTCTCCATCCGTTTGTCTAACTGTCCGCACTACCGAATAGGGTTAGAGGGCCATAACTGTAAACAGAACAAAAGGGAACAATGGAGTTCATTTTGTAACATAAAAGGAATGGGTCGATAGCCCTTCATTAAACAAAAGAAAATAACAATAGAAATGACCCTTCATCCCAATTTGGTCGCATGTTCGTCCATCAAAAAACTTGTCCGGAAAACTCCTCAAAAACTACTGGTGCAATTTGATCCATATTCTAAAGTAGTACACCATTCTAAACTTGTAAATACTTGAAATCAAGTTTATTCTTGTTAGCTTTTACATTTGTTTATACTTGCAATGTCTAGTAAACAAGAAAGCCCTAGTACATTTTTGTATACTTGTACGCCCTTGAAAAAAACTAGTATTTTATTTCAAATGAATTTCCCTAATACATAGAGAATGAGTAAATCGCAATTTTCCTGTAGTATACATTTTAAAAAAAATGCGACTTATACTAATCGGTATAAAATTGTAGTAACATAACCATTTGACATTAACAAGTCTACGTTGCAAAGAAATAAAAAGAAAAATCTTAAAAATTTTCATGTAATTCATTGTTATGTAAACATTGTTTTTATATGAATACTTATAAATAACGTAACAACTTTTTTTATTTAATACTTATAAATAACGTAACCACTTTGGAGCCAGCATTATCTAAAATAGTTTTTTTTTATAACAATTGGACTTGGTTGAAATGTTATTGAGTTTAACCACACTACCTTAAGCGGAGCGAGATCAGTACCTTTAATTTGTCGCCCTTCTTGATTATTTGCAATAGATTTCTTTGTGAATATTTGTTTTTTTGTATTATTCTTATAGCCTTACATGTATAGAATAGTTGTTATAAAAATATTAAACGTATATATATTAATGAGTTGTTTTTAAGTTATTGTTCAAAAGTTTAGTTTAACAATAGTTCATTGCAACCATTCTATAACATCATGTATTTACTTTTCAGTCAAGGGGCGTCCGTGGCCGAGTGGTTAAGGTCGTTGACTTCAAACCACGTACTTGCCCCTCACCGCTGTGGGTTCGAATACCGACAGGGGCTTTAGATTCTTTCATGTGAGGAAGCTATCGCGCTAGCTTACGGAACGTCGGTGGTTCTACTCAAATACCCGTTCGTGCCTGAAATAATGCACGGAACGGCACCTGAAGTCTTCCTCCACCAGTAAAGCTGAAAGTCGCGATATGACCTATACTTTGTCGATGTGACGTAACCCCCCCCCAAAAAAAAAAAACAAACTAGTCAGTACTTACTTACTTACTTTCCCGTTGTGACTGATGCTGCCTCTAAGGGTTGAGGCATCAGAATATTGCAGCCACCTTTTCACCCTGCGTGATCATAAGTGGTGACTTAATAGGTTCCAGTATCTACAGTCTGAGCATATCTTAGTTCCAGGAGGCGAGGTGGCTTTGACCTCTGTTGTTGCTTTTAGTTTGTAACACCAGAGGAATAGCCAAAATTATCTCCCTTACTGTTCCGTCACCATATGACCTAAAATGTGTTGATGCGCTAAAAACCAAACCAAACAAACAGCACTTATTTTAAAATTACCCATTTACTCGTGAATTGTTTTGTCAAGAATGAAAGATAAACAGGTACCATTTTAAAGTACATGATGTAGCATGTTTATTATAACAATGCCATCATTTTAAAGCTTTATTTAATCAGTTTATAAAAATAAAGCAAATAATTTAAGAATGAAAAAATATCTTAAGGTAATTATAAAGATATTCTGTATATCAATTCTTTTCAGAACGGTAACACCCCTTTGTTGCGAGCTATTGAGAATGGAGTAGATACACAAACTATTCATTGGTTAATTAAAGCAAGGAGAGGCTACTCACTCATGGACAGGAACTGTGATGGTTTTACTCCTAGAGAAATAGCTTTCAAGAGAGGCAGAGATAATGTTGTGAAAATGATAGACAGGGTAAGCAAACTAATCTGATTTAGTTTATGATTGACAGGGCGGTAAGCATTAAAAAGTTATAATCCAATTTCTGATTTAGTACAATGACAGACAGGATGGCAAACATTACAGGACAAACATTCTATATCTGATATAGATAAATGATAGGCAGGGTGGCAAGCATCACAACATTCTATATCGGATTTAATTTTTGTCATAAAAATTGTCAGTAAATTCAAAATAGAGGCTGTTTGATATAACTTGTATTTTGATTTAAAGTTTTTTAGGTCGTTAGCAGGTCCAATCTGTGTGTTTACCAGAACCTTTATAAATATTTAAAAGTAATCGGTCTAAGGTCTTAATTAGTATTGTATTACTTTGAGACACTCGACTATTTATTGAAAGTTATTATTTTTGTGAAGTTGCTTAAAGTTTACATATGTGATTATCTTGGAAAGTGACATTGAATTTACTTATTTGCTTACAATATCTAAGTGATTAATTAGATACTAATTAGTACAGCTGCTTATGGAAAATGATGTCAGGAATATTACAATAAAGATATCCCTGTGAAATCCAAAGTGATATCTAATTACATGACCAACAGTTTGCTTGTAATGTCACCTAAAATGCAATGTGGTTTAACCTGGGAAGTGTCATGCCTGAGAAATTACCCAGCAACAAATAAATTAGGAATACGAAGGCTGTTTTTTTTTTATAAAACATCAGGTTTAAATTTTTGTATCATTTGCTGCCATACAAATAGCACATATTAAATTAAATATTGTATTTTTGCATCCTATTTCAATACATAATTCATATTCTGCAGGTTTTTTAATTAGTTTATGTACTTTGATTTTGACTTTTATTTTTCAGTACATTGCTAAAGAACTGCCACCAATTGTGTTACGACTTTTCCCAGTTGCTTTTTACCCATCAGAACTTCTCAATATTGTAGACGAGGTAATATAAGGTTCATTTATCAAATATGAATGAAATTAGACAAGAAAAAAGACCCACTCTTGCTCGTAAATGGATAGATATAAAGATAATTCCATTGAAAGAAAATTTAATTCTCTAAATAGCCTTCGAGTACTTTTTTCCAACATTATTTCAAGTAATTTGATTTAATGCTCTGCACGGCAATTTTATTACTATTATTTCAATAAATTCATTGCAATAGATTTAAATTTAAAGACAAAAATGGCTCGTGAATATTGTTGTAGAAATAACAATTTTTAGAATATATTTTATGTACAGGATAAGGATGGTGGTGAGGTATGATAGTGGATATTTTAACGTTTGACCTGATCTTAACACTCAACTTTTAACATTTTCTATCAGTCCCTTAATTCCATTTTAATCTAATGACATTCTTTAACACTTAGCCGATCTTCAACACCAACGGAAATGTAAAGTTCTATACAGTAGATTGAAGACTACTCATTGGCCAATTTAAAGTTAAGTCAGTCACAATCGGCCAATCAGATTCGACCTAAATGGGATTTTGAAACCCTTAACAAAGTCTTTTAGTCAACCGAAGGGATTTAGGTCGGTCCCTCTGTAATAAGCTGAGAGAACCTTAAACAGGAACACAAGATATGTTGCCGTCACAACTTAGGGTTATAAGGACACCGTCATTAGTCTCAGTAATAATGAATTTTAGCTGCTTACTAATTACCATGCTGAACCAGTACCAATATACATGTACATGTAGTTCAGGTTAAACCAACTAGGCATGAGCCTATGAATAATACTTTACCGTTTGTTATTAACAGATCACCCTGTCCTTTTAAATTTAGGAGTTAAACATGTATTTAAAATACATACAATTAAATCTTTGACCCTCCATTTTAATATGTAGGTGAGTCATCTTATGTTAAGGATTTTAGAGCTCTTTTTGCATAACAAAAACTATATTGTTTATCAATAATAAATTTACTAATACAAAGCTTTATTTAAAAACCTCAGTAAATCTGCTTTTTAATGAGCTAATATTTACTTGCTCTAATATATTGTAGTGTGTTTATTACTTTCTTGCTTTAAAGTTAAAAAGCTTGCAGTATTCTATTTATTGTAAGAGTATAACTAACTATGATTATTAGAGTACCAGACCGGAACGTGGTTCTAAATTCAAAAAGTTAAAATTCTCTTTAGCCTTCGTGCTTTTCATTAATTTAAAAGCTGCTTATTTATCAACTTAAGTATCAAATATGCATTTTTAGTATCCCATTTTTTATCATCCAAGGAAAACGCTGCATTTCTTAAATATTCGTGTGTTAATTTTCATCAAAAAACAAAAGTCGATACTATATTGAATTCCGTTCATAGTCAACTTCGTTTTTCATAGTGCTTCATAGAACCGCGTATTGACATATTTAAGTAAGTTATGAAGCCAAATAAAGCTTGACACTAAGTATGTTAGTAATCATCCGTAGCTGTTCTACATAATTAAAAACATTCTACTCCTGTCGCTATCGCTCCCATCGAAGTTTCTAATTTCTGTAGAACAGCACGGATGAACAAAACCACTTAAGCCGAATCTGGAATTTTTAGGGTAATTTTGTTGTGCTAAATGGTTCCAACAGATTTTTTACACACTGAATTCTGTGACCAACCTATATATAGTCGAATTCTTATCTCATGAATGTTCTAAATAACGTTATTTATTGTATTAAAACCATTGATGTTTTTCCCTTATTTTATGACGCTTGAATAGAAGTTAACTTTTTACACTTGAAACCTGTCACATCTCCTACTACATGTGCTAAAATTACTCGTTACTTTCAAGAGTGATATGATTGCTTAATTTGTTTGATTTACAGGAATATATTCAACAAATGGTTTGTATATATTCATTACACAGAACAACGTGTTAATTAGATTAGATAATTCAAATATTGTTTGGAATTCAATGATATCATCAAGTTTCAAACATTTTTATCTTTTTGTTTTTTTTAAATGTAATAAAATACGTAAGGATATGTAAAAATCAATGGATTGTTTACAATTAAGTACTGGATTACCAGTTTAGATTGTATTTCTGATTGGTTAAAATATTACAGCTGTTGATATGATTTTTAAGAATTTATTAAACTCCAAAGAAATACAATGTCTTCCAAATGACATAAAACAGTAAATAAATAATGAAATCAGAGTGATATCCGTGTTTGTAATGTTTCAATTATGCCAAGAAAACGTATGAAATTTGATTGTTCCGGTTTAAAAGCCTTTGCTATAAACTGTTTCTATGCTCAATTTCTACTTTATATGAAAAGAAAAATCCCTTACTTTTATAATAAAGATTTACATTACATGCTTTATATGACCGTGATCTTTTTCTGACACTGCAGTCATTACTTGAAATGGAAATAAGTAATCTTTATCTGTTAATAAACATTTTTTATTTCAAATAAAGTATATACGAGGGTTGTTCGGGAAGTTCTGAGAATTTTGTCATATCTCCTATATTTTTTGTTTCTAAGACGTAATATTTTGCACATACTAAGATTAGCATATCACGGAACTATTCCTTAAAATTGAATAGAATCAGACAACAATAGCCAGAAATAGTAGTAACCATAGCAACACTATAACGCCGCACCGGAGCAGTCCGACTCTAAAGAGAGGTATAACGCGCTACACTAATAATATTTCGTAATTTTGATAACGTAAAAAATGCGCGAAAACGCTGGTCAGCAGCGAAACGTCATGACGTAATTTCCTGAAAATATCATAACGTTATTTAAATTCTCAACGGATCAACATTGTTTTAAAGTTGTTGCCAAGAGCCACTGAGTAAACAACATGACGTCGATAGGTGACGTTGAATTGCGAAGCATCGTGAAATTTTGTGTTGCGCTGGAAAAGTCTTCCACAGAAACGATGAAAATGATCAATTCTACAGGAAAACACACAGAGCGGAATCTACCCAGTTAGAGATCAGCCTCTTGGGGTTTGAGATCTTAGAGCACCCTCCATACAGCCCGGACCTCGCTCCGATGGACTTCCGTGTGTTCCCGGAGCTCAAATCACAGCTGCGTGGAAAACGCTTTGACTCAGCTGACGATCTTGTTAAGCATACGCAAGCTATAGTCTCGTCCTTTACCGATAGCTGGTACGTGGAAACATACAATAAGTGGATCATCCGACACAGGAAATGCATCGAAATTGCAGGTGACTACGTTGAAAAGGTGCGACGATCGATGGACTTTAACGTCGCATAACGTTGCAAATGATGTCGGCGTGCTCCGGGTGTTTGTTATATGGTTATTTACTATTTTTATTATGTTTTAGTTTCTGTGTGTATGATGACGATATTTTCAGATACTGTACAGTATATATTGAAATAAATGCGTATATATTTATATTTACGCTAACACGACTACAACGTGTGCTATAAAACAATTCTCAGAACTTCTCGAACAACCCTCGTATAGCTAGATATATTAAGATGTGCCGGTAAGCTTTCTTTAACCCACATTGTGACATGAACCAAATGTTTAGAGTAGCAACTGCAAATGTTAGGTGTCTGTGATCGGTCTTCATGTAAACGCGTGTACAAAAATGTTTTTCAGAATTATCTAATATTGAAAAAAGTTATATATCAGACTTTTTAGAATTTTTTTTTTATATAAAATAGGTCTTCCTATAAGAGACCACAAGTGCTTAGAATAGACAGATTTTTTTTCTTGAACCAATTATTGGATTATCACTGTATTAAGCAAAATTAGCTTGTAGAGCCCTTAAGTAGGCCTCAAACAAATTTGCATTTTAGTTGATCTTTGAATGGTCCACTTGCTAATTATTGCTTTCCTTTCATGATTTGATGGATCAATCATCATTGATCCAATGAAGTCTGTATCTTAGTCTTTGCAATCATTAGAATATGTAATCTTTAGACATCTTTAAACTTGATAATGTTTTCTGTAAAGAACCCGGTAATACCCCTGAAATTGCTCCAGAGCTTATATAGATTTATCTATTGTGACATTATGACCTAGCCAGCAACATGTTTTTCATTTAGGGCGGTCTTTCGCGATCCTGTCTTTCTCTATTTTTTGAATCAATATATAGATCATAATTTCATTTACGTGATTTGTACATAATTGACCATTGATTTGTTTTCGCATGGTTTAAATATCAAATTGAATACAATGATGTTAAAATGTAAAGTTATTTTCACTTTTACCTGTGAACTCACCACTGAAATTTAGATTGGCATACTGTCATCACCTAAATTATACTTTATACGGACTATCATATACATAAATATGGTTACATAAATAAATCACCCCCACCCTTCAAAAAAACAAAAAACAAAACAAAACAAACGAGATACGAGATTTTTACTGTAAGAACGCATTGATATCATTTCCAGACTGGAGATTCTTTGGAACAGAAGCTAACCAAGGTTGCTAAAGAGCATCATGTGTCAACATGGATAGATGTTAACCAAACACAGGTACATTATATACGTTGACTTTCTTTCCAGATTTTTATACTTCACAACAGCAGGTGCCAAGTGCTGTGTGGCAGCCGTAAAATGTTGCCTCGTACTTCACTTCAGTGTTGTTATATTTTTCTGGTCCTTCCCTCATGTACAGACTCAGTCTGCAATTCTCTTGTAATTTTGTTGTGATAAATGCTTCTGAGGGATCACTTTCTTTCCAGATTTCTAAACGCAAATAACTTTATTTAGATGAAATGATCAACCCAATTTGATCAGTACAATTTTCACTTTATTGCTAAGATTAATTTTATGAGTAGAGTGTTGTACTGCATTTCAGTCCTTTTGTCTTACTGTTGTTTCAAATGCTACGGAAAAGTACTTTTTAGAAAGAAGTACGTATTTCACAAAATAGAAAATTTTGTCAAACTTTAAATTCTTGCTCAAATTAAATATTAAATAGACCGTATACTAAACAAAATGACTAATGCCAATTAATATATCTTGCTTTTATTTCAGAACAATGCTATAGCCTTGTTTGAAGCCGCAGCAACTGGGGATGTTAAAAAAGTTTTTCAGTATAATAACGCTAATTACCAAGACAAGGTGAACCATTTTGTTATTGTTTATTTTCTTTAATGCATTTACATTTTACATTTGTATAGTCTGATTTTATTGACCTGTCAATTATGAATACATTATAGGACTCATTTAAATATTCGGTCCCACTTCGGTTTGGTCCGTGTAGTTTACGAGAATTAATGTGAAGTATATTAGTCATGGATTGAAAGTCACGCCAGCGTAATGTGAAGGTTTTCGTTAATTCACAATAGCACAGTCGGTTAAGAGAATGCCTGATAGGTCTGATGAGAGGTCTGTGGTTCGATCCTTACTGTTGCCGTTGTTTTAGTACTCTTTCTTTATTTTTGCAGTATACTTTAATGGAACAGATTTGTAGTGTGTTTTACGGCATTGAAAATACATTTATTGATTTTAATCCGTTTCAATTTTAAACATGAATTCTTAAAACATGTTATTTAAAAAGAGTATAGACATAACAAAATTAAGTAAAACATAAAAAAAACCAAACAACATAAAATAAAATAATATATAGCTTCAATAATGTTGAAAGTATTAATAAGAAAAAACATGGACCAACGCGGTCTCGAACTTAAAACACGTGTGAGACTTAGATTATAAACTCGTGCTTTACCCGATTGCGCTATAACGCTGAGTACTATTAGTTAAGAGATAAAAATTAAATTAAATTTCATCGTACACCGTCTATCTTACGGAGCTTACCGAAAATCTACCGAAGATTAATATACTGTGTGCATCGACCGTGTAATCAGTGTTAATAAAACCAAACAATATAACCAAACAATATATCATATGATTATTTTCTGTCATTTTCTGGTGATATATTATAATTTCTTTGATCTTCTTTCAATAGATTTTTTTTCACAAAATCACAAAATTTTCTAACATGGTAATAGGTAGAGAAAATAGAGTTTTGAGAAAGTCCAAAGAAGACCTTTAGAAAACAGTAATTCAATAAATAAAGGATAGAATAATTTTTGTATTGGAGTCAAGTATTGTTTTGAATTTCAAATGTAAAACAGTAAATTCAATGCATGCTGTGCTTATAAAACACTTACATATAAAAGGAAAGCTAAAGAATAGGTACTCTTTACTACAAGAACGTTCATATCCTGAAATTTGAATAATTGATCGGGAATGATAATTTGCATTTCACGTTCTTTAATTCTATTAGCGTCATAAAATTTGACTTGTTAGAAATAAGAACATGGTAATAACTTGTTAATTATTCAGGAAAGCCATTAAGGCAGACCAACAAGATACATGTATGACAAAAATGTGTCAAAATATGCTTAAAAAACACAAACATGAAAAAAAACTGTAAGAAATATAAACTTTAATCTGATGAAGATTTCAAAATTTTTATTAATGTATTATTGATGAATTGCTGATTTTTACTTTTAGAATGGGTTTACTGCTTTAACAAGAGCAATAGTATTCAACCAGTTTGATGCAGCTAGAGAACTTTGTACCAGAAGGCCTGCCTTGAGAAAAATAGGAGACAACGTAAGTCTACTTCTTACAAAATTAAATTTGCAGATGCAACCAAGACACAGCGATTTATACATGTCAAAGCTGCAATTCATGGTGTGGCAGTGAATTAGTTTAACCCTCAAATTTTTTACAAATAGTTTTCGAGGCATAGAAGGGCACGTGACTTGTTTTTGATTTTTTTGTACATAGATTATCTCTTGATCTCTAAACCGGGTATGGTTGTTAAATTTATCAGGTTTAAAGCATGACTGCTTGTGTTTTCCTTCTTCATGAATCATTTTTATCAAACGTTAAAAAACAAATAAACTACGATGTTCAAACGCATTCATCTTAAAACCGTTTTTGGAAGATTCAAAAAATACAAGTATAAGATGTCAAAATTTTAATGTTTTTTTTTCAGCCAGAAGCTAATCTGGATTATCTCTCCTTATACTTTAAAAATGTTGTTTTTCAGTGCAATCGTTATCCATTACATTATGCCTATGCATTACCCAAGGAGCAAGGTGAACAGTTTATCAAAGTAATTTTAGAGAAAGATGCTAACGAGATTGAAAACAGGGTAGATAAGGTAAGAAAAATTAAAAGCAATTATTTATTTCATTGATCTATGGCCTAATATTACTTTTAAGAAAAAACTTAATGATAGTAAACTCAATAATCGACAACTTCTGATGCAGTCTTTAAAACAAATTCTTGGAACGTCTCTGTACTTTTGCCATATAAGGTAGCATGGAAGGTTGGCTGAAGTAGGACGCTGACACATAATTCCAGATATGTAAGGCAACTACCTTAATCTTAGGCAACCACTTAGATAAAATAAACATAAATCACAGCAACAAACACCATGCAAGAAATATCATTATATTTTCGTAATTAGATCAGTATTAATTTCAATTTTCAATTATCAATCAAGTTGTATATCTGTTATAACTTTGAAAATTGAAAAAAGAAATTGAACAACATCATTTTTGTTTTATTTTTTAAGGATGGAAGGGTAGCAGCTGACTATGCAGAATTACGAGAAACAAAGGAGATAAAACAAATGTTGTACGATGCTAGAACACTTGACTTGTTTGGAAAGGTAATGCTGTTTCTCATTTCATATCAGTCAACGTGCAAGTTAATACAAAAAATTAGTGGGTTTTACTTTTTTGTAGATTTGGATGATTTTCGGCTGTTTTTAAGAAAATAAGATATATGTATGGTAAATTCCAATTAATTCATATAAAACAAGACAAGTATTATGATTAATTTAGAGCTAGATAAGTTTATTTGCCGCTCCTCATTTGCCTATCCTTATTATATTGTCTTGTATATGTGTTCTCTTTAAATTTTATGTGTCACTTTCAGAGAGGACGACCATTGGGTCCGTGGCCAAAAGGTGCTGATCATATTCCTCCAACAGAACAGTAGATGTTTAAACAAGAGTTATGACGGAGTTTAAGAAATGTTCAAAACATTTGTTTCACAATATTCCATAGATAAATCATAGTCATATTCAACGTTAAATAATACGCGGTTAAGAAAAATACAAGAGTAAACGAGTGAATATTACAAGGACTGAAAAATTGTATTCTATGAAATCTAATAGTAGGAACAGTTGTCTTCGGAAAAAGCTTCGAGGGAATTTATATTTTTACTGTCCAGAGAATCATGAAAATATTGAGAGATTATTTTACTTTATATATGTTTCTATTACAAGAATATACATGTTATTTAAGATGATGATATGTATTGAATTTCATAATATTGGAATAGCAGATCTGTGATAGTATCTAACAGGGAGAATACATTCATTTTAACTTAAGCTCACATTGTGTTTTATTATAACTTGTTAAATACAAATGTTTTATTTCTTGTTAACTATATACACAATAAACGTACTTTTACCTTTTAACTTTTACAACTTCATCAGATTTCCTCCCTATAATCTTCTAATATTTAGATTTAATTGAAATGCTAGTATACGTTAATAAGTTGTCCTTTCCCGGACAGGTATTATGCCACCTTGGTTATTTGGCCTTATATTTCCGTCCATTTCCAAATAATTAACAAAATTGGACCACCAAGATGATGCTTGCGGTTTAAAGGAGACAAATGTAAGGAATAAAGGACATTGTATAAGTTCATCCATTCAGAGAGCGCATGTGGCCACCCAGTGTCTGAGCCAGAATCAAGTTGTCTTAAAAGGACATCGACTAAATGGTAAGACTTTGATGAGGATTTGCGTATTTAAAAGCTTCCTCTGTGATCTGAAAAAATTGTATTTTGCATGGCTAAAAGTACAGAGATAATAATAGCACAAAATGTTTAAAGTTGATAATTCGATACATCACACAAAAATTTGACTTAAAAATCAAACACAAATATTTTCTTTTCAATTTAATTTATTCAATTTTAGTATACATATAACAGAATATAAACAAGAATTCCAAAAAGGCGGATCAATATACGCCCGAACAACAGTTTGTTCGAGTAGTTAATAGATGTAGTAAGTTCAATTAGGGAAGAAACCAATTCATGAAACCCTAAGTGAATGATTGTCAAAACTTCTAAAGAGGTCATGCCAAATATCCAAGTTCTGCGCATGTTGGTTTCATTATAATACTTCATAATGTTTTAAGTCTATATAAACTAGGTGATCCCTGGGGCGGGTCAAATAATGACCCACCTGATATAATATGAATAAGTTTTGTGGAGGTCCAAAAGGTAAGGCTGCATACAAGATATGAAAATTATGGGCATTGTAGTTTTTCAAAATAAGACTGAACTTCTTATATTAAAAGTAGATAAAACAGCTGACTCAAGTGGTAAGGCAATAATTCACCCTATTGGCATGGCTAATACGACTTGCCAAATATCTCAGCTCTGGGCATCACAAAATAAGATTTAAATGTGTTTTCTATATAAATCACGTTACTCCTGGGGTCAGCCAAAATTGATCATATCGCTTTTATAGAGGTCGCCCAAAAGCAATGCCACATGTCAAGCTCTAGGCAATGTAGTTAAAGAAAAGACATAAATGTGTTTGCAAATATATAGCTTATATATATATCAGTTGACTCCCGGGCAAGGAAAATGTTGACCAAATAGACATGATGAATATTACTTTGTAGAGGTCCACATTACAGTACTTCATGCCAAATGCTCTAGGCTTGTAGTTTTAAGTTCAGCACAATACAGAAGTGTTTTGTCCTATAAATTGCTTATATCAATCAAATGATCCGAAGACAATGCCAATTTTGTTATGGACAAATCTAAACCAGGCTTCTCCCTGTCATCTCATGTTAATAAAAAATTCTGTTTTTCTTTTAATTTCCTTCCCTTGGTGCAAAAGATACTGTGCTGACATGAACTTTTAAAATTCATACACAATGACTTAGCATGATCTTAACCTTGTCCTGACAAATATACAAACCGGACGGGCGGTCAGATCAATACCAATATACACGAACAATAATTCGGGCGTATAGCAAATAATAAACTTTATCATGCTATTTGTACTAAAATATAAAACATGATAATAATTTTATAACCTTTAACTGTTTGGTATCATTTTTTGGTAAAAAAATTTTTTATGTACCCAAGTAGCTGTACACTGTTCAAAATTTGCAACAAAATTAAACAACATTAATTAATACATGTAATACAGTAAAAAATGTTCAAATGTGTTTGGGAAAAAAAAATTTCTGAAAAAAAAAATAAATGGAAAAGTTTATCTGCACATTGAATCTTCACTGGGATTTTTGTTTTTCATAAAAAACACTATTTCAACAATTCATTACCGACATATTTCTTTTCTTATAAATATCTCTGCTCAAGATTGGTAGTCATTGCGTAACTGTATAACCTCTTAACAATTATATTTGTTTTACTGTATCTGATATAAAATAACAATGCTTTGATTGTTCACTCTTGCACGCCTATTCAGTAAAACAAAAGGTAAACAGTTTCGTGTTTGCTTTATATGTTTAGATTGTAAACATTTGATATGTTACCTTTTTTTTATAAAACAAGTTCAAGCTAATTATATATACATGTACATTGTAATTAGATAGGGATCTTTACTTTGTTCAATTTTCCGCCAAAAGTATTTACATAATGCTTTCAATGTCTTAAATCTTCTACAAGTCTGACAAAAGCATTACTTTACAATCTTACTCATGGTTTAATGCATACAAATATCAATACACATCGTAAAGCAGTGACATATTTTTTCCCAGATCAAATAAACTCAATGATAAATCTGTTCCTTTTTAAAAAAGTGTATGACAAGTTGAGCCTTTCTGTAAAAGGAACATGATTACATATTGTCAGTTCGCAGCCACAAGACGCCTTTGTTTCCATTACACTAATGCATGCCTTGGCCAAACATTGAGCTTACTAGTCTACATATATGAAACTTTGCAGCGTTATTTCTGCCTCGTATTTTCAGAGAGAACAGATAGCACTGTAAAGCAGCGTCCGTTTTGTTTTCTTGTTCCATACACTGACCTAGAAGGTTTAGTGCTGTTTCTTTGTGTCCGAAATTTGGTTCCTCTACAATGCATTTGGCAAGGTTGGAGATTGCCGCCTGTTTATCCCGATTCCTTCTGAGATGAGAATATGTCTTGTACTGTAGAAAGTATAAATAAGGTAGAGAATCTATCACAGCCAAATTCATCCATTCATCATTTTCACTTCTATAAGGGAGGTCCTGTTGTGATGATCGAAACATTTCATGTTGGAGTTCTTTGGGACAGCAGTTTATTTCACATCGTAGAAACCTGACACATGATGCAGTTATACTCTGTAACAATGTATATTCATCATCTGCTTCATAACATAACTTATTGAATGCCCTTTTACATTCAAAGTGTTGAAAAGCGTAGCATTTACAGATGGGTTCAACTACAATGAGATCATAACTTTCTTCAATATTTTTCAAAATTTGTTCTGTCGTCTCAATCTCTCCAGTACAATAGAAAATTGATGCTAGTTTCAGTTTACCCGATGCTACATCAATGTTTAGGCAAAACGACAGCAAAACGGTAGATTCTCGGCATACACTGCGTTCACTTTGTATGTTAATTGAAGCAAGTGCAGATCCTAAATGCATGCTAAGAAATTTAGCTATTGCACTACATGCTATTCTATTTTGCCCTTGATTCATATCATGAGTTACTTTCATCAGGTATTTATATAATGTTTGCAATAGAAGTCGAATGTTATTGGTTTTATTCAATTTATTGAGCAAGACCATGATCAAGTCATTGACTCTGCGAGCAATAATGTTAACTAGGTTTCCTGAAATCACACAAGACAGGTGTTCAGGAACAAAGTCTACTAATCTCAAAAATGTGTTTTGAATTCTAGACCCAAGTTGGTCACATTCTATTTCAAGTAAAGCACTTCCGTTACTGCTTATAATGTAAGAGAGTCTCTCTAGTATGATTTGTTTTGTTACTACAGTAAAACGTCTCGCCATTAAATTGTTCTCTGGGATGATAAAATGTGGGCAATAGTCATTTACAATACAATTGTAAAGTATTGTTAGACAGTAATTTAGACAAATCAGTAAGGTGTTTTCGTTCCAAGCATTGTTGACTGTACTTTTAATACTATGAAGTAAGACCGTTTTACACATAAAACTTGAAATGCTGTCAGGGCATTGTGTGGTTATAAACGTTTTTAGAATCATTTTCATTAAGATAAAGCATCTGATTTGTGTTATATTCAGACTGAACATTAAAAATCTCTCAGCAAGGGAAGTGGATATTCTCCATTCAATGTCTTCATTAACACTGCCTTTGCCTCCAACTCCAACAACGAAACATTCCGTGCGTTTACAATACTGTTTCATATCGCTTGTAGGCCATTGACCTTCAAGTTGCTGATTTATCCATTGTCTAGCTTTCAATGGCCACTGGTGACAAGGTATTGCAATGACAATGTCATGACCACAGTAACCAGGAATTTCTTCCATCGTAATTGCTGGACCATGTCTTACACTTTCAGAACTAGTGCTTATATGTAATAAAGTATTCTTTAATAATACTCTTCCTATTCTATCTCTATACCAGTACTGATTATACACATTATCTTCTGGCAGCGGAGCGTCCCCTCTCAGTATCTGTAATAAGCAATATCCTGGTGATACAGTATCATCCTGTATCATTAACATGTTTTGTTTATCAGGTTCCCATTCACTCCAGTCCTGTATCACTTTGAGCCTGGTAAGTGTTAAAAGTACATCGATGTCAGAATTAAGTCCTAATGTTGTAGTACCTTCTCCTCTACTACCTAAATGATACACATTTACACCTCCATGTGTTAATAATTGTTGCCCTATTGTTTCTAATGTTTCATTCATCAGCTCTAGTCGCCTTCTTTTAATCACCATTCTCTCGTTCACTCCTATCTCATCAAGTACTTTAGAAAGTCTGAGTGACACATTGCGAGAATAATCAGAATTTTCCGACATCCTGTAAATTTAATCAAATGTTATTATTTTCATTATTAATAAATGTTATAATAACTAAATCAAGTGTAAATCTACAATTGACTGTGTAAGTATCAAATCAAATTGTCTTCTTGACATATAATATTCAAAATGTTTATTTCAGCATATAAGAATGATAAAACAAAAAATTAATTATTATATTTTGTTTTTGTGTAAATCAATTGATAAGAATAATTCGAATTGGAGTTTTGTGATATGAAAAAAAGTTGAAGAGATAATGATCGTTTTAAGGTAATTTCATTATAAATGTCAACATCAAAGACAACATGGAACAAAATTCATAATCATTACCAGGAAATGTTGGAAAGATAAATTTGGATTATTCCATGTAATATACTCTCAGACAATTAAACATTTGAAAGTAAAACATGGTTTAGTAAATGTAATTTTTTGAAAGACAACACCCAGAGAATTACAGCATTTGTCAAGTATTAGTCAGTTTTACTTATAAACATCTTAAACAATTTTATTTTATAGGGTGAACGCACGTTCTTTCGTGTAATATAACGTCTGCAAGGAACGGTTGGTGCCCGATCACGTTAGGACGAGGGCTCCAACAGTTACGAGGGACTTTGCAGACTTTATAACACGAAAAAACATGCGTTGACGCTATGACAGCATAAATTATTATACCACATGCATGATGAATATTAAATACTTAACAAATACATGAAATCTTTGTGGAAACGGTTTGTGCTTGGGCGGTATTTTACGTAACCGATTTATTTTTCCGGAGCCAACAACTTGGGAAATACAATTGCTCAGTCAACTTTTAATTGATATAACAAAGCTTAACATTGTAGATTTATTAACTGAGAAAGGAAATTAATTTACACTACCAATGACAAGAAGGGTCATCCCTCAGGAATTCCAAAAACGATTTCAGACTGACTCTAGAAAAAAGATCATGGGCATTTAAAGTACACTTGATGTCCAGAACCGTTTTTTAAATCGGCATACATTTTTGTATTTATTTATTTTTTTTTTACCGTGCCCTGTATAATTTATTGCGCATATGTAAAAACAAGAGCGCGTGACTCTGTTAACACATGGTTTTGGTCCCTTTTAAACATGGACAAAAGAGGGGAAGATAGCCGATTTTATGCTATGATTTATTTTAAGACCCTTCAAAATTACCTTTACTGATAACTTTACTTATAAATACGATTGCAACAGTTTCAATATTGTGATTTTGGGCGTTCTTTAGGGATTCTGTTTTCCCTTTTTCATCAATATCTTTAAAAAAGGAACTTGAAAATTACCATTTTCGAAATTTCAAATTTTCGTACAAGGAACTACAAAGATTCAGTGATTACAGAAATCACAATCTTATTGTAGTCTCTAATTCAATGTCTGAAATAATGAATGTGGTACCACATTACATGAATTAATCTAAATAAACAATCAAGGTCACTGTTTCCTTTACTCATTTTATAATAAACAAGGAATTTATTTTTTACCTTTATAAACAAGGAAGTTATTTTTTGTCTTTGACCGAATGTTTGGTCAAACAAGACTGCCTATATTGCAAGTCTGATTTCTAATGAATTATGTAAACGGTTATTACGTTTATAAGTAAATTAGTAAAAAAGAAAATTAGTATTCATTGGAAATCATTCACCATAAAAGTCGGCTAAAAACGGCGCGATTACGAATAACTCTAACAAAACTGAAAAAATCCACATGCATAGTCCCAAGTACATAGCTTCACAGTGATGTTGATCATTATTCTTGTAATTTAGTGATGTTGATCATTTATTTCTGGGAAGGGCTTTATCTAATGTTTTAAGAACTTATTGCCCAACCCATTTGCATTTTGATATATACCGGTATTTGTATGATATGTTTGTAAACATATATTTAATGCAATAAAATATGTTTAAACTACCATTCTTGTTACCTTTTAGGCCTACAAGTCAAATACGTTTTGAGCTATGCATGAACAAGTTGAAAATTGCAAATTTATACTACTGGAAGGCAAAGGCTATAACTCTAACAAAACTGAAAAAAAATCCACATGCATAGTCCCAAGTTCATAGCTTCACAGTGATGTTGATCATTATTCCTGTAGTTTAGTGATGTTGATCATTATTCCTGTAAAGTTGGTTGATTTTTACTCAAGCACTCAAGGAACAAATAACACAAGATAATACAACGGTTTTTACTAAGTCAAGGGCAATAACTCTAAAAATCCTGGATAAATCCACAAACTCAAGGTGCACAACTACATATGCAACATTCCCGTAAGGTTTCATGACTCTGTGTGAAATCCTTTTTGAGTTACATGACAGAATATGAAAATTGCAAAATTTTACAAAGTCAAGGGCAATAACTCTAAAAATCCTGGATAAATCCACAAACTCAAGGTGCACAACTACATATGCAACATTCCCGTAAGGTTTCATGACTCTGTGTGAAATCCTTTTTGAGTTACATGACAGAATATGAAAATTGCAAAATTTTACAAAGTCAAGGGCAATAACTCTAAAAATAATATATAAATCCACACAAAAATAACCAGGTGCACAACTACACATGCTGATCAACATTCCTGTAAAGTTTCATGACTCTAGGTCGAATCCTTTTTGAGTTACATGCGACAAAAGTTGAAAATTGCAAAATTTTACTAAGTCAATGGCAATAACTCTATAATACTAAATAAATCAGGACAAAAATACCCAAGTGCACAATCTCACATGCTGATCAACATTCCTGTAAAGTTTCATGACTCTAGGTCAAATACTTTATGAGTTACGTGCGACACAAGTTGAAAAATGGCACATTTTTACTTAATCAAAGGCAATAACTCTGAACATACTGAATAAATCCACACGAAAATACCCAGGTGCACAACTGCACATACTGATCAACATTCCTGTTAAGTTTCGTGACTCTAGGTCAAATACTTTTTGAGTTACGTGCGACACAAAAGAGAACGGACGGAGGTCGGAAGGACGGACGGACATGGGTAAATCTAAATGCCCACCCCCCCACTTAAGTGGTAAGTGGAGGCACAATAACAGTATATCTCGAATTATTGAGTTACATTTGTAAATTTTTCATTAAAAAGTTATCAAGAATTTTCGTAATAACATATATGTCTCATTTACTTTATTAAGTTATATTTTTTATCTTTGCCCTCATGTTTTGACAAACGAGAATGCCTTTTTTCGCATGAACTAGGTCAACGATTAATTAAGCTAATAAAGTTAGTAAGCCATGTAAGTAAATAAGAAAAAAATAAAAATTTACCAAATTGAATTGGTCAAGGGCGGCACATTTACTATCAATTTAATTTGGAAAAAGCTAACCTAACCAATTTGAAGTTTAAAACAGTCGATTAACTAGCCTACTACCTTGCCGATTTAACAAAGTTAATCTGTTATGATTCATTTTTAACTAAAATCCCATGTTTTAAACGCTTAAACATCTTTAACAGATATTTTCGATCCTACGCCAGTTAATACATACATGAAAATCAATTAATCGAAATAAATATATGTTAAGCAGCTTTAAAACATGGACATAAATTGAAAAAGAAACTAGGGGGGAATTCCACCTTATGATAACACTACGCATTTGGCAATCGGAACACCTCGATTATCAATTTTCGAAGATTTACAGAAAGGGTAGAAAATTTGCCATACGCTGCGCCTGTTTATACATAATTTCTCTGATAGACATTATCAAATCTTTTATAAGTGAATCTATCTTGCCGATGAGTATCGTTGCCAGAAATGTAATATAGAACTCAAAAATAAGACACAATAAATAACATTTTGAAGTCTGAATGTGCATTGCCATTGTAAATGCTTTATTTTAAGGTAAACAAGCATTTTCGTAATTTAACATGTACAGAAATATTCCCTCAATATGATGTCTTAATTACAAAAAAAAAATATCGATTTGTTAAAATCAGTAGCTTAATACGATTTGTTTAACTTAATTATCTTTTATAAAACTAAAACAGTTAAAGACTTTTATTTGAGTTACTTCATATCATTTAACATATTCAAGAACACGATATCTTTTTATTTGCTTCTTTCCATTGAAATCATAAGCTTTGTTCGTTGAAATCGTTGAAAAAGCGGTAAAGTTAAAAGTATTTTTTTATGACATGTGTTCAAGGATACAAATGACAGGAGTCTAAGATATTTTGTTATTTTTATTAAACTGGATATAATATAGGATTTATATTATGACATGATTAAAATGACATTGTTATATCTTCTTATTTCATGAACCGCAGATGACATAAGTTCGTTTTGATGAAATAGAAAAAAAACTTCACAGAATATGGAATAAATCTCACTTTGATTTGTGAACATTGAAACAATGTTCATTACAAAACACGATCTGATTTTATTTATCACTGATTCATCTTGATATATTGCTAAGAAATTCGCATGCTATATATATCATACACATACCCTATATGTTTGACAGTCGAACACACTAGTATCCAATTGGAACTTTAGCAAGGTAAGCAGGACATGTAATAGTTATATGTTTATATACCATACACGACTTTTCTACATGCTTTACTTTAGAAGCAGACGATATATGCAAAACATCAAACATCAACTGCCAAATTAAGATACACTTTTACTAGCATTATATAAATTGACACATTTGTATTCAGAAACTCGGAAAAATATGTATCAGTGAAAAATAACATTTTGGATTTAAAAATGGAATCCCGGATTGCATTTTCCAAAACGCGATTTCCATCTTTTTGATCAGTATGTAATGAAATATCAAAATGGAACAAGATCTATATAAATTATGTTTTATCTTTATGTTTGCAAACATCAAATATCTTATGCATTTAGCAAGATTGCTTCGATACAAAAACTTCAAAAAGTAAATAAAAAAGCAGTCAAGTGCTGTCTCCCTTCTTACTAAATGTACAAATATCAACGTCTTGAATAGCTTTAAACAAATCTGTGGAAAAAAAAACCTTAGTTCA